AGGTACAGCAGTAGTAGTAGTAGTTGTAGTAGTAGTAGTAGTAGTAGTAGTAGTAGTAGTAGTAGTAGTACTAGTAGTTGTAGTAGTTGTAGTAGTAGTTGTAGTAGTGCAGTTTTTGGCCCATATGAAGTATTTCAAGTCACCAAGATTATTTATTCTTAAATTTGACCCCATTAGCTTCCACAAAGTGGTCGCTTGTCTTCCTGGAGTCAACACAGAAACAATAACAACAACAATTATTTTACTCCCCCATCAAATAAATGGAAAATGTGTTTTTGTTGAAGCAATCATTTAATCAATCAATTAATTTGCAAGTTAATGTTAATATTCCATCATTGTCATTCATTATGGTCATTTCAATTCAATCTACCAGTATTTTGCTTGCTTTTTAAGTTTTTATATCACATTTAATATCTTTGGGACAGAAAAAATGCAATTCAAATCTTTGTATAATAATCAATAATTAAAATAATTGGTAGTTCAGTGCTATAACCGATCAATATGTAGAACTGCCAATGCTTCTTATAGGTTCTGTAAAGTTGAACAGTTTTCACATTATTTTGTGTGTGTGTGTGTGTGTGTGTGTGTGTGTGTGTGTGTTTAGCTGATTTCAGACGCAGGTTATCAGGGTGAGATCACCAGTGTGTCTACAGCGTGTCAGCAGCTGGAGGTTTTCTCTCGGGTGTTGAGGACGTCTTTGGCCACGCTGCTGGACGGAGGAGAAGAGAACTTGGAGAAGAACCTGCCAGAATTTGCTGTGAGTGTTTCTCTGTTTTATTAAACATTTTTAAAAATCTGACAGTCACTGAATCTTGCTTCGTTGCTTTCATTGTTTTATATGATAAATTGAATATATTTGAATTTTGAACTGTTGGTCAGATTAAACAACCAATTTGAAGACTTGGGTCTTGGGTTCTGGGAGACTGATATTTTTTCTCCTCTTGTGACATTTTATAGACTAAAGCCATTATATTATTTACCTAAGGAAGTGACTTTTTAGTCCTAAATGAAAGTTTGCTGTGTTATCTGAACAGCACAGTGTGTAAAAGTCACTCAGAGCTTCTGTTCCTCTGGTTGCTGCATGTGATGAAGTTTTCTGAGTTGTTCCCTCTTTCCTCCCGTAGAAGATGGTGTGTCACGGCGAGCACACTTACCTCTTTGCCCAGGCGATGATGTCCATCCTCTCTCAGGAGGAGCAGGGCGGTTCAGCTGTTCGTAGGATCGGCCAGGAGGTGCAGAAATCCGCACATGAGAGGTAACTTTGTCTCTTTTTCAGCAGAATTTAACCTTCACACGCCCTGATTGCTATTGTTTCAGAAAACATTAACTGTGCAAGGTCACAAAAAGTTAAATAGATGACTATGATTAGATAAATCTGGAACACTGATTACTGTAGAAATACACGATACATGGGTTTATATACTGTCAGTGGTTTTCCCCAACAAACTCAGTGGGTATGATAGTGTGTGTGTGTGTGTGTGTGTGTGTGTGTGTGTGTGTGTGTGTGTGTGTGTGTGTGTGTGTTTTCACTGATGATATTAATTCTGTGGTTGTGGTTTATATCACAGAGGTCACGATGCCAGTCAGATAACCCTTGCGCTCGGTACAGCAGCAGCCTACCCCCGAGCCTGCCAGGCACTGGGTGCCATGTTGTCCAAAGGAGCACTGAATCCTGCAGATATCACCGTTCTCTTCAAGATGTTCAGCAGCATGGACCCGCCTCCTGTGGAGCTGGTGAGGACTGAGCGTCTTTGACCCTGTTTATATCCACTACATGCTTGTTCATTCAGGAGCCGTTGAGTGGAATATTTTATCTTTGTTTCGTCTTTAGATCAGAGTGCCTGCCTTTCTGGATCTGTTCATGCAGTCACTGTTTAAGCCCGGATCCAAGATCAACCAAGACCATAAACATAAATACATCCACATCCTGGCCTACGCTGCCAGCGTGGTTGAAACGTGGAAAAAGGTACGGAGAACAGGGATGAATTTGCTAATTTATCTGTGTGTTGTTGAATAGGTTGGATACAAAACAGTTAGTGACTGAGTAACAGAGAAGTTGTTTAACTGGCTACAGTAGTTAATTGTAAACTGCTTATTTCCTTACAGAATTCTCATGCAAATTTTTCTCCTTTCACCTTTACACCTGCTTTCCTAAACTCTCCTTAACATGTTACAACTTTCTCTCTGTTCCCTTCCTTTCTCTTCCCAGAACAAGCGAGTTAACATCAATAAAGACGAGCTGAAGTCGACCTCCAAGGCCATAGAGACGGTGCACAACCTGTGCTGCAATGAGAACAAAGGAGCCACAGAGCTGGTGGCTGAACTCGGCACTTTGTACCAGTGCATCCGGTCAGTAGACAGATGGAAATAAAAAAAACCTTGGAATATATTGCACTGAAAAGTTTGATCTAACTTGATATTTACACATTTGGGATGGAACAAATGAACACAGAAACTGAGTAACAAAAAAAAAAAAGTGTGATATAAATCAGGAAATACATTATCTAAAAACAGACTATGCATTCAGTGAAAGCTTTTATACTTAGTTTAGACACTTTAAACACCTAAACATTGAGGTTTGATAGCTCTTCTCACTTCTGACTGATCTCTGCTGACTTTGTTGTTTGTTTGTGTTCAGGTTTCCAGTCGTTGCTATGGGTGTTTTGAAATGGGTGGACTGGACGGTGTCTGAGCCGCGGTACTTCCAGCTGCAGACAGACCACACTCCAGTACATTTAGCTCTACTGGACGAGGTACGACACTCAACCAGATGAAACTGTCATTTTAGTTCTTTAAGTCGGCGGTGTAAATTCAAACACGACTGCTTCCTCTACACAGATCTGTACGTGTCACCAGCTGCTGCACCCGCAGGTCCTCCAGCTGCTCATCAAACTGTTTGAGACGGAGCACTCTCAGCTGGACGTCATGGAGCAGGTGTGTGTTTGAGTTACTCAAATGCTTCTTGTTGCAGTTTTCAACAGAAGTGAGTTTGTTGTAGCTGTGTGACCTCTCAGCTGACACTGTGTTGGTTTTATTTCAGCTGGAGTTGAAGAAGACGTTGCTCGACCGAATGGTTCATTTGCTGAGCCGTGGCTACGTCCTGCCTGTAGTCGGTTACATTCGCAAGTGTCTGGAAAAACTCAACACGGATATCTCCCTTATTAGATATTTTGTCACTGAGGTAACGGCTGCTTCTGATCTTCATTCGTGGTAAAGAGATCAAATGTGGGAAAGGATGGGAAGAATGTATTATATATATATATTTTACTGTTTTATATACTCAAGGTTTTAAAATGATCTTTTGTTTCAAGTGATATTTCCCAACTCTACCATGAATTATATATTTTTGTGTTTTGAGAAATTTGAGAAAAACTCAGAAGTTTTGTCTCAGTGTTGACAAATCAGCATTTCAAGCAGCTATAATTTTTTTGAATAATGTACCGAATGACAGCAACAAATGTGAAAGGGGTCACAAAAGAATTATCACCTGAATCTGCAGCTCCCCTCGTCTTTACTGAGCTTTATTACCGGTTTCAGCTCATTGTCTGGCTGTCTGGATGCAACTTTACTGTTTTGTTTCACTCTCACGGTGTAGTTTTTGGCTCCAGCAGACCGCTTTCACAGAAAAAGCTCCAAAAAACCCAAACTATACACTACCAGCTCAATAACAAACAGCACACAGACAGTTAGCAACTAGCTGTTAATCTTATCAGGAGGCCACAAACACGACTGCAAATGAATGATAATGTTGAGCAACTGTTGACCATATTAACTTTACAGGTGATATTTCAATGTCACAACTTGTTTCTGTCGTCCCCAAGTGGCCCAAAAAGGTTATTGCAGGTTTAATCTTTTTTTAGTCATAGTTGAAAAGAGGCCTATTTTACTGCCCTGTTTTACAAACATTACTTGTGGACCTTTTAACGCCACCAGAAAACATGAGGTTCCTGTGCATTAAAACAAACTAATTAAACTAATGTTCCTCTTTATAGGTCCTTGATGTGATCGCGCCTCCCTACACATCAGACTTTGTTCAGCTCTTCCTGCCCATCCTGGAGAACGACAGCATCGCAGGAACAATCCGCACAGAGGGAGAACACGACCCTGTCGCAGAGTTCATTGGTGAGTGACCTGCTGACACTACAATCGCGCTACACTGACAGAACACAAACATTTGCAGTATCTTAAAGAATTCAGGGCAAGTTCACAAAAATAAGCAGGAGGTGGTTTTCACACACACATATGGGCAGTAACACTAGCACGTCAAATAACGTCTGTTTATATTTAAAGTAAACTTCCTCTTTGTCCTTTTGAAGCACTGACGTGTGACATTGTTTTTTTTCAGCTCACTGCAAGTCAAATTTCATCATGATAAACTGATGTGGAGAGGACACAGAAACTGTACTTGTTGGAGACTGTACCAGGAAGACCTAACAGAGACAGAATCTGTTGTCTCCACGATAACCAAATGCTCTGCTTGATGTTGAAGCACATAAGCTTGGAGACGGAGACTGTTCAGTTTGACCAAGTGAATGATTTAGTTTCTATTGAGGCAAACGCAAACGTCAGTGAGCTGACGGAAAAGTAGTGATACGACAGACTGGTCGGAGGAGAGGCCTCTGAAGATGCAGCTAAATGTTTTGTTTTTCAACCTGTATATTTGATTTTCTATATTTTATGTTGGTTTGAGCTGTTTTAAAATAAAAACCTGAATATGTAGGTTCTTGCATTTTTTGTATTTTATGGAAATTAATGTTTTTTATTGAAAAATGCATAAATATCAGTATTGTCCTGCCATCACGTGGTTCTCGAATTAATGTCAGTTTGTAAAACATAACGGGGCAAAAGGACAGCAGTAAAACACTTCACACATTATGGGGACAGACTTAAAATAGCATCTTATCTGAGGCCAGGGAATACTGACAAAGATCTGAAACCCCACAGAATGTACAGATCAGCAGCAGACATGTTTTCTCAAAGCTGAGAGCTGGAGAACATCATCACTGTTCAGTGTTGTGTTTATTGGCAAAGTTTGAAACAAAACCAAGGTTGCAATTTCTTCTGAATTTCTTATGTGTCGATTGTACTGTGGAAAACAAATTGCATAACTCTTTACTGCAAGTTCATGTAAGGCACACTTAAAGTAGATGTTTGTGTGTACAACTCCTATATCAGAGCGTAGTGCAACATCATCAATACATTAACACCACGCACTGAAGACATTCAGTGTCGAAGCAGTGCAGGACAAATTATAAACACTTTGTTCTTTGGCTGAATCATCATGCATTGAAAAATCCAAACTACAAAAAGCCACCTATGTCCCCTTAATGTAAACTGAAGAATTTCTTGCACCTTCTCAGAGTCTATAATGGTTTATAGTCTATATTCAGCATGCTTTCATTTAGCTAGAGCACACAAATTAATCGTACTGATATATTTCCCTCCTCCTCCCCCTTTAATGTATATGTTTCAGACTGATGGCAGACCTCACTGTAGTTAAAATCAGAAACTCTGCATTGATTCAAGCAGGTCTGATATCCAGCTGGAAGACTGTGGCACTGAAATGTGACTTCCTGATCAAAATTGTAAAAAAATGATTAAAAAGATCTCTTTAAAGAAAAAAATCTAAACTTCCCTTATCAACATTTTGCATAAAAAAAGCTTTTTCCCTCCGCCCGAGTCAGGAAGACTAGGAGAGTGTGCAGTGCGCGTTGGTCTCCTCTACAGGTAGCCCTTGGGGACAATTGGGTCTCCGTACATGCAGTCCTCCTCCAGCGCCAGGTTGTATGTGCTGCCACTTCCTCCTTTATAGGCACTGGTCACGATCCTGAGCCAGCCCTTCTCACCCTGAGGAGAGGAGATCATTTTGATCTTTGATTAATTATTGCAAAAACCAAACACTCTCTTGTGTGACAGAAAGAGAAATATGAGTTTTGGACTGTTGGTTGAACAACAATGGACTTTTTTTCCACAAGCATTATACATTTTACAGACAAAACAGTTATATTAAAAAGTAAATCAACAAATGAATTGATAATGAAGATAATCATTAGTTGCAGCTCTATATTGGGCATGTATACAATCACTTATAAATTATATAGTTTCTGAGTTGATGGTTTCAGAGTTTAAAAATAGTCAATTAATTTGCCAAAGTTGTAACAATTTAGGTTTTTTTCACAGGAGAGATTTCAGTCTTTTCTTTTTTATATTTTCTTAAATCTGTCTTCTTTTATCTGTGATGTTCTAACTGGTTTGAAGTGATTGAAGCTCATCTGGAAAACTCTTATGTGCACCGATCAGAGTTTACCAATATTTCAATGTTATTAATGGGCTGGTTTCTAATGTTGCCACATTAGTAAAAATCTGATTAAATCACACATCCACAGTCCTGAAAGCAGGTAAACAAAGTTGTCTTTATCTTTGACCATCGATCTGACAACCCGTCCCACTTTCACTGCAGGTTTCCTGTTCGATAGGGACTTACCCATGGCTCTCCCCAGGAGTTGCGTACAATCCAGTATTCAACTCCGTTCTCCACTCCCCATCCTGCCACAGACACGATGTGGTTGATGAAAGGATTCTCCTGATATTCTGAGTAGAGACCTCCGGTGTAGGCATCCAGCGTGTCTGTGGCCATAATCCCACAGCTGGAAGAAACAAACCCCACAGATTAGTTACTTCCTCTGGGTGAAAGTGAAACTGGAATGAAGATGTATTATTACTTCCTATACAAGTATAATATCTGTACAATAGGTAACAGTGTGCTTTGGAGGGGCTGAGTAGCTCAATGTTGATGCCTATATGAAGTATTTAACGTTGCAGATCCTTTTTAACCTCTGCGCCGCACACTGGTACGGTTCATTTGCTTCCAAGATATAATACAAAAATGATGTTTCATATTCATATTTTATGCAATTTAGGCTGGTGTAGTTATCTTAAACCTTCCCGGTCTGACTCTATCTGTCAGCATTACTCCCTGTCGATCCCTCACAACAAATCACCCAGTTAGCTACTTGATTTGTTGAGTTTCTTAGGAGGTAGGGGAGATAAAACGTGTGTTATAAAACATTTAAAAAGGTGGTGTAAGCTTCATTCATTCAGCTTACTTTCTGGATAACCCAGATTTGCTGTTGTTGTGATTTTAACTATAGTAGCAATAGAGTTGTGAGTATCGCTGTCTGGAGCTGGTTTGCTGTCTCATTCTCTCTGCATGTTAGCTGCCCTGCAACAACTGTAGTGACAGTTCACTAACCCACAACACAACTAACATCAGTTACATTACTTGCTGTGTTGTCGTTCTCTGCTCTATATAATGGTATCTGTTGTAATATTAGATTTCTCCAGAGTCGCTTACGTCACCTTTAACTTTTATTTTGATAGCGACCAGCTGGCCTGTCTACGTTGTCAGATTCTGGTCTAAAAGATGACAATATTGAGGCGATGATCAGGACTCTGTAGATACATACAGTCAACATTTTCTACTTCTTCTCATGTATATGTATGTTGGATTTTTTCCTATTTCCCATTGTAACCTCGTTACAGCTTCAAGAGAGGTTTGTTTGGGTGCGTGCTTCCTGTTTTGAGGCGATCTCCAACGGATTCACAGGTTAAAGTTTTACCTTGTGCTCAGTCGACCAATAAAAAAAACGCGTTTGGAAATAGAAAAGGTTTTATTCTAGCTTGTTTCTTTGTAGTACTCTGTTACACTACTGGATTATAAACTGTAATGTCACTCACACTTTGTGATCGCTCTGATAAAAAATAAATTATTATCTGCATCAGAAATGTAACATCACATCTTTTTTTGTGGCAGATTGCGACACATTTTGTTGAAGCATCAGAGTCAGTCTCAATGCTGCATTCAGAGGAATTCTTTTCATTCCTTTTTCTTTATTTATGTTTCTTGTCTATGCATGTCGTTGGTCTGTACGGTGGATGTGGGCTCCCTACAGTCTTTGTGTAAGTGGGTGTAGTTGTGAGCTGGTGGTTCGTCTTTCCTAAATACATTTAAAGCTGGTAAAGAGCAGGACGTCTACTCATCTACAAGAAAAAACCTAAATAAGTTCCAAACCTGATCGGTCCTCTGGCGTAGATTTCCGCCATCATCTTCTCCCTCCCGCTGACAGCTCCGAAATCTCCCACTTTCCACAGCGTGTAGTTCTTTACAATATTGCACACTCCAAAGGTGGTGCAGGTGCCACATTCGTTGAAAGGTTTGCACTCTTTAGAGAGGGACACAGAACATGCACAGCTCAGGCTCAGTGTTCAGTGAGTTTAACCATCACTTAGAGCACTGAAGGACACTTACTCTGGTCTTTAGCCTGGTAGTTGTTGCAGGTCTCATCTGGGATCCCGTGTTTGTTTGCGTACTCCCACACACCGCTGTGATCCCCACCATGGCAAGAGCCAGCATCACCACAGTCGATCACGTTCTGGACAGAGAGATAGGCAGACGGCCACGCTCCTTTCCTCTTAATGTTGATACGATCTGGCGAGAGAGAGCACACACAGCTTTTATACACATAAAGAGAAACAAAAAACCCCAGACAATAATTTACAGTTATATCAAAGTCACTTCTCTGAAAAGAGGAAGTGAAACTGCAATCCTAAATCAAATAATGTCAGAGCGGTCATGTGAGGACCTGCTGTTCCAAACCACAATGACTCAGCATCCAATGGAGCAAATTCATACCTGCCATTGCACTGGTGCTGCCATGGGCCCAGCAGGAGCCACAGTACTGGGGTATGTGCTGGTTGCGGGTCGTGCTCACATAGTTGGTGCCGTCGATGTTCCTCCAGTCCCACGATTTGGGCAGATCATTAATGTTTAAATACTCATGAGGACGAGGAGCGGTCCTGTGAACAGACATTAGATATGTTCACTCTGCAGCAGCAACACACTCAATAAACACACATTATAGTTATATTATATTATATATTTGTCTGGGGCAAGATTTAAGAAGTTTAGAACAGGTATTACAACACAAACACAACACTCAGTCTCTATAATCATGTGCACCGATGCCTCCTCATGCTGGATGTCCACAAATCTGATCTACAAAGACTAAAAACACACTTCCTGCATCTTTACATCTGAATTTGGTTCGTTTTGTAAGTGCACAATCATGTTTTTCGTTTTTATTCTCAAAAGCCCATGTATATACAGTAGAATATGTAAAGGCATGTTCGTCCCATTTGATAATAAAATTAACTTACTGACATTAAGTAGATCTAATCTGAGCTGGGTGGGAACTAACAGCTGTGTGCAGCTAACGTGAGCTAACTTAAACTATACATAAAATAAAAGCTCTCTACTAAAAGAAACTACTCCACGCTTCTTCTTCCTCATTATTAACACACGTATTAATTTAACCCCCGACTTACTTTAGCCCAAAGTCGTTGTTTCTCCTCGGTGTGCGGACATAGCAGGGCTGCTTCTGGTTGAAGAAGACCCCGGCGGACACAGCACACAGCAGCGCTGAGAGCAGCACGACGACCAGCGGGGTCCGAGCCATCTGAACCCCCGAGAACAGAGCTAGGAGAGCGGGAAGAGGACGAAGGGAAGGTCGGTGTCGTTATCAGAGAGAGAACTGCTGTGTCTGTGGGTGAGAGCTGATAAACCGGTGCTACTGAGGCTGCAGTCATGTGACCTATAAATCACATCATGCGCAGACACCACATGTTCAAGGAGGAAGTTAGAAAAACAACAGGGCCACTCCTAAGTCATGTTAAGTAAACATATAATGGAGATTGAGCTTCGTTATGTCCCTCCTATCCACATAAAGCAGCTGTTTTATTATTGGTAACACATCTCGAGTTTGTTAACAAAGTCTCTTAACGCCATTTACCACCAATAACACATTAAAAGAAAGGAAAGCAAATAGTAACAGATGAAACTGGACATGAAACCTGATGCTACATGTAGCATCGTAGTTATGTAGTTTAATACAAACACACTGAGACTGCAGTCTGTTACTGAGCTACTGTCCTTACCGTGTGATACCTGCTGCAAGTGACAATCTGTCTGTGATTAACCTTTATAAAGATTTATTAAACCCCTTAATGATCATCATGAATGTGCCTGTAATGAAGCTCTCAGTTCATGTATTGTTTAACAATCCCAGAAGAGCAGGAAGAGCACAGAAACCCACAAATGTGTCATATTGGGGGTTTGAACTGGTGTTTTAGAGTCTGAACTTTAAACAATGACAGAAATTAACAATCTGGAAAAGGTAACATACATGTTGTGATGCTATTACACTCTTTAAGTTATAAACTGAACTCAAGATCCACTTAAAAGCTTTTAAGTCTTCATTTAATTCTCCTAAAATCTTGAGTTCAGATATTTTTGTCAATGTTTTGGAGCATTTTACTTCACATGCACACACAGAGGTCAGATGGCACCGACTTTATTGAAGGACATGATTGTCACAAGGGTGGAAACAATTTCATACTTACACTGGAATCTAATACTTGGACTTAGTTATAAACTTCTATGTGCATTTTGTGCTGACAGAGCATATGTGGCACTGCTTGGCAAGTACTCACCTGACACTGAACTGTAAAACTGTTAAAAACTGCAATGAGCGCTCACTCCTCAGTTTGGTCCAAGAGATAACACAATCCAACTATACACAGGGTGAACACAAAGTGCAGTGGTTACCATAAAAGAAAGGAAGCTTTACTGATCCTGATCCAGTATTCTTTCACAATGTCAGAGACAACATGTATGGCATAAATCCTTGTTGTGCATAAAAGTATCAACATACAACAATGCCTGCTGATGAGGTGGATATCTGAACACAAGGTGTATGTTTTATGAGGTAAAAACAAACAAATCAATGCATCGTCATCAAGAGCAACTGGACAATGGAGAAGCTTTGGAGGTGATCAGTGCAGCAAGTGCTACGTCATGAGGACAAAAAAGGCCCTGTGTTTTTATCATAATCATGTATAACACACCTGATTTACTCATTATCTTTTTTTTTTTTTTTTTTATTATTCAGTGAATTCAAATTGAATCAAACACAGGAAGTTGAATCACAGTTTTAAAATGTTTTAACTGGATGAGCTCTTGCTTCAGCAGTTTGAGCGGGAGCCGGTCGGCGTTGGGGAGTAAACCGTTGCGTCTGTTCTACACCAGCCTTCGTCTCTTGCAGTCACGCTCCATATGGTCTCCGGACATGTTGGTGGCAGCACCCAGAGGAGACACTTTGTTCAGCATGGAGTCTTCTGATGCCTGACCAAACAGGGCCATTAGCAGAGCAACGCCGAATCCTGTGGCACGCTCCCCCTGAAGAGACAAAATAAAAACAGAGGTCAGATTTCAGCGTTGTTACCGTAAAGTTACCCTGCAGTTATCTTTTCTTTGCTTCCTTAAAGTTCTCTTTTACAAACAGAGTTAATGTGTCTGAAACCTAAGACCTTGTTTGGTCTAAAATCCCATTTTATAAATGTTACTACAGGCTTTATACAGAGGCACAATCCTGACACGCCTGCAGGAAAGTTGTAAAAAGCAGTTGGAATTGAAAGAAAACATAATGAGCAGGTGTAGATGTACGAGAACAATCTGATAATATATCATTATTTGATAATGAAATCAAAGCTGATAGATTATCGGTTTATAATAATTTATTCGAAATAAATGTGATATAGTACCAGTCACAACTAATAAGATCAGCTGCTCTCACTTCCTTCTAAAGCTGCACTGTGTTTCATAATGAATGAGGAAGGAAAGTAGCAGCAGAAATCAGAGAAATAAAGTTTCTGTGGATATTAATGGATCAACAAGTTTCTGTACAACATGGAAACTGATACGGTTAGTTTGCCCTTCCAAGGTCTGATAAAGAGGCCCTCCTTTTGTTCATACTGGCACTCAGGGAATCCCCACAATTGTTTTTAATTTTGTCCCCCATCACTTACATTGAAAATGCATCAGAAAAGATCTTTAAATGTCCAATATGAACAGGAGGAATTATTACAGGAAACAAAAACCTGTTCAATACATGTTCATATGGGCACCTGACTATTGTTTTAGGACTTAAAATTTGAACCTGAATCCTTTAAATATTAACAGAATATTTTGTCATGTTTGGCTTCATAGGAGAGTTGTTGCAAACTTCCTTAAACATTCTGCTGACTCAGTTCTTTCAGGTTATTGTCTCTGCTGACAGGACTTAATATTTGTCACTATTAACTCAAACCAAAGCACCATTTTCCACAGCTGATTGCATATGGACCTGCAAACGACTTTGTACTATCATAAATATATTTACATTATTTTGTGGTGAAAAAGGTTCAGACATTGGCTCAATGTGATCCTGTAGAGGCTTATGTGCACGAGTCTCAAACCATTAAAATACAGCACAGAAAACCAGCAGCTTAAGCTAGGCATGGTCTGAAGTATGCAGAATTTCTGATACGAAAGTTGCAGCACGACATCTAAAATGTAAATTCCACTGACACGCCCCTGATCTGCTCCTCTGCTCATCTCAGCTTGAGACATTTCTTGTCAAGCCAGTTGCAGCCAGCAGAAAACACGTGCATGCACCCAATAAAAAAAAAAAAAAAAAAAAAACACGTTCACTTCACTGAGTTATGACTATCACCTGACTTGCTCCAGGGTAAAAATCAGAGCACTAACTTGATTGCTCAGTATCTGTTAGTTCCAGGTACTCACAGCATGTACGGGGGAGGCGATATCAACATGGACCCAGACACCAGGCCAATCAAAGCCCAGGTGGGAACCAATAAAGAGGCCGGCGCAGGAGCTCTGGGCGTTCTCTCGGTCCTGTCAAGTCACAAATAATTATACATTATAATTACAGTTTACAACCATAGTACCATACAAAATTAACTCTTGCCTTTGGTGTCCAACCATTTGTATGCAGATTTAATAGGTAATAAGCTTGAATAGCTTCAAGCTTTAAAAACACATTCAAACGTTTCTTATCCAGTTTGCTTCCAGATTTGGACAAAACAATTCAGACAAACTAGCAGATAGACGTTTCAGCATAACTAACACAGCAGCGGGTATCTGTTGTTATGTGGTCCAGCCTGTACTGACATGCAAAAAATAAGGTAGAAGGTAAAGTGAGCTACAACAATAAAGAAATTCCCTAAAAAAGGCCTTACTGACACTTTTACTTACAATTTAATTTTCTGTCCTTCAAACTCTCAAATGTGTTAGATCCCCATGCCCTTTGTTAGCATTTGGGTTTGATGAATCTGTGGTTTGTCACTTACCGCCACAGAGTTCTTCATGTCGGCCATGGCAGAGGTAAACTCGCTGAAGTGCAGCTCCGGGCAGTAGACCAGAGGGTGAGCGAGATCTCCGCTGCTGCGGCCAGCGCGGACACATGCAACTTCCCACTCCTCACTGTTAGTCATCACCGCTGCATGGTACTTTCCAGTGGAGATCCCCTGCACGACAGAAACAAAAAAGGTTTTAGATAGAGACCTGTTGGAAGGCTAAATTAATTGTTGGTTTTGGTTTCTTTAAAGGTATGCGTTGATAAAATATTATATATATATATATATATATATAAAAGATAAAATACAGTCAGTGTTATCCTCTGAGTCTATATCTACTGACTTGTAATGCAAGTTGAATCCTCCAGCTCATACACATACTGTGCAAAGTTTAACAACAGTCTATAAAGAGGCTGTCACCCACCTGTGCCCCCGTCAGTGTGGCCATGTCCAGAATAATATCAGCTGACAGGTCTTTGCTGGCATACACTACTCCATCAGCCAGCACCAGCCTGCCCTCTGCATCAGTGTTGTTGATCTCCACTGTCCTTCAGGATAAACAAATGACATGAAAATGTAAACCACAGCACACATTCATTCTAGTGGGTTTTACTAGTAAAATAATGTTTAGGTAATTTAACACTAAGAAAAAGTCTTACTTTCCAGAGTAGAGAGTGTGGATATCATCAGGTCGTGTGGCCGTGGGCCCGACTGCATTCTCTGCCAGGCAAAACACTGCATGGAGGTTATCCTTAAAGCCCTGGTGCAAACAGAGGATAGAGTCTGACTTTAAAAACTCTGCTGCAGAGAAACAGAGGAGGCTAAAATGACAGCTGTTACAACTGCTGTGGGATGAGATAAAAGTCACCTCACCTGTTTAATAGTAGCGCTGAAAGCTCCCAAAATGGCAGCTGCTCCACCACAGTCCCTCTTCATCCCTGGCATTGTGGTCTAGAAAGTAAAACATATTTACATGCGATGAAATGTGATCTCTGAATGTCTCTCGTTCATTGAGCCAACTCAAAAGCTTTTACCAGATAGTCTGTAAACCTTTTCTCTGCAGAATAAGGGAGCTCTACCTTTCTATTTGCACATGAGACCACATAAAGTGCTGCATGCAACAGCAGCTAAATGTGAACGGATTATACTGAGAATAAGCTTAAAGCTTAACAGATCAGGGCTGTCAGAGAGTGTAGGTTTGAGGACCGCCAAGACGACTGCAATCAGCTTTTATGAGGCTGTCAAAAATGTTGTGCTATGCTGTGTACTGAAGGTACTGTACTGTTCGCTGGGAACATCACTACAGTAGGACATCAGCATAACAAATATTGTGGTTTTTAGTTAATATGCCTTCTCCAGAGGAAAAACAGGAGTACCTTTCCCTTGATGCTGAGTCCTCCAGTGTCGTACACGATGCCCTTGCCCACCCATGCAATGGTTTGGGTTGCACCGTCTGGTGTGTGGCTCAAGACCGCTAATGCAGGAAGATGCTCTGCCGCCTTGCCAACCCCATAAATACCTGAAAGGGTGAAGAATTCAGTTATACATACTTATCGCTCTACAAAGAGCTGTGGTTTCCCCAATATTTGGGTTTAGTTTTCTGAAAAGAGTGTAATATTTTGCAAAAACCAGCTTCAACAAAAGATGTCACAGTGAAACACAATTACAGTTATTTAGACTTTCAGACTCCGAATGCAAAGATAATTTTTTGGATGTGGGTCTTTAGACACCAAATTGATAATGATTGTGACATTAAGACCGAATTAATATACACTAATTACAGACAGTACCTCCAAACCCTCTTTGTTTGAGTTCCTCTCCACGAATGATCACTGGAGTGATTCCAAGTTCAGTTCCCACAGACTTGATTTCCTGAAACACAAATTGACGTCTGTGACAGGAGCCTGGATGACTCAAAATGATCATTTCAGGTTCCTGCAGTAATGGCAACAACATTTCTAAAAGAAATTCACTTACATCTAAGAAGTGGTCTGTATTCATCTCATTGCATGGTGTGTCCACGATGCGAGCTGCAAGCCGCACTCCATCAGCAGCGTTGGAGAGGCACTGAACAGAAGAAAAGACTTCAGCTACGCAGTCAACACGTACCACAGCGCATCAAGACCATGCCATTTCTGAGCAGCATACTAAAGGCCCTGAACATTGTGATAAAAGTACCTCAAGTTCTGCGACATCCAGAGAACTGCTCTCTTGCCCGACGATCACGAACTCCAAAGTGACGTGCTTCTTCTCAGCTCTGCGTGAGGCTGTGGAGCGGCGAGTGAAGATGGGGAAGGCCCTGGCGATGGCACAGGAGGATGCAAACACATCTGAACGCTCACACACCATCTACAGAGGAACACACACACACACTCTCAAATCAGCCACTCTGTCACTTAGTCCACTGGATGACCCAGATTGAAGTGCCATCGGAGTCATAAAATGATGAAGCAGCAGATCAGTTCTGTAGCGAACGCTCTCTGACCTCTTTGGAGAAGGTCAAAGAAATGACAGAAAATTCCCCCCTTAAAGGGATCCTTAATTATTTTGCAACAGGCAAGAACAAACACAAATCTTATACTAGATTACTGACCACGATGCAGCGGTTGTTCCCGCCAGGCAGGCAGGAACGGACCAGACGGGACAGAAAGTGGGCAGAAGAGGGGCTGTTGTGCCTGCTGACCCGTGAAGGAAGTGCAGCCACCGTAGCATGGTTGAGGTACAGGGGGCAGCTGTCCGTGGGGTTTGGGTTCAAAGCACCGAGAGCCGCCTGCCAGATCTGAGAAAACACGAGACAAAACTGACATTTTAGACGCACTGTCAAGTTCACTAATCATTTAAGTCATTTATCGAGCAAAAATGTGTAACATTACCTGGTTACGGCTTCTAAAAAGTGTGTGAATTTGCCACTTTTCTTAGTCTTATTAGACAGTAAATATAACTAAGAGCACTGCAAGCAGTAGAGTAACAATCATGTGAGGTAATCAATGTAGGAGGAGCTCTGAATGGCAGGAAAACCTCTCCTTGACCTGGCAGACTCACTCTCTCCTGAGTGGTTGTCACCGTTGCACAACCACCTCCTGAAGACTTTGTACCACAGCCTATAACACAACCCTAACATCTCCATCTTAACCGAACGGGATGCCACCCTGCTTAAACCCAGGGGTGTATGTGCATCACTCAGTAGTACTCTGCAAGATGAATTTTCTTCCCTAGGATGGCCAAGGCGTAACATAGTTGTTTAATTTTAATGAACGGATGCAGTGAGGAATATTTCCCTCAGCCTCTAATGTGTGGTCCAGTATTGGCTCATATTAATATTTCACAATGATCTTTCCTTCCTGGAGCCAGTTAAGTGGCAATATGTCACTATAATAAGTATATTAAGTAGAGCCAGTCCTCCAGACCCCACTACCACCTTACATTACTGTCTCAGTCATTAGACCATTATCAGTCAGACTTTAACCTCAACACCCGGTTGTAAAACCGAATATTGCTCCCGGATAAGTTATTTAAACTAAATAATAAACTCTAACAAACACTTGTTACTTGTTACTTACAGTTAAGAAACTAAACATTATATTAAAACGAGGTTTTATTGAGTAAAACACACTCAACCGTTACCGGCTCCGACCGTTGGTACCCGTTATCTCCTAACGTTCTCTCGACCGACCGTTACACTAACGTTAACCGACCCTCGCCGTCGCTAGCTGTGTTAGCTCGGTTAGCTTAGCATAGCATAGCATTAGCACAAACACTAGCTGTCACCCAAACTCCATTTTCCATTCACACTATCAGGTAGCGTTACCTCCTTGCTGACGACCGGCTGCAGTTTGCCTTTGATCTGACTCCAGCTGACCTGCTGCAGGCTCGACTGCTGTCCGACAATCAGAACAGGGCGACTCTGTGGCTCGGAGTCACCGGCAGAAGCCTTGAACTCCAGCACCACGTTCGCCATCTTTGTGACTTGCTCCAGAGAAAGTTAGCCGACAGACCGCCGTCGTTCACTGCAGCCCGAACCGGCGACGGAAGCCGGGAGAGGACCAATTGGCTCTTGGCTGTTTAATTTATAGGGGACGTGAGTAATCTGTAATCTTTATCAACCTCTACCGGCGAGCAGCTGCAACTACATGAAGCGACACCGCTGAACATGAGCTGAGAACAACCAGCCTGAAGCTATTAAGAGTTATTATTCATCATAAATTCATACACATAACTTTGTATAAACACCAGATACTGAAGTAAATGCCCAGGGGTGTATCCATGTCTTCATTCCAGTATCTGTGCAGGCTCTCCTCACATGAGGGTCCGGTATAATAGTCCCCTTTACCCCTGTGAATGCCTCTAACATCAGGGTCAAAGATGGAAATACTCTTAATTATTGTATCCCTGACAGAGTTTGATATCTCATATTTCATAGATATATCTGAATATAAATATAGACATATATAAGGGCTGACCATGGAAAGAAACAACCTGCAAGAACACTTCAGAAGGTAGCGATTTATTTATTTTCTTTCATATGAATGGCATCCACAACTAGAAATCATAATAGTCATCATAGTTCAAGTTGGGAGTTACACCCTGAAATTTCAGTAAGATGTAAAGAAGACACACAGTTTGTTTACATGAACAGCTGTAACAGAGCGATTCCTACAGACAAACATTATTTCACTGCAACTCGTGTTCAGAAATATCAAACCAGTCTTTCCCCACTAACTTCATCCAAATTTTAAAAAAAGCAAGGACATCCTCAAACTGAGTTGACTTTTACATTTATCAAGTTAACTTTGTAAAAATGCACTTTCAAATTTGATATATTTGCATAAACGTTAGGATAACCTACTGTAAAATGTAAACTTTAATGTCAGAGTGCAAATCGTTAAGGAAAAATCAATTAGTAAAAGGGGAAAATATCAACGTCTGTGTGTGTATACTTCTTTTAGATTATAAAAAGATAAAGATTTAACACTCATCTCCATTTATAAAAACGTGATATTTAAAGAGAGAGAGGCAGTGACATCATTGTACCAGTACAGGTGTATTGTGCTAACGAGTAAAGCGATTAACTGTTATTATAAAAAATTCTCTTCAGTGTTGCCAATTTGTCTTAATTTACTTATAAAATATGTGAAATAATTACTAGACACAGATTCATTGAATGTCAATAAATGCTGGATAATAATGAAGGAAATATGGAGACTTTTCCAACGGACCAGGAAACATAGAAGAGAAAACCACCTTTCATTAACAGTTCTAGTGTTTCACAGAGGTTATTAGTGTCTTCAGATGCGAGTGGTTTCATTTCACTGCACACTGGCAACATTATAGTGACAACAAAAGGTAAAATGTAGCACTGAAACAACAGATTAATTGAAAATTAAAGGAAAAATGTGTAGAATTCAGTGACATCTAGTGGTGTAGTTACAGATTGCAACTCCCTCGCTTCATCCTCCCTGTCCAAGTGCGAAGGAGAAACTACGGTGGCCATGAAACTGGCAACAAAAAACACAAAAGGCCCAACCTAGAGCCAGTGTTTGGTTTGTCTGTCGTGGGTTACCGTAGAAACATGGCGGTTGAACATGGCGACCTCGATGGCAGGCGACCCGCCTCGTCTGTAGATATAAATGGCTCATTCTAAAAAAGGTAACGAAATTTATATTCAGGTCAACTAATGAAATCATACCTATGAATATTATATTCCCTTTCTTACAGTAGATCCTCCTAAATGTTACACACTGGACCTTTAACTGACCATTTGATAATTGACATTTTACTAATTCATCAAGCAAAAACGCCTCTTAAATGTGAGGGATTTGGTGTAAATTAAATATCTTTGGGTTTTATACTGCTGATCAGGAGAAACAAGCAATGTAAAGACATCACCTTAGAACTTGCAATGTGTTTTAAAGTATGTAAAAATACTCTATTTAGTTTAAAATGATTTTAAACAGATAAAAAGGAGAAAAAAAAAACTGCAAGAACATACTTTTTCTCCCTCACTGAGGAATACTGGCTCTAAGAACGCCCCACCCGCCACTGCTGCTTGTGCCAGGTTCACCGACGATAGAGGACCTTGCATCAAGATGGCTAACATTAGAGGAAACATCGGAGAGATTCAGCCATAGTCTAAATGTTTAAGCCTCATATCAAAATGTGTAGTTAGCATATTTTATTTGTTTATGTTGCTTGTTAGCCCGTAACTTGCAGTGGCTGCCGCAGCGTCAGTGGTTGTGAAAGATGTATTATCTGTGACGATGTTACACTATGTTCACATTGTTATTAGGTAGCAGAAGGAGGAAGGAAGCTCTGGGGTTCGGTTTACATCCAAAAACTGCGCACTCTACCATCTTTGCTGTCAAAACTTTCACTATGCTAGTGCAAACTCTCAGTACTGACAGGGTTTCTGTGCTGGTGGCATTTGCTAGACAGCGATTGGCTTTTGAGTTTGTTGCGTACTGAATCTAGCTTTGCCGGGGTACGTTTGAATCTCAGATTATCGGGAAATGTACAGATATTAGTAGAAGTGAAAACGCCTCTTTAGTGACAAACTTTGCACAGTCATTTAAGTTAAGGTCAGACATTGTAGCAGACATAAGAAAAACACATTTCTGAGTTGAGGGGATCTTTAACCATTAAAAAAAAAGAAATTAATGATCAAAATATCAGTCAGTCAGTCTTTAGTTGCAGATGTAGTGAACTTTTCACATTTACTAAGAACGCAAGATTTTCCTGAAAGATTTTTTCCTGTGCATTTAAACTGCGCATAAAACATATAGCTTATTTATTTCTCTGATCGCTTGTTTATTTAATTCTCTGGCTTATTTAACTGAAACGTGATACTTGTGTCATGCTGTACGTTTGTTATTTAACATCCACCTCAAAATGTACTTTTTATTGCATCCACAGTACAGTACCCACTGACCTGAGGTTAATTGTGAATAATTTGGGATTTTCAAGATAATACAAGTAAAAGGATAACTTCATTTTAAGAACTATATATACACTAAACTCTGTAAACTATATCATTGTTACTATACACATGCTTGTGACTTTACTAAATTGAAATGCAACTTATATCAATCATGATAATATTAGAATAAAACTGTTTTTATATCCGTGTAGTGTCTGCTACACTCTCGACAGGATTAGAAAATAAGAGTCTTATTAATTGCATAAAAGGCTTACAGCACCTGTAAAATATTTTAAAACAAGTATAATTAGGAAGCAACGTCTAAAATGCAGCCACACACACTCACACTCACACTCACACTCACACACACACACACACACACACACACACACACACACACACACACACACACACACACACACACACACGTTAATTAAACACGGAATCATCCGAGTGTTTTTGCACTTGCATCAGCTGAGCACGAAAACAAAGATTTCAGGCTTCGGTGGTTAAGGAGCTAAGAATCGAATCAGATAGTGACAGCGGACGGGGGTTCAAGTGAAGAGGCTTGTGTAGTGTGCCCATGTTAAAACTTCCATTCATTGCTAATAGTTAATACACTAACATAACATATATATGTGTGCTAAACTCAACTTGTGTGACAGAGAAGATAATCTAAGGAGAGGTCTGCTAATATTAGTGATGTGTAAGACTAGATTTTAGAGAAGCAATCAATGCCACTAGTGCATGAGTACATGGTGTACATGCAGCTGCATATGACACACATGTGAGAAGGAGACTTGGAGACTTTGGGCTACACTTGGATGAAATCTGACTCCAGTGGCGCCTGTGCGGCCTCTGACTTAGGCGTGACACAGATTGCCACTGGACCCACAGGGGGCAGCAATGCCACAGTTCTTCAGGATGGGGTTGAAGTGGGAGGGTGTACCGGTGCCGGATTCTCTGGGAGGAAAAGGCTTCATGGTGGAGAGGATCAGGGCGAGACAGTCTGCCACATTCTTGTTTGGGGCACAGGCCAGAGCTGGTGTGTGGCCTGCAGAGGGTCAACAGAGAAATCAATGCCACGGAGTCCTTCAGTAATATTTTTGTTGGCAGGAAACTTGGACTGCTTTGGTATTGTATAACAGAAATATAATTAGTCCTGCTTACCTTCCTCATCTAAGGCCATTACTGCTGCTCCTCTACTCAGCAACACCTGCACTACAGTCGCCAGGCCTTTCCTCGCTGCAATGTGAAGGGGCCTGTATGAGGAAGAAAAACGATTAGTGCAATTACAGTGCGTCATGGGAGGAAGGCAACCATGTTAAAGAATTCACATGCAGTATTACTGGGACCAAAGGCAGAGGAGTCAGTACGGTAAACATGGAAAATCTTCTTCCTAAACTTCACGGTGCCTTGTTAAGGTACATAACACACTATATATTCCATAAGTAAATAATTATTCACCAGCTTTACTGCAGTGCATTTCCTTTTTTTTCATACTACATTTGAGTGTGCACGAATAGCAGCCAGTTTGCTTTAGACAACTCACATTTGGAGAGCACTGTTTGTTGCATTAATGAGTGAGGAATCGCTGATTTCTCCCAGGATTAACAGGGCACACATCTCATGACCCTGCAGAATAAAACACATTGCATTGAGTGTCAATCTTCTTAAGCAAAATTGTATAAACTAAGTCGTCAATGTCATAAGCTGTGGCTGAAAATGTAATCAAATTGTTTAATAAACTAAAAAAAAAAAATGTAGAAAAATTCCACACCGTGCAATGTTATACCACCACATCATTACATTCTTACTGTTATGAGCCTTTGCTAAACATGTTTGATTACATTTTAAACCTAATTTTCAACAGGGATTTTATCATATTTTGGCAGGTTATCACCTGATCTGACAGTTGTTACACTACTGTTGCTACACACATGCAAAAGTTATCGTGCCACTGCATGCATACAGTACATGCATTTGAATGTGTATGTGACCTTGCTGCAGGCTAAGTGAAGGGCAGTGTTATTATTGACATCCACCAGGGTCAGGTCTGGCTTCGCTTTGTGCAGCAAGAACTCTGAAATGCAGAAAATAAAGACACCTTTCACAACAAACACAGGCCTTTATATGTAAACGTAGACCAACTTAAAATCAGTGCAACAGGGGAAGAGATTTGTATTAAAAGGTAAAAATAAGTGGGGACTGTGAGGGTCAAAACAACAGTACCCATGTGTTACACCAGGTGTAGATCAGAGTAATGGCATACACATTTCAAAAACACTAACCAGAGGACTTTCAATCACATACCGACAGCCATCGTCTCTCCACAGTCGGCAGCAACCATCAGAGCGGAGCATCCACAGTGGTCCACAGCATTGACTTCTGCTCCCTGGGCCAGGACCAGCTGGAGCCCAGCGACATTTCCTGAATGAGCAGCTGCATGCAGTGGGGTCCTGCACTCACACAAACAGATGAAAACACAGATAAAACACAGGATGGGCAGGCACATTACATATAAAAATATGTTTTTAATTGCTTTATTTTTTTTTTATATAAAAACTGCCAATTTTGTGGGATATCCTGGACCAAATGGACGGCAATAATCATGTTGAGATGTTATAAGAGTGATTTAATTGCATATAGAACAAACACTGTTCTCTTCTGCTCTGTTATGATAACTAGAGCTCAGCTCAGAGCAGAACCCACCTTCCTTTGGCATCGCTAACATGAACAATTTGAGGGCCAACAGTTTTCACTAGAAGTCCAGCAGCAACATCGTGTCCATTAACTCTGCAAAGGAAGAACATATTTGATAAATTTTGAAGATCAACATTAAATTCATGTATGATGAGCCTTTACATTTACTACGGTACTCACAGAGCACAGTGCAATGGAGTGAAGAGATTTCCTTCCTGGTTGCTAAAAAGTTTGTTTTCAAGTAAAATGTGTAAACATCCTTCATGCCCTGCAGACACAGGAAAGAAAAAATAATAATATTCAAATCTTAGAAAAATAACACAAAATCTCACCATGCAAGAGTTTAACAAGACAGTTAAGTGTTTAAACAGAGAAATTATTCAAAGGCTTAAATGATGCTGTGGATGAAAGATCAGAGACTGTGCTTGTGCTGCTCTAAAACATGTTTAACATTTAAAAAGTTTTATTTTTATTCATCTCCATGTTTGCTGCTCTATTCAGCACTAAACCAAACTCTCTTTGTTAAAATTACTTTAATTAGATTTGACATGATGTCTCACCGTGGTAGGCAGCCCAGTGGGTGGGCGTGTAGCCTCTGTAGTCCAATATGGAGTCCAGAGGGTCAGCTTTCATAGCAGCTTTCAACAAACTTCGTAGTAGCTCCGTGTGGCCGAGGGACGCTGTCAGGTGCAGTGGGGTCCTTCCCTGAGAGTCTCTACACAGGGCAGAGGCACCATGTTCCAACAGAGCAGAGACACAGTCCTCACTGCCCAACATGGCCTACAGGGCGAGGACACAAGATAGGATGTGAGAGGAAAACAACACATATAGAACATGCAGGAGGATTCTGTAAAGGGACAAATCCCTAATTTACATAAATATGTGCATTTTTTAAAAAAGTGTACGACAAATACACGTACAGCTCTGTGTAATGCAGTGAAGCCCTTTTTGTCCGCAGCATCAGCCTTCGCTCCTTTCTCCAACAGGATGTGGACGCAGTCGGTGTGACGTCCCAGAGCTGCAAGCATGAGAGCCGTCCTGCATACGATAAAGAAAATACTCTGATCATCAGATCGTCAGACTTTTCAGTGGGTAAATTAACCTGACGGCATTATAAGTGTAACCTTTAAAAAAAAGAAAGCATGTACATTTCTATCAAACAATCACATCATAGTGCTTGAATATTAGCTGGCAGTTATTTATGAGTTCACTAGCTAACTCTGACACCTCGACCTATGATCAACAGCACCTGGAGTCATTGTTTTAGAATACCATAAACTGTTGATCTGTTGCATTTGATACAATAAACTACCTTTAATTAGCTCTATGTACCTGAGTGGCTGTCAAGATAAACAGTTTCACACTGAAATGTATCCGTATTTTATATCCTGTCACGTCATAACAAGACAAATTATGTTAATAAGTTTTAAATGGAACAGTATTGTATGTAAAAGCTCTACGTGTCAGGTGTTAACCCAATCAATCAATGATAACCAATCAGAGTATATGAAATGAAGTGACTTACTGCCCCTGTGTATCAGGACTGTCGATGAAGTCAGCACTTTGTTCCCCGTTGACCAATAACAGCAGACAGTCCATTTGGCCCTCAGCAGCTACACGGGGGAAAAGAGTAAAAGGAAAATATCAAGTAAAAAAATATCACAGAGATTAATATTAAACAAAAACTTCTAATAACACCAACTCAAAGTGTCCATCAAAAGCCATCAACACAACCAACCACATGTATACTGTATATTTTTAAGTCCCATCTCATATGGTTTCCTTAAATATCCCATACACACCTGCAGCATGGAGAGCCGTCCACTTGCGCTTGTGCTCCTTCAGTGTGTAAGAGGCTTGATGTTTCAGCAGTACTTCCACACATGGGGCGAAACCTCTCCGAGCAGCCAGATGGAGGGCAGTTCTCCCTTCAACGTCCCGAACATCCAGACTCACTAATGTCTCAGACAGCAGACGCAGTGCCTCACAGTGACCATAATACGCCTGTAGAGGCAGAATGCGTAACAGTAGAGTCAAAAGGCATGTAAACACGTGGTCTTCATTGAGAAGTTCAATCTTTGTCAGTGTATTTAGTGTGATCGTGTGCTACTCACAGCCAAGTGCAAAGGACTGACTGGAATATTACTTTCAACCTCTTCTAGACAGTTGAAGGAAATCTCCAGGAGCTGCAAGAACGAGAGAGGAAAAAGAAAAAACGCATCTTGGTCTGGTCTGCAATTGATTAAAGATCAAAGTCATTTATCAAAAGCCTCCTAATCAAAAGATACCACTGACCAGTTCCAGGTGCTGTTTGTTCCCATAAGCTGCTGCATAGTGGACAGCACTGTAGCCCTTACTGTTCTTCAGAGTTGGGTTCGCCCCATTGTCAAGCAAGTAGTCTAAACACCTGAACACACAGAGCAGAACATCAGGAATCCTGTCTGGGTTTAATTCTTCTTCCAGCACCAAGAAGTCATCAAAAAAAGCCATTATGTAAAGTGTTTCATAAACATTCACTTCCCAAAAGGCATTAAAGGTTCAGTTACTATAAATAAAACATGGCTTTTCTGTGTATTGTTCTGTTATTTGTTTAGAAAGATAAAATTCACTGCATTTTTATATAATAACTGAATCATATTTCTGTAAAATCTTAATCATTTAAAAGTGATAAAAGTCTCATTTTGACCTTCTATTTGGTCTTACTGTTGCACAGTTGTGATATTTTCCTTATCTCTGATTTTGTTCTGAATTACTTTTCAAATAATGGAAAGGCTGCTAACTAATCAATTATATTCAATTAGAGTCCATATTAATATGAGCACCTCTTATGTATAAAGATAGTTTATTACAATTCAAGGATTCAAGCTTATTCTATTGTCATTTACAATGCAGGGTTGTAAAATGAAATTCAGATATAGTTCCCTTTATGCTACTTGTAAAAAATAAAAATAAAAATAAATTATGTGTGATAAAAAAAGTGGCTTACAGAGAGGCTTCATGTTGTTTTTCCTCGCTGTATTCGGGCTTAGAGTTTGTTTTGCCTCTGTGGAAAGAACGACGGACACTTTTTAAAACAGGATTATCAAGGACGAACTGTCCACAGGATGATGTCCTGGTTAACTTAAAAAGAGCAAAACATTACAATTGCAGTAAATTCTCTCTCACCCACAAAAGGTGTGTGAAGCAGCAGCGTAGTGCAGAGGGCTGCAGCCTGTCAGATCCAGCTCATTGACCTCAGCGCCGGCTCTCACCAGGTAGATTGTGCACTGGCTGTTCCCGTTAGCTGCAGCATAGTGCAAAGGAGATCTGCAAGGGACATCAGGGGTGATTATCAGGTAAACACCAAAGCAGAGTTAGATTCTTAGCTCCAGCTACTCAGCACTGCTTACCTTCCCAAATTATCTTTAACATCCAGTTCAGCAGCACTATTCAACAGCAAGTTCAGACAGTCAATGTTTCTGTAAAAAAAAAAAAACGAAAAAGGTAAAAGTTAGCTTGAAATGATAAAGCTGAGAGTTTCAGATCTGTGGGAGACAGCTTATGAACAGGTTTGACTATATGTATGATTCAGGCACACTCGTTTTTATGCTGCATTCCTCCTGATCAGGCAAACTACAGGGATAGATTATTAGAACTATGTTAAAAATGAAAAGGCTACACTTTCAGTCAGTAGTGTTTCAATAAATGACACCTACTTGAGGCCAAGCAATTGGAAAATAAAATATATAATACTTTAAAAATTCTGAAATGAGAAAAATACATAGTGTGTCAAGTATTGTAAGTGTTTTCATACAATATTGAATTACATTTATTGTTTCTATTAATTGTATGTCAATGTATATGTCCAAATGAATATAACAGACTGTGTGTATGTGTATGTGTGTATGTGTGTGTGTGTGTGTGTGTGTCTCACACTCACCCTCCAGAGGCAGCTGCATGCAGGCAGGTCCTCCCGTAGTCGTCTGGGATGTTTATATCGAACCCAGCTGACGACATTTGAGGCGGCATGATGTAAAACTGGCCTGAATGACACAAAACCAACCACAACACATTTCGAGTCATGTCAGTAATTGAAATGTCAAAAGTGAGAGGATGAATTGAAGAGCAAGGCTTAATGGCTCACACAGATTCTTACCATTAGACAGTAATTTCCGACAACAGTCTGGAAATCCGTAGAGCGCCGCCAAATGTAGTGGAAGCATCCCATGAATGCCCTGTCTTCAGAGATCACAACAAAGATTATTTAGTGTGTGTACAGAACATTTTTCTGTATGAAGGTGGAATTTAAGTGCAAATAAAATCAAACCGATATGTTCTTAATGCTTTCAAACATTTTCTTAAATCCAGGAAATGTTTTGGTTTAAACGTATCGACAGCTTAATATTTTGTCTACTGCTTCTTAGTCAGGAATATTATAGGATCATCTGTAATAACTGAGTCTATATGTATGTGTGTGTTATTATGGTAGGTCAGAGTTACAATGTCAGGTTTCTGACATGATGGGATGTGAACAGACCTACCTGGCTTTGTCAGCACCATTTGTCAGCAGAGTGCTGATCAGCAACTCCTGACCATATCTGGCAGCAACATGAAGGGGAGAGTTTCCGTACATATCAACACAGTCAATCTCCCCACCTGTGTGCAGAGGGAGACATGAAATAAATATGATGAAGTGTTCAAAATCAATCATGTGATTCAAAAGGATGCTGTGGATAGTGTTAATAATATGTCACCATTTTGGATCAGAATCTGGGAGCCTGTGAAGCGTCCATGCATAGCAGCCATATGCAAAGGGCTCTTCCCTTCTTTATTCTGGTTACCAGGGAAAATGAAAACATGTTAAGTTAAAAGACTGACATAAATCATTATTTTTCTCCTGTCTTTGCTCTTTTCTTATCCACTTATGGAATACAAGCTCCTTACCTGCACGTTGACGTCAGCACCATTGTTGATTAGCAGCTCGAGACACAGTACCCCGCTGGAGGAGGCGGCAGCCAGATGCAGCGGCGTACTGCCGTGGTGGTTGGGCTGATTAATGTGGGCACCACAGTTCACCAGCTCAGTGGCCACAGCGTCCTGCCCCGTATGACAGGCCATGTGAAGTGCTGTGTTCCCAAAGACGTTGGGTTCATCAGTCTGAGAGGAGATGGAGCAGAAAAATTTGAGAGAATTAAATACTGAAGGTAATATCGGTGTTAAAGGACCAGTGTGTAGGATTTAGTGGCATCTAGCACTGAGGTTACAGCTCAGCCTTCCAGTGTGTCTGAGAAAGTCTCTACAAATACTCGTCTGTAGCACATTTAATAATACGTCTTTCACAGTATACACGAAACATAAATACATGGCACATATAATAATTCATTATGGGCCACTTTACCTCCACCACCAGTCTCAGCAGGTATTTGACCACGTCTAACTGTCCACTGGCAGCTGCAGCATGGAGCGGAGTGTAACCTCGTTTGTCTTTGCACGTCACATCAGCACAGTGAGACACCAGCAGCTTTACAACCTCCATGTGTCCTGACAGAAAGGTTTAACATTTACTACAAGCATCTGCCATCTGCATCACAGCACACAGTGACATCTCCTGCTGGTCTGTTTGCAAACTGTAGCACAGTTAGTGTAGATGCCAATTTAGTACAATGTTCATGAGATTTTGACCTTGTTAACAAAAGTCAACAACTACTCTTTTATTTTAACTTTCAGGAATATAATTAAATTCACAGCTTGACCAATGAAATGGTCAGTCGTGTAGTGATGTCACAACCATCCAGTCAGACAGGTGTAAATCTAGTTAATGTCTGTTCCCTGAAACAGTTTGATATTTAACTCTTTTAGACACTAGTTTCTCAGTGAAATAACCTTTTGTTAAAGAGTCTTTTGCAAATGTGTGACACAGAGTCAATTCTCAGGTATTTCTTTGTTGGGTGTTCGTGTTGTTTGATTTGTGTTACCACAGTCTTTGTCTTATTATTCTCTGTTTTTTTCTTTGTTTACATAACCAAGAAAGTTGTGTTATTGGGGATGCAGTCACCACTTACCAAAGTATGCAGCCCAGTGGATTGCCTGCCTTTCCTTCTTATCTTTGGCACTTACGTTGGCACCTTTGTTCAGGAGCAAGTTCACCATCTGCAGAAGTGCATAGCATCGTTTTGTCTTGACAACAACAGCAGAAACATTTATTCAAACAGGGCTGTGGCAATAGTTTGGTTTCAAAGAGGTGCAAATATTGTAAAAATTACTTTGCTCCCCAATGCTGCAACAAGAAATCAAGAAAAATATCATTCACTTTCCTAATACAAATATACTCTCCAGCATTGTTATTAAAACATAAAGGTTTGATAGTTACTTTAGAAATGGCAAAAGATCAGGAAGATGACTTTGGTTAACGGTTTACAGTTTACCTCTCCGTGGCCGCTGTGCGCTGCGTGATGAAGTGGTGTCCTTCCTGACCTGTCGGCGACATCCAGGCTGCACACATGTGGTATCAGAGCTAAAGCGCAGCCTGTAGCCCACTTTGCAGCTGCCATGTGTAAAGGTGTATGCCAGAACTTGTCCCGTGTGTTGACCTCTGCTCCGTGCTTTAGTAGCAGCTCCACAGCCCTCTGAGGAAAAACACAAACTTCAATGAAGATGAAAGTCAAACACAATCTGGTCAAGAAAAGTCTTTCTCCTCCAGCATTTTGAATTGGGAACATACTTCGTTACGTGAGGCAGCTGCTCGATGTAAAGGAGTCAGCAAACCGTGGTCCTTAGCGCTGACATTAGCACCTGTAAGAGAAAGCAAAAGTAACGTTAGACTTCACTTTTTGAGTGTTTTGGTTGAATTTCAGATCTTCTGTACTTGATGTATTAATTGTATTAATTACTGAAAAGGCTGATTTCTAAACAATACACAAGCATATGTAGTTGATGACGATGATGCTTTCTATTTACTCACATACACATTTCAAAGTGAGACAAATAGTTTTTCTACCTGAAGAAATAAGTAAGTCCATCGTGTGGACATCGCCCAAATAAGCAGCAGCATGAAGTGGTGTGCTTTGTTCTTGGTCCTGAGAGAAAAAAGGAAAAACAAACAAAACAATAAAGTAGGCAGCCGTCACATTGTCACACTCGCCCTGTAGTATATTAAATTTCTATTCTATTCTGTCTCCACATGTTTACCTTGTTAATGTGCAAATAAAATGTTAAACTCTTGGTCTGCATGTTCATATAAATAACATTTCATTAAAATTAAATATTTTGTATTAGATGTGTCCAGAAAACATCAGCAAACTAGGTAAACAAAAACATACAGAAGTCTGAATTTACAATTAAAGAAAAGCTGTGCTGGCAGTCAAAAAAAGCCCGGGCGAGTATCCTACAGCAGAGATACGTAGATGAAAAGCTCCACATACATCTTAACCTCCCAAAATATAATGCATACAAATGTATTAACACAACTTATGTAGAACATGTCTCCAGACTTAATGCGGGATAATATTACCAGTGAATGGACATCTTCGTTATGGTCTAACAAAAATGTCACTTCTTCTGCGTTTCGGCTGAATATAGCCTGGACCAATGGAGACTGAAACACAGAGTTGACATGCAAAACAGATTAATAACAACAACATTATAATAAAATCTATCATATTTTTGCAGCGATTAAACACAATTTCCACTGAACAGACTTTGCTGAGATGCCAATAAAACTGAGCTACAATCTCTTTTCTCTGCACTTCCAGGAATATTATCAAGGATTAAACTGACTGGAGAGAAATAATCTGCCATCTGTTCCTTGTGCTGGTATTTATTTGACTGAATACTTTACTTATTTCAATCATGTAAAACTTCTGGCACTTCTTGTGAATGTTTAGGATTCTTCTTGGGAAACTCAATAATGACTCGCCAAGATTAGTCTTCCACAGATAACGTTAAGCAAACGTAGCGATGTAGTGGAGAAATGTGGATCCATTTAAAGACTGATGTTTAAACTGTTTGTTAGGCAGGGTCTGGACTTCATGTACCAGGGAGCCCAATGACCCAGATTAATGGGTCTAACATTAGGTGCATTACAACATCGAAAAACTGAACATCACACACTGAAACTTACTCTGGTTTTGCATGGAAATTAATTTGTAACATTAACTAGCCTTGTAGCAAACTTTGCTCGACATGTCGCTAACATGACTCGCCGGCTCTTTGCAGTGTTGATGAGAAGTATAGTAAACTTAGTTATCTGGCGTTAAGTTAAGACAACAACAAAACCTTTATTTACTACCTGGTCCTTGATATTTCTTAACTCCATGTCCCAATCACTCTGGAAGCTCCTTCATTGAGACTGAGTGTAGAGTTGACTACATGTCACTCTGCAGCAGCTTGTTAGCCTAGCTTTAGCTTAGTTAGCTAAAAGGATATGTGATGTGTAGTTACACCAGAATCTCGCGAGAGGAGTTAAAGTAACGTGATTTGGTGATTTGTGCTCCAATGTTTTTTTTTCTGAACATTAGTATGTGTTTGGATTTAAATAACACATGTGTGGGTATATTATTAATGTGAATATGGATGTTTATTGAATATAGAGGTCACTTTGTTGAGAACCTTACACAATTACATCTTAGACAATACACTTTTTTATTAATTCATAAAAAATGACCCTCGGCTGGAAGTTGGACTGGAGTTGCAGTCGTGGCAAAAATAAATAATGAGGGTAAAGCCAGTGGTGGAAACTTTATAAGTACATTCACTTTTGCACTGTTTTGTACTTAAATACACTCTTGAGATACTAATCCTACTTCATATTTCTACCCCACCACAGTCCAAACTATCTCCACCTCAACTGCAACAGTAAACTGCTGCTTGCACACGTCTGCATCAGCGATACTAACAATCCAGCAGCACACTATGACCTTCACAGACACATTTTTTCTGCACGTAATCAAGGATATATTAAGAAGAAGCACCGAATAACCTGCAGCAGCTCCTGACAGGCTAAACCCAGGGCTCCTCACGCCATTGCGCATGTCCCACCCATTGACCAATCAGAGCCGTGCTGTATTTATCGCACATGCGCACTGGGACGTGAACTTAGGAGTTGACATGGAAAAATACGACTTTGCCGGAATTTAGCTTGATAACGTGGTTCTCAGCCACCATCAAATTATACCCATATGGTGTCGGTTTAAAAGCAGCTTTAATCATCAAATCACTACCCATCATTCCACCTTCCTAAAGTGTACCCAGGTAAGGGGGTTTTAATAATATGGCACCGTTGACACTCCCAACCAGACAAGCTAATATACATCATGGAAACGTGTTAGCTTGGTCACACATAGTAACAGTAACATTGACAACGTTGGGGTTACCGTTGTTACTAGGGTTTCTGTTACCGCTGTTACTAGGGTTTCTGTTGCCGGTGTTACTAGGAGGGTTTTTGAAGGTTATAGTCAAAGGTAGCGCTTGTTCACATATCTATATGATTTATTAGCGGGAAAGCTTGTTTTATTTCTCAGCTAGTTGGTTGAAATGCAGCCTTTTAGCATTTACTCCAGTAACTTCAGTGTATCAGAGCTGGAGCATCATCCTGAATGGTCACTTAATGGATCTGACCCATTGACACTGATGGTTACAGGAGGTTGTTCTAGTTATTATGAAGGAGAATATGCTGTTCTTATACTACAAGTGTTTCCGGAGGTTTGACCCACTTACTTAATGCACCTTACAGTTATTATTGAGCTGGAAACCCTCTACTCTACCTGAGTATGTAGACACCTATAGCCATAAATTACATACATCCGTCCTCCTCTGTCCATTTGTCAGTGGAGTTTATGGTGGTGAAATGTATTCACCACCTACGGGAAGTAATGATGCAATAATTGTGATGCAAGGGAAAGCAAATATCAGTTTTCACTCTGATGTTTGTTGCAAAATGTAACTCAACTTGTTTACATTCAAGGTAGAACTTATTGTAATGATCTCTTAAATACAACACTCAGCATACAGAGGAACAAAATAGATTTTTTTGAGTGCTACAGTGAATAAATGTGTATCAAACAGTTATTGTCCTCTTAAATACCTTCAATTTGTGTTGAGTTTCTAATGTCCACCTCTAGTATGTGAAGTCATTAGTAAAAAACTGCCATGATAAATACACCATTGACAAATTAATCTTCTCATGTGCATTAAGAAAGGGAAGTTTAATTAATGCTAAATAAACTGCATATATTGGATTTTACTTGTACTTTTAAGCCTCATTCTGGTTTATATTATTATATATTATATATCAGACCTTTTCAAAGCAATCACTCAAGGTAAGCTGACCAAGCTCATAGCTATATGTGGACACAAGTAGGCATTCATGGTTTCAATTGAAAAAAACTGTGTTTGAATTGTGTTGTTGATGGACCAGTTTTGAATATTTGATTTCCTGGTTAGACGGCTCAAGATATGACTCTTATTTTAATGTTCATAGCAGCTGACTGTCAGTTGTGTCTGGCTGTGGTTCAGGAAGGTCTGATCTGTTGTTGCTGCTGCTGAGTCTTCATTTGAAAATAGTAAGAATGATTAGTGCTGGTAGTTTTTTCATTCTTGTTTAACGTGTAGAATCAGTTTTCTTGATGTTTACTTTGGCATTATTGTGTTGAGATTTTTGGGTGATGGTGGGGGTATAAAAGCCTGCAAGGGCCATAGTTCGAGGGGTGTAACATTAGAGATAATTTGACAGTTTGGGAGTTGTCATAGATTAAGTGATCTTTAGTGAAAACTGTTTGGTGCAGATTAGGCCTCTATGGTTTGTGTTGAGGCCAAGGCTTTGTGTGAAGTTACATGGATGGATGACTAAGATATGTGTTTTTTTGCCTTTTTTTTACCATGCTTACCAGTTTTAATTTAGATGTAGAAGATTTGCAAATCCAATGTTACAACATTTGGTAAAGTCAAAATGAATCATGTAGTTGATGTTTCCTTAATGAACTTCATACTGTTATTGTATAATGTTTAGAATATTATGTTAATTATATGGATTCATTTTGACCAGATTCTTAAACTACTGGGAAACTTTGCCAAAGCCCAGATCTCTTTAATCACCACATACTTGGAGTTGACCAAGGTATGTGACAGGATTAGTGCTGACACATTAAAAGACAGTTACATAATCCAGGACTGGAATCCAGGTCACACCAGAACCAGTACATTAAATACCAACCAGTCTGTCTGATGTGGCCCAGATGCCGACGATAATAGACTAAACATAAATAAAGCCAAAAGAATTGTTTCTGTCTTGATACATTTTGTCTTTGGTGTTAAAATGAGTGCGGTGGATAGTGAATGTGGGGAGGAGTAATAGTCACACAGTAGACTTAAAAGGACCAACCTGAGAATGTGGTAGTTCATCATAACAGAGTGACAAGGATCTAGGACTGTGACTGTAGGCTGAGCAAATCAGATAGACCTTACAGAAAAGTATGCAGGTCTACAGCTTCAACCGGGTGCTAGGACAAAGGGAGTCAACCAAACAACAGACTTAAATGTCCCTTGTAGTCTTAATCAACAGCACTGTTGTGTTCGGGATGCAGCTCTTCATCAGGCAAACACACTTTGAGACATGTGAGAGACTTGACTTTATGATCAGCAACAACGAAGCGAGATCACATCCTCCTAAAGGATGTTATACTTCTTTCATGCTTGGTTAGTGAGATTATATATATATATAAAGAGGAAGTGAACCAGAGACCCACTGGCCTCACGGGGAAAGATGAAATACTGCTTGATGTTGAACCCTGCAGCAAGGTAGAGGCCTGACTGAATAAACTGTTATTAATAGAAGTGTATGTTTAACAGGGATGAGACATTCACTTAATGGTGGTGTGTGAGAGCACAAGGTTGTTTGGAAGTTTAGGAGATCAGTTGCTTGGACTTCATTGAGTTTGAGAAATTGTTTTGGGGCAAACTGATGCACCTGAAGTGTCCTCCGTCATTATGTGTGCCTGCAGAAATGTCTATCAAAATTGTGTTATGTTATTAAACTGCTGATTAAAATGTACTAGGACAGGATCACAGCTGGTTTGTTATTGATCATATCTTCATGAGCTATTATACGTTTACCCAATAAAACAACATTGGGTGGTGGCTCTTGGCTCTCTGTTGTGTGTTCAGTGTGTGACTGCTGACTGTGGCCACATGAGAACACATGACAAAAAACTGCAGTGCCCTGCAGCCAAGTAACATGTAACAGTCTAACAACCAGATCCGGCACCCGAGACAACAATTTCAGATTCTTAATGTACTGTTAAATCTGGGCCATGAATATGTTTTTTAATATTTTCTTTTCTTTTTTGAGAAATCAAGCATTTCAGATGTCTATTTAGCAAGCTGTCTCCAATTGCGCAACTTGTCAACATGAGTCTTTTAGCTATGATAAATAACACACACACACACACACACACACACACACACACACACACACACACTTACCTGAAACCAAAATGTTTCTGTCTGAACCTAAAAAAAGGAACACAGTTTCAAGATGGGTGGATAACTGATCATTTCTGGGTGTAGTTTAATGCGAGCTGCCTTTTATCAGGAATAGAAGCACAAGCAGTGTGGAGCAGTGTGGCACGTACGAGAGAGAGGAGAGGGAAAAGGGCACATTTGTTTTAACTGTAGTGTGTTCAAGCTCTAGGAAACAACAACAAACTACCAGCTGTCATTTTCCAAAGTAAACCTCACGTTATGTGGAAAATTTTATTAATTTTGACTTGATGTGTTTGGGTCATTTGGTTGTAATACAGGAAACAACTTGGTAACCAATATTATTACTGAAATTCTAATGATAAGTAAATTGCTACTGAGCAAAGTACCAGGGACCTTATCACTTGGATAATGCTAATTACTTCGAGCACATGATCAGACAGTGGAAGTGGCACTCTGATGGAAACCTTGACTGGCTGCTGCCTCAGCTCGTCTTTTGCCTCATGTGATCCCATAGTCATGTGCACTCAGAGGTGCTACACTGTCTGTGTCAGAGAACATGGTGTTTATAAAATACAGTTGTTTTCATCTTTTTGGTGGTAGATTAAGTAGTACCAGTCTAACAGAGTGTGTGTGAAGCTGAGTGTTTAGAGGAAGGATGCATGTGGTGGAAGTGAAACTCTGGCTCCAGTGGTCAACTCAAGGTTTCCTGTAAAAGTTCTCATTAATGTAGTGATCTTTCACATGCTGTGATTGTTGCTTAGTCATTATTATGACTTGTGACTTTTAATCTTGATCTTTATTAAAGGGGGAACAAAAATCTGCACAGTCATGTCTCATGTTGAGGTTCCTTCTTGTGCTTATTATGAGAAAGCATGAAGTTTCTATACAAAACTAATCTTTTTAGCTCAATACTTGCATGATAATTACTGTTTTACCCTCAACAGACATGTCTTTCATGCTCCTTCAGATTATGTAATTGTTGTTTTCTTATTCCAGGGAGGCTGATATTCATCCCTCAAGTTCCCAGGGATACCTCAGCTTGCCCTGATGAAAGCCGAGCAAGACGGAGACCTCCTCGAAGGTAACTGTTTAAGATAACAGAAACATGACCATCACATTACAGACACACCCGCCATGTTCTCCACCGTTAAACACTCTCTGGGTCTGTCTAACCGGGCTGCAGCGCACATCCTGTGTCGGTGTGCATGCTGGCTGAGCTGCTTAAAACAATATTTTACTTAAGTACATTTTGTCTCGCGTGCATGTAACCACAGCGCCATAGTTTAACTTTTGAAAAGCCTGAACACATATTCCTGATGCTGGAATATTTAATCATTCTTTAAGAATCCGAATGATTCTCATTTCTTCTTTAGTGAACTTAATTACTGCTTGTGTGATGGTGTGTGATTCATTGAAGGGTAAAGGGCAGGTTACTATATTATTTGTGCTCTTAGTGTGTGCTGTGTGTTCTTTACTTCTCTTTATTCGCGGGTCATTTTTAGAGACATGACGTCAGAGAGTCATTGTGACATCTAGTGACAAAAAAAAAAGGGATGATAAAGGCTGAGTCATATAAAAGCAGAGTCCTTGTTAGGACACAGTGGACTTTAGGACCAGCAGTGAGTTGGAGATGAAGGAAGGAAAGAATGAAAAGTCCACTCTCAGTGAGTAGTACACATTGCTGCTTTACTTTGAGCTATTTGTCAGAAATATTAAACAAGTGAGAGGTTTTTGTTTAGTTTTTATTGATTGGTCTTTTTTATTGTGTTCTTATAAAACATGCTCTCGGGGTCATTTGGTTTAGGACTAAATCCCTTATGTAGCAGTTTTGAGATCTAGGCTGAATTGCTTTTCATTTATCAGCTGTGAGATTTTTTTATAATGGTTGCTTCCGTTAAACTGTGTGCAGTTTCTTTAATAAAGCTCATGTACCTCAGACAAGTCTTAGACACTCTGGGTTAAACATTTTCCTGAGTACAGAATGAATAAAGCTGTGTTTCGTGCTCTGTAAAGTTATTTAAAGTTATTTAAAGTCATATTAAGTTCTGTATGTATCTGCTGCATCTCTGCTCAAACATAAAACCTTACTTGTCTCTCTTTAGAAGGTAATTCACAAACAAATCCACTTTAGTCAGAACCACATTAATTTCGTTTGTAAACTAATATTTTAAGTTACTGTAAAATTGTTTTTAAAAGGCCCAAACTAGGTAAACTCGTTTGTCACTGATCGGCTTTAGCTCAGAACAGTATCTTTTTGTGACAGTAAGTGGAGAGTTTGGTTGTGGATTTATTCTCTAGGAATTATTCTTTATTTGCATGAAATTAGATCTTTTTATGCGGAAAATTTATTAACTTTTTTGTCAATCAAGTTTTTGCTACATTGAAGGTGGAATAACATAATAAGCAAAGAAGTACATTGTGTAGAGATTACACCACATCCCCAAATCTCAGTAGTTCAGAAGGAACCACAAAAATGAGGTCTTTAGTGTTACACCAACAAGTAACTTTCTTTGTCTGTTCGTCTTGCTCTCCTCTCTAATCAGAGTCCCTCCGTTTTTCTTCTTCTCTGTGGTTTTGTTAGAGGACTCTCCTCAGGACAATGGAGTCCAGACAAACCAGTACAGCTCCATCTCTCCTCCAGCCTCACCTGTGGCCCAGGAGGAACCTTTTTCTACATACTTTGAAGACAAGGTTGCCATTCCCGAAAATGTCAACCAGGTACTCACAGCCAAGATGTAATGATGTCCTGAATGTATCCTGTGATTATAACATTATTTATCCTTGTTGGACAGTTTATTAGAATTTTTAAGATTTTGGGAAACAAACCATATTTTAATTGTACCAAAACTGTTTCATTATATTCAAACTACAACATCAGTAATAATTATACTTTTCTGCCGTCCATACTTTTAGGTATTCAGTTTCCGAAAACTCTGGGCATTCACTGGACCAGGGTTTTTGATGAGCATTGCTTACTTGGATCCAGGAAACATCGAGTCTGACCTGCAGTCTGGAGCTAAAGCAGGCTTTAAGGTGAGATATAAAAACATGTAAATCTAGTCAGTTTGCTCTGCCATGACCTAGCGGTTTGCTTTGCTGGGTTATGTGTTTGTATTTCAGACAAAATGTGAATCATAATACAGTTTTCATCTTGACTGGAATCTATTTTTTAGCGTTTTTCTATGTATTTATTTCATTTGTTTACTCCATATTTGAGGAAGTGATTCCACAGGTTTTTGTTCTCTTCACCCAAACACATCACAGTGTCTAAAATGACCACGGGCGAGAACTCACACAAGCAGCTATTATGTAATTTGGCTCCCGTATAGGAAGCGGCGACTTTTGCTGATTTTTTGTCTTTCTTTCTCAGCTCCTGTGGGTGCTACTTGTGGCCACCATCATTGGGCTGCTGTTGCAGAGGTTAGCTGCACGCCTTGGTGTCGTCACTGGGATGCACCTGGCTGAAGTCTGCAACCGCCAATATCCCACAGTGAGTGCTCCCCACTCTCATTACACATCACACATGGGATAGTATTTGTAAAATCTCTGTCAATAAAAAGTATGTTATTTTTTGATCTCATATTCTTAAATATTAACTACAGCTGGATGAGAAGATGCTTTACTCTCTGGTTATATCTTTGGTGTTTTTATTTTCTAGGTTCCTCGGGTCATCCTTTGGCTGATGGTGGAACTGGCAATTATTGGCTCAGACATGCAGGAGGTCATTGGCTGTGCCATTGCTCTCAACCTTCTCTCTGTGGGAAGGTACCTCCCTTACTGTTGTCCATTAAAAGTAATTTTTGCAGAGTATATTTCTGTTACGGTGACTTATTGAGTTTTCTTGTTTTTCTCCTCCAGGATTCCACTGTGGGCAGGAGTCCTCATCACCATCACAGACACATTCGTGTTCCTTTTTCTAGACAAATACGGTACAGATCTACAGATCTACCATCACTTACTTATCAGTCATTGTCTAAGAAGCTGTGCATGTATGTTGATACAGTTTGTATCTCCTTGTAGGCCTGAGGAAACTTGAAGCTTTCTTTGGATTTCTCATCACTGTAATGGCTCTTAGCTTCGGTTACGAGGTAAATTACAATTTCCAGAACAATTCAAGTGTTTGTTGAGTTTTAGCCAAGATGTTAATCATGACACGTTTGATTCTGTTTTGCCTGTAGTATGTGCTGGTAAAGCCAGATCAAGGGGAACTTCTGAAGGGGATGTTCTTACCTTACTGCGCCGGCTGTGGGCCTGTGCAGCTGGAGCAGGCAGTGGGCATCGTAGGTGCTGTCATCATGCCCCACAACATCTACTTGCACTCAGCGCTGGTCAAGGTTAGATGCATATTTGTTGTCACTTGTGGATAATCAATACTTAAAAAGTAAAACCTACAGTCAACATGTTAAAATGAGAGTTTCCTAATAGGTTTTTCTAGAGTACTTTATATAACAGTTGTCTCTCTGTCATATTTCTTACACAGTTTTGAAAAGTCACAGTTGATTATTGCATATTTGTCACTGTTTGACACACAGTATGAACTATACCATAAGCTTAGCAGTATGCTATTTTAAAGTATTCTTAAAGTATATCTCTTGTGTTTGATGAAAGTTGAGTGTAATTCTGTGTCTCCTCATGTAACAGTCTCGAGACATCGATCGGAAAAATAAGAAGGAAGTAAAGGAAGCCAACAAGTACTACTTCATTGAGTCAACTATTGCTCTCTTTATCTCCTTCCTCATCAACGTCTTTGTCGTAGCGGTCTTTGCTGAGGCCTTCTACAATAAAACCAATATGGAAGTGGTAGGTATACAGTATTACTGTGAGATTTAATTATATTAATGATAACACACGTTGCTCATCATGTGTTTGTGTCCCTGGTTGCAGCATGAATTTTGCAATAAAACTGGCAGCCCTCACTCAGGTCTTTTCCCACAAGACAACAACACACTGGAGGTGGACATCTACAAAGGGGTACGTCTGGTCATCATTACAACAATAAGTCCTCACTGTGGAATTGTTACTAAGACATTTAAGATGCTTTTATAATGAGGAGGAGATGATTGAGTTGATTGAGCAGACAAAGGACAGATAATTAATTAATAATTAATTTTATAGTAATTATATACTAGAGATATAATAAAAATATAATAGTAAGAGGAAGGAGAAGAAGACTGACACATTGCCAGCCTATATTTACTGTTGTTAGCAAAAACGTTTCTATTTAAAGGCTGTGTGCACCCACGCAGGTATTTTCAGTTATTCTGGCCGATTAAACATCCGCTCAGGCTGAAAATGGGCAGAGACATGCTGGGAATTGCACAACATCATCACACTTAATAGCTTTGTCCTATTTTCATTCTGCACACTAATTCTATTATTTATGGCTGTCTAGTTGGTACACATTGTGTCAAAATATAATTTATAGAGTACATGGGGAACCTACTCATACTTAAAACACTTAAAGGAAATTCAGTTGTTATTGATATTATTAGTTACGCCTGTGTGTTTCCTGCTACGATTTGTCAAAAAACCCTCCTGAGAAAAAGTTTAATCGGGCAAATAAACTGAAGCTGCCGGTGTGAGTGCATCATAAGTGTGCAGGAGCTTTAAAGAACTCATTGCACCAAAGTATGAAAAAACAAAACTCAGATTTAAACTTAAATTCAACTTTCTTTCTTTCCTCCATGGGACAATAAAGAGTCATGACCAATTCTACGTTATTAAATAATCATCTCTGAGTCTCTTTTAAGGGATGGATAAATCACAGATATAATTTGTTTCTCTGTTGGTATGTTGGTTTGTTCAGGGAGTGGTTCTGGGCTGTGTCTTTGGCCCTGCAGCCCTCTACATCTGGGCAATAGGGATCCTGGCAGCTGGACAGAGTTCCACCATGACAGGCACTTACTCTGGGCAGTTTGTTATGGAGGTAAGAATGCCTACTGGTTTTATATAAGTGGGTCAAACAAACAAAAACAAAGATAAATGTGCATGCTCATGTTTTTACTATCATGTTTATGAAGGGTTTCCTGAACCTACGGTGGTCCCGTTTTGCTCGGGTGCTGCTGACCCGCTCCATCGCCATCACGCCAACACTGCTGGTAGCCATTTTCCAGGATGTTCAGCATCTGACAGGGATGAACGACTTCCTCAACGTGCTTCAAAGCATGCAGGTCAGGACGAATCATTTAAGAAAGCACTCATAATTAATTATAATAATACATATCCTTATTTAATGGTTCTGTAATAATCTGTATGATTTCCTTTGTGTTCAATAGCTTCCGTTTGCTTTGATACCAATACTGACCTTCACCAGTCTGACCTCCATAATGAATGACTTTGCAAACGGATTGTGAGTGAAAATTATACCTTTTTTTTTTTTTTATCATTAATTTCTTCTCTCTGTAGACATGTATCGTGCTTCTGGGACACATAGTGTATTTGTTGGTGTCTTACTTGTATTACATTGTTTATTGACAGGATAATTACCTGAATCAGTGAGGCTTTCCTGTCAGTTTCTGTCTGAACCATAAACATTTAGCTTCAAAAAAAAGAAGAAAACACTTTCATTAGCTTTCTGTCCTCAAAGCCACAGCTTCTGCTTTCACTGCAAGATGACTTAAAATGCAGGCAATTTACGCTGATCTACGTCCACCAGCAGAAAGGCGTTTGCTCTTTTTTAGCCAAATATGAATCAAACAGACAGAATCCTGACTCTTCAACTTAAAACTGAGGAAGTGAAAGGCCTGATCTCTTTCAGTATGACAGCCAGTTGATGAAAGATGTGTTGGAGGACTTTAGTTATTCACTGACAAATCAAATGCAACTTGTTGGCGCAAGGTCATCAGTTTACTGAATGTTCCTCCCTTTTCTGACAGACCAACAGATAATGTAGCTTGACTGTTTATTTAAAAAAATCCAAGGCAGTCACTTTGTTTTTGGACAGGAAAGTTACGCAAACTAGGAATCCACTCTGACTATTAGAGAAATGTTTCCAGGATAGTTCATTTCAGAAAAAAACATTATTTCTCAATGGTCTAATAAACTGCCTGTTCCTGTAGGGTGTGGAAGATTTCTGGAGGCGTCGTCATCCTGGTGGTTTGTGCAATCAACATGTACTTTGTTGTGGTTTACGTCACAGCGCTGAACAGTGTGCTGCTCTACGTTCTTGCTGCTATATTCTCCATTGCCTATCTTTGCTTTGTGGGCTACCTGGTGAGTTCGATTACTGCCACATTATGATCAGATGTCTAAGCACTTTACATACCAGTGTAATTAGTAAAATAATGTTTTATTTATTGTGATTTATAGGTCAGTTTTCCTGACAAATGCATTAAATATATATATTTTTTTAATGGTTTCAGTGTTTGAGTAAACTTTGGTTTAGTTTTGAAAATGGACAATTCAAAATGAGATGAGAAATGAGAAGTGAATTTTCACCTCACCTGTGTTTACCCTACTACGTCACGTCAAACTGGCCGCTGTGAAAAAGATCCTTTTGTTTTTAGTGAAAAAAAATATATACATTTCATCAATGAGTGTCTTGACTGGTCTCTCCTTTGTCGTTGTCTGCAGGTATGGCACTGTTTGGTTGCTTTGGGAGTTTCCTGCCTGGACTTTGGCAGCAGGGTAAGCAATCGACCTGCTGTGTTCATAGAGGAGCCGTATGAGTACGACTCCTAGAGCTGAACAGGACAGTAACCACCAGCATTCCTCTTGGAGACACTGAGCCCTGTACACAGCCAGGACTCTTCTAGATCATATATGATCTTGAGAGCACATTTTCTGCTAATGTCACATGTTTGTCTTGTGTAGGGCTGGGTCTCAGAGTTTGGTGCTTTTTATGTACCCAGTGAATCAAATTAATACTACACCAGCAATCAGAAAATCAGTTGTCAAATGAATAATTGTTACCGTCCTCCTACCGACATACTGAGTAGTTACTATGCTGATGATTAAACCAAGTATCTGTTATGTAAAATAAGATTTTCCATCATTTTTATAAAATGTAAGCTAGACTTAAAAAACAGACTAGACTAAAACATAGCATCTCAGCTTGTATTTTTATGTATTTATGTCGGTTTATGTAAACTACAGTAGTAACCACAATGTGTGGGGCTACATTGCTACAACTTCTTTAAAAGAAGCTCAACGTTTTTGTGTTTAATTAGGATTAAATAACCTCATAATTACAGAATTGTCACAATTGAAATAAAAACTATTCAAACTATCAATATTTTTTTAACACATTATATGAATGATCTCACAACAATGGCAGTTTCTGTTCAGTAACCGTCTACCTGAACTAGGGATTGTTTTTAATCTTTATTTTAATTTCCATATTCCCTAAGAGATGTACTAAAGCTAGCCAACGCACACTCTGCTCTCAGTGAGCTCTCTTACCTTGATAATGTCAACCTCCCAGTATCCTGATGGAAGGAGGAGCTGCTTATTCTGATTTCCACTCAGTCTACCTCATCGTCCTCTATTCTCTCATCTCCGTGTTCAAGCAGTTTGATTCACTAACATTTCAAAATAACAATTATTTTTTTAAGAGAATATCATTGTGACATAATTCACAAGGACGTTATCTTAATCTTAATATCCGTACCAAAAATCACCAAACGATATCCAGCCCTGGTGTGATAAAATGTGTGTTAAAACTATTGGGTAAGACGTTTTTTGACGCTAAAGTGGCAAGTTTCAGTATCATGCAAAAATGGTGCATAATACTTAATTTGTCTAAAAAGTCCAGAGTAGACGTCTGTTCAACACAACCCAGTCTGTGAATGAAGGATGTTTTTTCTTAATGAGTCTTGGATTGTAAAATCATATTTAACTGACAACTTGAATGGAGGATCAATATTGTCTGACAAAGGCTGTTAGAGTCCACCTGGTCATTTACCAGACTGGTGTTTTAACGTGACCCAACTGGTTCATGAAGTTAATCACATAGATATTAGTTGACAGTTTTACTGAATGGTACCTTTTTTAACATTTTACTTATGATTTATTGTATTGTGATTTGCGTGCAGCCTGATGCAAACTGCTCCATTCAAACAAGTAATGTTTATAAGACTGCAGCTTCATCCTCAGAGCCTGTTTTAGTGCCTAAATAATAAGGATTGATCAACATACTATGTTGATGTATGTAAGTATGAAAAGAAAATGAGTTTTTTGCACTGTGAAAGGGTTGTTTCATTTCTTCTTAACTGAGAGAGTTTAGGTGTTTTTACTTGTGATACCAGGATAAATCTTCTACTCCATGTATTAATTCATTACTGTTTGTGGTAAAAGCTTGGGAGATAGGGCTGATAGACATGTATTGTAACATAAATATGTAATATAAATATGTAATATTTATGTTACAATACATTTGAGAGTAAACTTTGTGGTTTTATTTATACTGCTATGCAGAGAAGGAAGGCAACTGATTATGTGGTAGCTTAAACATAATTTTATATTCATAATTGTTAGAGTTGTCATGACAGTTGTATTTAAAGGAGAACTGGAAACAAAAGTCAAAACAAGTACAGAGGAAGTTTATTTATATAGCCCAAAATCACAAGTTTGTTTCAGAGAGCTTTACAGTCTACAGTCTATCTTTAGACCCCGAAGGCAGTGATTTTGTTAGTTAAAGTCCAAGAATGCAGCTCAGAGTAAAACCCAGTTGGGTCAGATTCATGTGGCCAATGTTTATGTTAATTCTGGTGTGCTGCATCTGTTAATTAAGCTACAGTGTGTCCGGTGCTCTGCACTGACTCATTTTAGTCCTCCTAATGAGAATGAAAACATTTATTCTGTTTGCCTTCAGAAATGTTGGTTTGTTACCCCTTCACAAACATTGTATTAAATGTATGTCTGTTTCTTTTCTGCTAAAAATAAAATTACCATCACTATTTACTGTAGATTTTTAACACGAGTCCGCTGGGCTTCAGACCTGCTCGCAGGTCGACATAAAGATAAATATATAGCTTAGTTTTACTAAAATAACAGACATATTTAATAAACCAATGCAAAAAGAATTAAAAATGAAAGGATTATGAATTATTCATATTTAATAAAAGTTAAGTGCCACCTTTTACTCTCAGACTCACTCTGCCTTCACAACACGAGCAGCAGCAGCCGCAGTTTGAAATTATAATGTGAACAACAGTCACAACAGCTTTCCTGATGTGACTGTTAAAGGCAGCATCGCTATCACGTTCAACTTTCAAGATCAGTGAAGACGAGCTAGTTTAACATTAGACTGTGTACACTGTACTAAAGCAGCTAACTGAGCAATATCCAAGCATGATGTGTGAATTAACCAATAAGAGCATACAGTGATCACAGTAAAGATCTCAGGTTGTTTTAAATGTTCACTTTATTGTGGGGGATAAGGTGCAGTTGAAGGTCTTTGGTTCAAAGTTCTCAAAAGCGTTCATTACGTTTCTCAAGTTTTTGAAGGTTAAAGAAATGCAGCATGACATTTTTCAGGTGACTGTGAGTTTATATAGTATCATACAAATACCTCCCTGGCTAAAGGAAACATGGCAAATGCATATTTGAACTGTTACAGAGAAAACTTCAATGTAGTAATGTGTACACTGAAGTTATCACTCATTTCTGCTCTTTGGGGTTGAATGATTTAAGTGTCTGTCCTTGCTCCTGGATAAAGCACACCATGTGTTCAAAATAAATGGGAAATAATGGATATATGGACATTTGTTGGCGTCTTCTGTCTGAAGTAGAGAAAAAAATATTAGGATGTAATCAAGCCTCATTTGAAAAACAAAAAAATCCGTGTCTGAGAAAAGACTAGATAATAATCTTTAAACTGGAGGTTTTCTCATGATTATAATGTTAAGGTTATGATTTCTGTTTTATGACATGATGTTGGTGCAGTAGGTAAAGCCCTAAATATATAACTTACTTTGCTGTACAACCTGCTGAGTACATAGAGACTTTTTCAATTTACTGTGTAGCATCATCAGTATAAACTGTTAAATTGATCTGTGAGAATAATGTAAAATATACAAGATGTGTTTAAGGGGTTCTTTCCCAGAATAAATTTTAGTTGTTCACATTTAATATAAGGAGGGATGACAGCATATCATTGTAGGCAATAGAAATGCTCTTTTGCAGGACTTTCCAGGATTAAATGAGTAAAGGTGAGCACCCTTAATGAATCTGCAATTATAAAACAATCACTTTCAAATTGACCCCATTTACCACTGATCAAAACAGAGCATTGATTGTGATTCCTCTTATTAGTAAACATTACACTTTATTTTCCATATCTTTTCTAAGTTATACTACAGTAAACCCCTAACACTTTAAACTCTGTGTATCTGCAGTCTCTGGGTTCATAAAAGGAAGTTAATGTGGAGTAATATAAGATGAGCTGCAGTAACAGATGCTTTCACAGGTCATAATGAGCTCAATGTGTGTGACTAGCAAGAGGCTGTGTGGGTTGTTGTTTGGAGTATTTTATTAATTATATAATTGATAATGATTGATTTTCTGTGAAAACTTGAACAATACAAATTATGACGAAATTATTATATAACCCAGTTTGTCTTCATGAACAATAAAATAAAGTTATGCTGATTTATGTGATGAGTTAACTGTATAAAACACTCCCCCCTTTGATAAAACCTCCGTCTCTGCTCTCTCTTTCAGACACAAATGGGATTCTCTCGGCACACAGACATTTACTTAATGAGTGACATGGACACTGATAATCTGGTAGAGAGATAGGAGGACACAAAGTGAACTGTGGCGAGGACGACCTGACGACCGGAAGCATGGGACCACTGAATATCGGCCAGTATGTGTTTTTTGTCTTCACCTCTCTGTGCCTGACGTGTTATTTTAAAGTGTCCTTACAGCACACAGTGTAGAGCGCCCACAGATGTCCACTCCTGTTCCAAACGGCGATGGATGTTCTTCATCACAAACGTCTCAACAACCTCAGCTAAATAATGTTTATGCAAATAATGGTTAAATATCTGTGCTCCAAAGAACTGGACCACTACAAGTGAATAAAACAATGACTTCTGTTCAAGTGGAGAGTAATATTTGCCATTCAGACTCTACCGTGATGAAAGTGAGAGAGACACAGTTTGCTGTTTCAGCCAGTGTTGCAGTAAAGATGCTGTCGACCTTTAATATTGACACCAGGCAGCAGATTAGACAGTCCTGTGTTTCAATTAGATTTCTTTTTAACCTTCAACTTGTGGTTTACCTGACATGACATTAAAATAAATCAAATTTTGTCATTGTTAGACGTCCCCACAGAGTGAGAACAAGAGTGAGAACAAGAAGGCACCAAAACTGTGAGCGTGATATTAACACTTTTTATGTGTTTGGTGCTTTATTATATTTTATATTAACATTGATCTTGATGTTGATATTAGACTGGTTAATTGTTATGATTAATATATTGAATAGGAACATAGCACTTGAAAAACATACAAGGTGTTGTTTGTGTGATTAGTCTCACTTGTCCCTGTGTTTTATACTATAAAGAATGACAGTTTTATGTCATTTTATGTACAGTTACAGTCTATTTTACATTCTGGGAGTTTCTCTTCTTGGAGGTAAGGTCAGTACGTCCTTTCTATTTCCAAGTCTTCTGAAGACTTTTAAAGGTCTGCTAATTATAAATTATTCAAGCCAAGTAAAGCTTATTATTGAATTAAATTCCTTATTTCAGTAGTTCTTGGTAGAAAGACACTGTGGCGGCAGACAGAAACATTAAGCTACGTGTGTATGTTCAGCACATGTATACATTCACTTTTAATTAATTTATAAAATTGAGGTTATAAATTTGCAGTAGAGGTTTTCAATATAAGTGATCAGTGTATTTTATTAATCAGTTCTCTCACACAGAATAATAATTAGTTATCTTGTATTATTTTTATTTAATTCTACTCTCTATTTTCCATAAATGCTACTTTGTCTTGTTTGTAGTTTTAGTGGGTCTTTATTTTGGTTTAGAATGGTTTTATTTTGTTTAACTTCAGTTTTTCTTTTTTTTTTTGATTAAGCCAAATGTGTGCAGAGCTTTAAAGTTCACTGTTACAGAACAATATAACATTTAATTCCTGAAATGAATATGGATGAAGAAGTTACTAGTTGGCACTTTGGTGTGAAATAGCTGAGGTACATTAAATGGTAAATACGTGATGTCCTGCACAAGATAGTTTTAGTAACAGGACTCTACAGTGTCTACAGTGTACCAGGAGGGTCAGGGGAGTTTGTAATTGTAAAAAAACATGAACAAGTTTGACTGTTTCTAATGTGGGAGACCAGTGTTAGCTTAGCAACATAGTTCTAATATGTGTTATTGTGCACTTAATTAACTTGATCTGTTCAGCGCCTTTCACAAACTGTATACAGAAAATAAAAAGAGCACAAAGGAGACAAATTTATATGAAATAATAACGCCAAACAAATACAAGATCCGTCATAAAAACACTTCAGAGCTGTGATTATGCACTGCTGGTTTGGCCTAATAAATAAACCAAACCTTTGTCCTTGACCAAATATTCAACTGCACTTGTTATAAATCCCGTGCAGATGACCACGGTGCCTCCTGTGTTCACCACTGTGCCTCTTCACTCTTCAGTCAGAAACAATTACACAATAATACAAGAAACTTACAGTGTTGTAACACTACTGTGGGACTGTGAGTAGAAATATTGTAAGATGTTGTAGTGGTGAGATATAGAGAGACTTTAAATCACTATAAATTACTATACTTCACTATAAACAAATCAGATTTGATTTAGCCATTGTGTTCTGCATTTGCCATTATACTTCATAATATTAATATTGTATTTTTCTAGAGAAATATATATGTATTTTTTTTCCACTGGGAGAAAATTATTAACCTCTTATGTGATGAATTCGTACTTTTATTTAAACTAATGTTCTGATATCTATGTCTGAAATGACATAGCAATGGCAAAAAACACAAATGAACCAGCATTTGATTACAAAAGAAATGGGTCAACATGTAAAGTATAAAAGTTGACACTGTAAGCTGAATGCTAAAATACTTGTACATTTGATGGACTATTGATGGGATCACAGAAGAAAAGCAGTTAAAGTTTAGCAAATGATTTCATAATTTCATTTCATTCATCTCACTGCAGGACACATGCTTTTGGTTGAGGAATATAAGTCAGCTGTATATCAACATTTGACCTCTGGCGGTGTTATGCTTCTAGAGAATTCATTTAAAAACATGGTAATGACCTCTGTTATATCATGTCTTTTTATTTATTACTGCATAATGTGTTGCATCTTTAAGTATTATAAAGTGTCTGAACATCTTGGGAACACCTGTTGGGATTGTCAGAGATCATTTCCATGGCCAGACAGGAAACTGGCACTGTAGGCCTACTGTATTGTAAGTTCAATTAAATGTGTTATTTCTGATTTGATGACATTTTACAGTATGATACAGTGTTGAGACCCTATTAAAAAGGGTGGTCTTTTTACACCAGATGTCTTGTTTTAAATTATCTGCCATCTCTGTTATATTTTTTGAACACTGTTTTTTCTTGTTGAATAATAAAAGTAAAAAAATATAGTTGAATGCTGTGCTTTAATCATCTTTATTGTTTCTGAATCTTTATTATTTCTTATTGTAGTGATCCCTGGAGTGTATGTCGGGTATTATAATATCAGTATAAAAATGTGTATAAAAACACTGCAGAATAATAATCCTACTTAGCTGCTCTTTACTCTGTACCCCTTATAACCTAATCTTCAGTGAAATGTGTGAAATCAGGTGAAGAGGCTGTTGACATCTTATCTACTCAGTGAAGAAAATATGACCACCAAATTAACACCCAAATTAAAAATAGACTTAGAACCCAGACACCTTTTTTGTTATGTCTTCCATACTTACTGTCTCTGAAGGAGGTCAACTTAAATGTCTTCTATATATATATGTATATATATATATATATATATATATATATATATATATATATATATATATATAACTCACCAGTTAATTCTGGTGTCTGGCATTTGGTTTTATTGCCTAATAAAATTAATGATTGGTAAATTCCATTTAGCTGCTTTGGTTTCAGGGTCCTGGTATTGTGCATGCTGGCTCCACTGTGTGCAATGTTATTAACACTTACACAATGTTATCACACCTGTGTTTTCTTACTATGGCTGCTGGGAGGATCGCCTGGTGTCTAAACTGTACTTTGTCTCTGACTTGATAGCTCCAGTGTATATTGCTGAGCACAAAATAAGCATGATATGTCTGCAGGGGTTTGATGGGGCTAACAAGTCCTCTACTCCCCAGGAGGCCAAATGAAGAGGTATAAGGACAACATCAAAACAAACATCAAGTTCCACATAGACCTTAAGACTTGGGAGGACATGACAAAAAACGATATGCAGAAACCTTGTCCATGAGGCTCCACCACAAACACAGACTCAGAAAGGAGAGAGCATCCACCAAACAGGCCCAGCCCAAACCCACCAGTACCACTTTCACCTGCCCACACTGCACAAGAATAATCGGGTCCAGGATCAGCCTCTACGCCCATCTGAAGACCCACAAGGCCCAAGAAGGAGGACGGTCATACTCGACTACGAGTGACCGCCGATGATGATGATGATGATGGGGCTACCAGCAATTTTTAATGAGTGTTTTGACTCAAACCTCAACAACTGTGATCACCTTGTTTGCATTTAGTTTGCTTTTAGTCGTTAAATCAGCCTGTTTTTAAATCCTTTTACACAAAAATAAATATTGTTGCTTTTATTAGCAGCAGCAGAAGTTTAGCTGCTAGATGAGTTGTGTCATTGAAGTTGCTTTCTTCTAAAGTTGACCCACCCCCTTCATAACATAGCTAAAATACATTTTAAACAACAAATGCATTTTAAGCTCACTGCTGCGCTGAGAGGTTGCCTCGGTAACGGCAGAGCGGTTGTCATGGAGCGGTTGTCTTCCTGGCCCCGCGAGGGCGCTGTCTCGAGCGCGACTCCCTCCGGTCCAGCAGCTCCGTTGCCTACGTCACCACATTCCACCGAATGCGATGGAGCAGCGTGTAAACGCGTCACGGTGGACACCGCCAGAGACCCGTGAGTTCACTGGAAAGTTGACTAAATGTGTGTGAATGTTTGTCTGGTTCACGGTAGTCGGACGGAAAGCTCACTGTAGCTGTAGCGGTGGCTCAGAAGTTACCGGCTAAAACGTGTTAGTGAGTGAGTTGACCGTTTGGTTTGCCGGTTAATGTGTCAGCCTGTGTGTGTGTGTGTGTGTGTGTGTGTGTGTGTGTGTGTGTGTGTGTGTGTGTGTGTGTGTGTGTGTGTGTGTGTGTGTTTTTCAGGTACAAGATGAGGGACGCGGCTCTCCTGCTCACATCGTGTGTGGCTCTGTGTCTGCTCCTGAGCGTCGGCCAGGCAGCCAGACAGGGACAGGACATGAGATGTGGAGGTACGTGTCTGTGTGTCCTGTCTCTCCGGCTCACTCTCTGTTCAGCACACATATAAAACCCTGATGCGTGTCCTCTTGGCTCCCCGCAGCCTGCAGGGCTCTGGTGGACGAGATGGAGTGGGCCATCTCCCAAATAGATCCAAAGAAAATGATCCAGACCGGATCCTTCAGGATCAATCCGGACGGCAGCCAGTCCATCCGAGAGGTGAGGCAGCAGCAGCAGCAGCCACGTAGTGATCTGTGTCCAACCCACTCTGTAGGCTGCTCTGCACTACTACTGTACTACTACTGTACAAGTAGTGTGGCGCATGTGTTTTAAAGCTGGGTTTAATTGTTTGCTTGATTTCGTGCACGATGATAATTTTAAAAGAAAAACTCATTTTGTGGTTTAAAATGTGATCATTTGCAGCTCGTCTTTGTCCTATATGATAATAAAATTAAATATGTTGGGGTTTTGGACTGTGGTTGGACAAAACAAGACATTTGATAGACTAGGATGTGATATTGTGATGGGCATGTTTCAGTGTTTTCTGATGTTTTATAGACCAAATGATTAATCCATTCATTTGAGAAAATAATCTGCAGATTAATCGATAAAGTAAAGTAATCTATAGTAGCAGCCCTGTTAATAATTTACTTTGAGGTTTCTGTGTGTCACAGGAAGACTTGTTGAGTTTGAGGTGATATAACAAGTTAGGGTTGAGTGACATTATAAGATATACTGTGAGATGATCTCATGCCGTAGCTTTAGTCACACCTCTTCTTGGTGCATTAGATCACTGTGGCCAAAGCTGCAAATAACCAAGAAGGACTGTTTAATGACAATATTGGATTTTTGTATTCTTTGCATCAACGTGATGAAGAACCTGGATTTGTTTGCTGGATTTGACAAAAAAAAACAAAAAAAACAACTGTTTCTCAGTTAATTTCCAGAAAATGTTCAATATCATGATATGTATTGATATTGTACATTTAAAGTTACATTTACTGTGACAGAGGACTTTATACATATGGCCCATTTCTATAAGAAGTAAAAAAAACTAATTGTTTGAGTGAAATTTAATCTATCATGGAGTTCCAGGTTGTAAATAGTAGTAGATAGTCAAGATAATGTTGTTAAAGAAATCTGATTTAGTATCAGGTTTAGTGTGAGAGAAACACTTGAGAACAATAAGGTGTTGCTGCAGTAAAATATCATTTTAAGTGGTATGTTTTATGTGAGTGGGTTAGCATGAAGAGAAACTTCACATCATCTTTAACTCCACCAGGTTCCTCTGGCTCGCTCTGAGGGAAACCTCCTCGAGCTGATGGAGAGTGTGTGTGAGAGGATGGAGGACTACGGCGAGCACACAGATTCTTCCACAAGCAGGAAGTCCTACATTAGGATAAAATCTCGGAGCGGTGAGGCCATGGACCTCTCAGAAGCCACACTCGATTCAAGAGTTACAGCCAGTTTAAAATTTGCAGTGAGTGCAAGTTTCTGTACAGTCCTCCTCCACAAAGTAGTAGTTAATTAGTAAATGCATCATGTTTTAGGCTCCTTGCATTACCGTGCTTTTATTGTTAATGATAACTAGATTATTTTGATGCAACCCAACCCCACAATCTTGTGACTTGTACTGTGAATTGTGCAGCTTTTAACAGTCTTTTTTCTTTATTATTGTTCTCCAGTGTGAAACAATTGTTGAGCAGAATGAAGATGAAATCATTGAATTCTTTGCTCATGAGACGGATAATGTCAAAGACAAACTCTGCAGCAAGAGGACAGGTATGTTTTTCTCTCAACATTTCTTCTTTTAATGCTGACATTTGAGTTATAGTTTCCACCACAGCGACTGTATTTTAATTGTTTGTGTGTTCTGCAGACCTCTGTGACCATGCTCTGAAAATGCCCCACGACGAACTTTGATGTCCCCTCGCCCTCACTGCCGTCTCTCCTCAGCTGAACTGGAGACATTGGGTGCTGTAATATTTTCAGTTATCACCGGCTTATGCCATCGTAGTGGTGGAAGATGTACAAGTTATGATGTAAAACAGGAGGAAATCCACCTGAAAATAAGTGTTATTCCTGTGATCTGTGACAATTTAAGGACCAGTTTGCCATTTTCCATCATATCTCTGGACTATCTTGTCACTTGTTATTATATACCGTAAGTTATTATACTATTCAATATTCTGTGCTTCAAATGAAGGCTCTTGTCTTGCCTTCAGATGCTCCTCAGCAGGTAAAACTGAAACTGTGAAACTGCAAAAATGAAGTTACACTCCCCAGTAGATACAGGATGTCTTACAGGATTAACTGCGTATATACAGTAAGCATATTAATTTAAGACAAGTACACAGAGATCAGGTTGGAGTTTGGTCAACTGGTCCTTAAGTCTTCTTTATTCACAATGAATGGACATCCATACAGCTGTCTGAAAGTGTCATTTGATGCCACATTAAATCAATCCTCAGCTCTAGCTTCAATAGAGAGTTTTTAATGCTCATCAATATTTATTGAACTGTCAGAGATCACAGGAATAACTGATGTTAGGTCAGTAAGTGCTGTTCTTTCTTTGTTAAATATTCCTTAAGGTAAAAAAGTTAAAGGCCGCAATTTAAAGGTCCGTTAAATTAAGATACTTTTAGATTTGAGTGGAAATAGTTTCACTGATGTCCAATTGACAAAATGTTGCCCATGTTGTATCACACCCTTCAAAGATCGATGCCCTTTTGGCCACCACCAGGTATTGTTACTGTTGTTAAGAAAACTGATCCAAAAGATTAAATGTCGCTGCTAAGGTGAGCGGGTTGATGTTGGTAAAGTCTTCATGAGCTGAAATGTTCAAGAAATCTTTTTCATTTCAAGTTTAAGCAAAAGTCAAAAAAGAAAATTAAGGAAGAATGGGAATCATAACTATTGATTTGGGCAAAATTGTGAATTCAAACTTTAAACCTTTCCGAGGCTTTAAAACACTCCTTCACACACACTTTCTTCTTGTCTGTTAGCATTGATACATTAACTGTTTTAATCTGCTTTGATATCAAAGTCAATTCAGGTATTGACTTGTAAAAGGAGTAAAATCTATGTTGATGGTACCTATAACTTAATATCTGAAAAATATCTACTTTCCCTCCATGCTGCCCTTCTGATCCAGAGCTGAAAAAAAAACTTTTATACCAAACAAAAACAGTATAAAATAGTTTGGACGGTTGTATCCTGAGGAGCAGGCAGATTACACATCCTATGTCCATTAAACACAAAAAAACAGCTGCAATCCCTTTGAATTATGAGATTAAGAGTCGAGAAGAGTTATTTTTTCTTCTGTCTTGTAAAGCTGAGCTCTGATGTAACCCCACTAGAGTGTGCTGTCGTCCACAATCTGATAGTTGAGTCTAAATTAAAGAGTCATACTCAGATGGAAAGTCCTCATGCTGTATTGTCAATGTAGAAAATCCACAAAGTATTTTTGGTATTGTTTACTTTTTCAATGTGTGAAGAAAATGATCTTTCTGTCTCATGTGAACATTGTCCTGATATTTCCTTTTTTTTATATATAAATTTTGTAAGTTTTCTGCATCTGTCTTGTCTTTAATCAATAGAAATATATTTGTACAACATCAACAAAAGTTTAACTTCTAATTTCTCAACTACAAGTCATAGAGTTTCAATCACGAATCAGTTGACTCAGTTAAATCATGAATTGGTGTCGCTGAAATGTTTCGTAGCAGCATATTCTGATGTTTGCGTGCAAGTCTCATACCAAGGTGACAGATATAACCAGTAATGAACAGTTTTGATACTATGTGTGTGTTTATACTGCATGATACACAGATTTAGATAGATACATTTATTTATTTATTTGATTTAATTCTGTTAGCAAAGGACATTCAGGCTCAAAAAGCACACATTAAATGTCTTGGTCCTTTTGTTGTTTATACTTATAAACTATTATTTAAAAACATAACATAATACATTACAGAACTTTTTCAGTGTATTGTTGGACAGATTTAATTGAGAGGAGAAGACACGTACTTTATTACATTATAATGGACTGCTGACTAAAGTGAAAATGTGTAGGCAGGAAAATCATATCAATTATATTTTGAACTAAAACATATTCCAGTTTTAGACTTTATTTATATCATCATATTTGACTCCTTTTTATTTAGTGGCTGTTATGAAGCTTTCGATTGTATCACACAATGGAGTTTGTCCAGTTGTCATTAAATTGTTCAATTTCCATTTTTCTGAGCATTTTAAGGACTTATTGACCATGATTGCATACATTTTGAAATAGTTCATTCGTTGCGTTGGAAACAGAAGTTAACAAAACACTCACCACTAGGCGAGATGAACTTTATGATGAACAATATGAACTTACCACAGTGATCTGTTAATGCACTCCACCATTTTATTTACTTACAATACAGAACAATGGGTTTTGCCATAAAATCACTCCAAAAAATCTAATCTTTTATTATATCCACTTTCATAATTTCACAGCTACATACTACCTTAAATACTCTAGAAACAGCAGATAAAGAGAAATTAAGATTTGGAGAAAAAGTATGACAAGTTCTGCTTTACAAGAATAGATTTGTCAAATAAACAGTTGGTTTGGTTTATTTTTGATTTCTCTAAATGCTAAATGTTCCTATAACAACAGTAAATGAATCACCATGCATCCATAACAATAAAAGCTCTAAGATTACACTTAAACTAAAAAAGACATCAGCCATTGTAAAAAATATTGGCTACAAAATGTTATTGAGGAAATGACTTCCATTCATTGTCAGGCACAATACAAAATTAGATGGTACAAACTGTAGTTGTTGTTTTCAGGCCAGCATTTCTTGTTTATGCAGTTATTTTACAGACTTACGTTACTTACTTTGAATCATCCTGTTTGTCTGAGTCAGTGACCTCGGATGACATAAAAACCTCCTCATTTTCTTTTTGATCTGTTTCTGTGTCTATTATTTCCTCTGTTGTTGTATTTGCCGCCTCACCCAAGCACTCCTCGCTAGATTCATTTGTGACTCTCTCATCTCCATCATCTTCCTCCTTTGCTGCAGTCTCATGTTTTACTTCACCACAGCAGCATTGCTCTCCCTCAGCCATCTGAAGATCCTTGTCGTTCCCATCAGGTGGTGTTTCTTCAACATCGTCCTCATCCGCTACAATAACAGTGTCCCTAGAGCCGTGGCTGCTGGCGCTGCTGCAGGACAGTGTGTCTTCTTCAGGATGTCCCCTTGGCTTTTCATGACACGGATCTTGCTGGATTTGTCCCACTTCTACATCCTCAACACTTCCTTCTGTTGAAACCTCCTGTTGCTCTGCTTTGCCAAAGACTATCTTATCAAAATTCATGTCCACCTCCACATCTGGGTAAAGCAAGTCCTCCCCTGCGCTCTCTGGATCCCACAGCTCACTCACTTCCTCTTCCTCATTCTCAGAGTCAGGCGCTGTATGTTTCCTAATGCGATTTACCGCATCCCACAGGGACTTTGGATATTGGGGCTCTTCTTCAAGGGGTAAGTCAGAGGAAACGCTTCCACTTTCCCCTTGTGGAAGAGAAGTTGAAGAGCTGGGAAGCAAGACTGGGGGTGAATCAGAGGAAGTTGGGAACTGAAGGGATTCATCACAAGAGTCTAGGTGAAGAGGAGAAGGGACAGTTTCTGGGATGCCACCAGCAGGAGAAACATCAGGATTTAGAACTGAAGGACAGTCCATTTCCGAAATACAAACAAACTCTGTGTCTGACCTGTGGGATACATGTGGTGGAGAAGGAAGCCCGGAAGGCGAAAGCACATCCGAAAGTGATTGAGATGCTTCACAGTCTGAAGGTGAGGGAAGAGAAAATGGCTCAGTCTGTGGTGTGTCCTGCAAAACCTCAATCTCTATTTGAGTTTGAGAGTCTGTAGCATTTTCTTTGGATATTGTCTGTTTAAAAAGACCTGTAGGATCCTCATCGGCCTCTTTTTGTAATTGCTCTTCTTCAGCCATATGTGTCTCTTTTAGACAGGAAGCATCCTCTTCTTGGCCATTATTAAATTGTGGCTGCAAAATGTTGAGCTCTGTTTGAGTTTGACTTCCAGTCACATTTTCTTGGAATATTGTCTCTTCCAAAAGACCAGTAGGATCCTCATTGACTAGTTGCTCTTCAGTCATACAGCTCTCAAGCTGTTGCTCCAAATTGTTGACTTCTATGGCATATTCTTTGGATATTTTAAGTGCCTGTTCCATACTGTGGTCTGTAGGATCCTCACTGACTTCTTTTGGTAGTTCACTTTCAGTCATATAATTCTCTGCACAAACAACATCCTCTGGTTGAACACATTCAAGTTGTTGCTGCACAATGTTGACCTCTGTCGCATTTTCCTGAGATACGTTAAGTGTCTGTTCCATAATGTGGTCTGTAGGGTCCTCATTGACTTCCTTTGGTAGTTGCCCTTCAGTCATACAACTTTCAAGTTGTTGCTGCAAAATGTTGATCTCTGTCGCATTTTCTTGGGATATTTTCAGTGTGTGCTCCATAATATGGTCTCTAAGATCTTTATCGTCTTCTTTTGTTTGTTGCTCATCAGTGACGTTGCTCTCTGTCACACAAGCAGCAGCATCTGGCTGCCTACTTTCTAATTGTTGCTGTGACACCAGCTCCTCTGTCATATCTTTGGCATGGTCCTCAAGGGCGTCACTGATCACAGCATTCAGCAGCTGTGAAGTTTGACCCTCTTCATCCTGGTCCTCAACGCCAGATACATTTTCTACAGTTTGATCTATTAAATCCAGAGGAGAAGGGCTTTGGGAATGGTCTGCATGGGGAGTGGAGGTTGGGGAAATGTCAGCTGATCTAGGTAGAAGAGGAGATGGAAGTTGCTGTGATGGGGTGTGAGGAGAAGATGAAGTTTCAGGGTAAGGAGCCATGTTTTCTGCAGATTTGAGGGCAATCAACTCAGGATCAGGACCTTCCTCTATGTTTGATTCTGAGATATACAAGAGAGACATACGATCAGAGGATGAGAGCATGTGAGAAAGAGCAGGGTCTGGTGCTTCACAGTCTGGCGAGGGTGAAAACGAAGAATCATTAGAAAGGTTGGTGGGAGGACTGAGAGACTGAGAGGGATGTTGAGAAGAGGAATAATTTTCAACAGGGTGATATTCTCCCTGACTCTGCTCAGTTGTACTGTCTTCACTAGTAGATTTAAGCAGAGGATCCTCAGTCATCTCAATTTCAGGTGAAGCTTTGATGTCTGTTTCAAGTTGAGAGTCAATGTCATTCTCCATATTCGACACATGTTCCTCTGGTCTTTCAAAATCTTCACCACCTTCATTCCCCACCTGATCTTTGACATCATCATGCTCTTGTAAACACACAGCATCCTCAGTTTGTCTGACCTCTAACTCATTCTGTGACTGATCCTCCTCTGTTGTGTCCTCTGGGATTTGTTCAACTGCATCATGAATGTCATTATCTTTAATTGAGGAAGGTTCAACTTCCTGGTCGTCCACACACGAGTCAATTAGTGACGCTGCATCTTCAGGTTGCTGCTCAGTGTTGCAGTCATGAAGGGGGATTCCTAGGATTCTTTCTGCGCGCTGCTCCAAGGTTTCCCTTTCACTAAGAACTGAAGATGAGGACAAGCAGGGGAACAAGAGTTCATGTTCTCCTGAGAGTGCCTGTTTCTCCATAAGATCTGAGTCTAGTTCAGTCTTGGGCCTTTCACTAATGTGCAAGGGGTCTGTTTCTGCATTTTGGTCAGTTGTCACATCCTGATCCAGCTGACTATTTGATTGGACACATTCAGGAGAGACGGCTGATTGAATATCAAGCGGACTGTGTTCAGTGTGTGGTGTGGAGTCTAAGTAGTGAACATGCTCTTTTTTGGGTGATGGAATTAGCTCCATTTTAACAACAACACAGGTTGTGTCAATAACCAGTAGATCTGTACCGTCTTCAGATTCTGTGTCTTTGTTGATGTCCAGTCTCTTCACTTCAGTGTCAACTGGATGAACCTCAGCAGAGTCCTCTTGGTTGTGCAGAACATCGGATTCTTCTTCCTCACTGTTTGCTTTCAGACATGATGATGAACTCTCCGTTTCTGCCCTGCTTGTGAAACTAGGCTCCCTCCACAAAGGGTATTTGACTGACACTGGCTGCACTGACTGAGCAACTTGTCTTCCAAATGTAGAATCAGCATAATTAGCTTTTTCTGAGGCGACATCTGTCTCTGCTTTGTTTGATAAATTAACCTCAAGCATCTTACTTTCTGCACAGGTAGGTGTCGCTGTGAGATTTCTCTCATCAGACGTACTTGACTGCACTGTGAGTGTTGGCGCTTTGAAGTCTACCTCGTCTGAGAGTATGTGTGTTTGATCAGTGTCTCCACTGTCCTTTAGTCCTTTAGAAACCTCTCCTAATTCTGCGGTTTGAATGGTTGTTTGCGAGGTACAAAGTGGCAATGATGGGGTTTCTGTGGTGCCTGCTATTCGAGACACCAAGCAGAATATGGTGAGCCCACCTGTCTTTTTGTTTAATCTGAACTTCCTTCCTTCAATGACTTTTGAGGATGGTTCCTCATTTATATTTTTATTCTGAACTTCATGTAACACATGTGGTTGTTGCAGAGGTAACGTACCCTCAGGCTGTATGTGTGTTTTCTGGATACTAATAGGACTGCTTGCCTGTACAGCATCTGATTCCTGTCTTTGGTGGGTTAGTCCTTCAAGCTCTGGGAAGGTATATGGATTCCCATCTGTTTTAGTAAAATCCTCTTTCTCTGCTTTTCTGTGATCCTGCAGATCTGCAGCAATATCCTGCTTTCTGAGTGTGGGCTGTGACCAGTAGGTTTGTCTCTTACCTTTCTGCTCCCAACTGGTGTCATAGTGGTGCAACACAGGTGAAGTTTTATGTGGGCTGTTGTAGGGAGGGGGAGCCATATAGCCAGGAGGTTGGCTGAACATCCTCCTTTGGTAGCCGGTCTTTTCCTTCATGTCCAACATGTGGCTTGTGTCAGTGGCAGGAGTTTGTGGTGGATAATAGGTCGGAGCTTGCTGTCTGCCCCCTCTATCCCACAGTCCTGATTCTCTGATGTTTGCCGATTGTAAGGCTTGTTGCAGCGCTGCCACTCGAGGATCTGTCCCACTCCTGCTGTCCCTCTCTGGAGCCCTGCTGCTCTCCAACAGCCCCTGAGAGGCACCCCTCAACTCTGCCTCTATACGTCTCCTCCTTGGAAGTGAATGGCTGTATCGAGCTGCCCAAGCCTCCAGTTCTCGATAGCTGCTGTCGCTCCTTTTCGTAGAAACGTCCCTGTTGTAGCGGACAGGACTGCAGGGCTCCCACCTCCTCTGCCATCCCTCCCTCAGAAATCCTCTCTCATATTCCCTCGCTGCTCGTTGAGCTGCTGTCCACTCTCTGTCTCTGGCTTCATGCGACTGATACTCTCCCAGGTCTTGGTGCTGCTGAGGGTGACGGTCAAGAATAAAAGGGAAGTGAGAAGAAGTGTGGGTGTTCAGCTCCTGGTCCGTCCAGTTAGTGTACTCCTGGGGAGCCCCTCCTGTTCTTGATCCTGGTACTGTCCAGTAACTGGACTCCCTGCTTTGATCCTGCTGCTCACCATAGTACAATGGATAATGGGTTGCCTGATGTCTGTCATGGTAGCTGTGGGTAAAATGGTGATAAAAGGTGTGGGTAAATTCAAATGATTTCAACAAAGCCATCTTCCACAATTAATATGCTGTGTCTTAGAAAATCTTCCGATGACAAGGGGAATTTGTGAGAACATTTTGAAATTGAAAATAATATGTTGCTTAAAGTTGTACAGTTTCTCTTGATTATAAAAGCAATGTAGCAGTTTGTATTAAGACTATTTTTCAGTAACTAGCCAGTGTTGAAGTTAGTTAAGGGTCTGCAACAAATAAGGTAACTGACTCTTTGGTGAGAAATTACTTTTTGTCACTCAGTTATTGGGCACACTACATTACAAACCATAGAACAATGTCAACAAACTCGATCATCCAAAGATTATACTGACTGAAATAGTAAGCATAGCACTGAACTTACTTATGTGTACAGTTTCTCCCAGGAACAGTACCAAATTTGGAGTATAGAGATGATTGCCCCTGATTCTCAGGCCAGAACTCCATCTTTTGGTCTCAAACACAAATCTGAAACTTGGAAAAAAAGGGTCATTTATTTAACCGTTATGTATGTTCTTAAAATGCATAAGATTAAAATATTTTTAACGTATATTAATATTCTTACATTTAACATGACTGGATATGAAACAACTAATTTTAAAAAAAGCCTCACCTGGAATTTAGATATTGTTACATAAATGGAGAGATAGCTACACACATTCAACACATACCTTTAATTGCTGTTTTCAGATTATTGTCCTTGTTGCTCATGAGGTGATATGAGGTCTAATGAAGTACAAACAGGACAACTTGTTTTAAAAGGACGGTGGTTGTCTGTTCCCCTCCCACTCTACACACACACACACACACACACACACACATACACACACACACACACACACACACACACACACACACACACACACACACACACACACACTCCCCTGTCACTGTAAGCCCATCCTCCTCTCATCCAGCCAACAGTTTAAATACCACTGAGGAATTTTTTAATCAGGTTTTCAGAAATACTATCTTTAGCTGCATCATTGCTCTTTAAAGTCATACAAAATTAAAGTGAACACAAGTTTAATTTATTTTTTATTTTTTGCTTACAACATGTATTAAACTATCATGGAATTTAGTTCAGATATAAACACAGTGAAATTTGAAAACGCAGATAAAAACTCTCTTATCATCAGCTCAGGTGAAAAATGCTTTTTTATCATCATTGTATTTCGATTAATGGTAGTTTTGTCGTCAAGTCGATTATTAGAACATTTCACAACTACATTATAAGTAAGTCCCTGCTCACTCAACTGCACATGGTCTACTACTTTTCATAAAAAGCAATATTTGAGAAAATTAAAATACTTTTAAGTGGAAAATGTATGTTCGAACTTTGATTGTTTTTAAATTGTACGTTTTCCTCTCAGTCCAAATGGCACTCTGGTCAACATCACCACTTCCTGGCAACACTTTTCATAACTTTGCCCAAATGATCATGAATAACAACAAAACCAGTCATCTGCACTTTGCATGACACTCGTGTGGGAGTTGGTCGGCGTGATGGAGAGCAGACTCTGCATGGAGATAGGGATCTGTTGTTTTGTCGGCTGAATTGTAGCAGAGGGAGAGACAGGCAGCGGACGGGTTGTCTCCCTTTCTTTGAAACTCTCCAGCGTAACAAACAGGCTTTCCTTCTCTGAACAGAAAGTCTGTACATCAGCAGAGAGCAGGAGAGAGGGGATGAAGTACATACAGACAGCAGGCTGCAGGGAGGGCAATCTGTTGATGTTGACAGAATAGTTGGGGATCGGATGAACTTTGTTTTGGGTTTTATATATCTCAGTAAAAACAACATCGTATTACATATCAACAGCACATTCACCAAAAAGGAAGATGTTTCCACATCCAGTCCTGCTTTATTATAACTAGGAAGCATTTCAAGTAAGAGCAAGATTCATGTTAGAAAGTTAGTTACAAAACTAATATATAAAATATACTAGAAACCCATAATAATTTTGTTAATGGTTAGAGTACAGTAAGTTCTGGACGTATATTACACAAGTATATTGGACCCAGCTTTATGATTCATGTCTGTCCAGACTGAGCTGGTGACAGAGGTGTCACTAGTAATCACAGTATGACATTAAAGTGTCCTGATTATTGAGAAAATGAACCAGTGTTTGCATCTTTCTGAGCTTTGATGCTGCTTGTGGATAGAAGTTTCCACCCAGATATGATGATCATGAAGACAGTAAGTGATGCACTCAATAACTTTGTGTGGAGGGAGGGTTGGTATTAATTTTATTTAAAGCCCCTAAAAAATGTGAAGTCAACTGTTCCAACAAAGCCTCACCAACTGACAACCCAGTCAGAAGACCACAAGCCAAAACACAAATACAGCTATGTCTCATAAAATAGACAAAATAGTTTGTTTGAAAGTTTGAATTCATGTGGAATCCAATCACTCATAGTAATCCGCTTATTGAGAATGGAAATTGGTTTCCAAGGCCTTTTAAAGTTGTGATCATGTGATTTGTTTTCAATCTAATCTGAAGCTGAAGGCTCAGCTCTTTCTAGAATATATGCTCAACACTCTCGCAGAAACCAATGGGATGTCTGAGCATGTGTGAGGAGGCCGCTGTGCCATCTGTACTGATGCAATGGACAGGGTGAGACAGTTCAGTGTTTTAACCGAGAGAACAATCAGAAATGTGGAAAAGAAGTTTGAGATTATACCTTTAGACGTAGGGCAGAAGTTGCCTGGGAGGAGCAGTTGACCCTTTTTCAAGAAATGCACTGATGACATTACAAGCTCTTCTCTGAAACTACATTGTGCATGACAGTAACAACATGGAGTCAAAACTAAGAAAGAGACGTGATAAAAGATCTCCCGTCAGGTGATTGAGCAGACCGGCACCGCAGCCTGAAGCTGTAATAGCAGCTGATCTGTCTCTATAAAAACAACTCTGGACTGCTGACATTCAGATTTCCTTAAGAAAACATAAGGCTGTTTTATATAAAATCACAATGAGAACCTTTGACTGGTTGCAAACTGTATTTAAAGCTCACAACAAGTGTTTGGATGTCAGTGAAAATAAAGAGATATGTCTCATACATTCAATTAAAATTTTAGTTTGGGATATTTTTTCTCCAATTTATTTATTGAAGTGGAATTGTTTTTTTCCACTGAAGAGTAAAGAGGTCTACCTCAGGTGGCAGTTATCCACCTAACTAATAGGTAAGGACACACATGGTATGCAAAGACACTAAAAAAAGAAGAAAAAATAAAGTAGAAAAACTCAATCATACAAAATCTGTGAAATCACACTGTAGAAGACAATCGTCAGATCATCAGAAACACAATCTCAGTTGTAATGAGAGAAATATTAAAGGACCAGTGTGTAGGATTCAGTGGTATCTATCGCTACAGTTGCAGATTGCAGCCATTTGAATACAGCTCAGTACAGTGGCCGTGAAGCTTGCAAATACACGAAAGGCAGTATCTACAACCATGGTAGAATGGTTTGTCCTTTCTGGGCTACTGTAGAAACGTGGTGGCTCAAAATGGCAGCCACCATGGAAGAGGACCTCCTTCCTTTGTAGATACTGGCTCATTCTAAGGTAACCAAAACACAACAATTCTTATTTTCAGGTGATTATACACTAATGAAAACATACCTATGAATATTATATTCCAGTTCTGCTGATAGATCCTCCAAAATGTTACACACTGGACCTTTAATAGGATACAATAGATTTTCAAATGACTAAAAACAGTCGACGTAATATAATAAATATATAAATAAAAGTATCAATGGTCAACTACGACAGAAGTAGTAAGTTAACAATGTTCTACTATTTGGTGCGTCTCAAAAGACTCTGACATTAAACATGGCACAAACATTTAATGTCTTCAGACTGACAGCTGATTGACTGAGTGAAACATTTGTCAATATAGAGGAAACCCACTAAGGGCAAGCTCTCTCTTTTGTGTTTACAAGAATACTTAGATAATTGTTTCAAGTTGAAGTCGCATTATAAAACCCAAAATTGCAGCTTTAAGTAAAAAAAAAAGTAAAAGTAAAACTAAGTACTTGTAAGTGTTAAAATACAGTCACTTGATACTGTAGAAGGTAACTGTTAACATCAACATTTGATTAATTAGACTGAGCTGTTGAGTCATAACTGATCTCAGCACAGTAACTAATCCCAGGCCTCCTGCACTCTGTCCCTGCTGTCACTGGTCTTTCCTCAGAAATGCTCTGTATATATTAATGTTTTGTTTGTCATCACGGTTCATAAGCTCCACAATAAATCTGCTTGGCAGACATTCCTCATAGAAACCTGGAGTCCCATGCTCGTTTCGCATTTTGGATGAGAGATACACCAGTGCTCCGTTCTTGCACAAATGAGCGAGTGTCTCCACTAGCAGTGGGTAAGTCTCTGGGAGGTAAATGATATCTGCACAAAGCACCAGGTCCCAGTCAGAAGGGAAGTTCATGTGGTCCTCACCCCAGGACAGAGGGAGGACAGTGGGAAGGGTGGTCGGCCAACCACTGGGTGGCATGTTAGCAGACACGTTGGCCTGAAGTTGTGGGAGAGCCAAAGGAAGGTCTGTGAGGGTCACCACTGCACCTGGAAAGAGATGAACATTTGATTCCAGTGTGTTATCAATGAGACTCTCAACTCAAGATACTTCACACACTACAATATTATCCCCAAATGCACCACACAGAACACACGCAGTCAGTTACTCTACTTTAAAAACATATTTCTGACAGACTGCTGAATGGACACTGACACTATAGGAGTAACACCTGTTGTGGCAGAAGCAGCAGGTTTGCAGTGCCTCTGGTGGAAGTAACTGTGAGCTTCAGAGCTGTATGACAGACTGGAAGTGGAGCCGCACACAGTTCACTGACTTCTACTCTGGACTAGCAGAGAGATATAAGAACATAACTTTCCTCGCACATACACAAGCAGCCAGGAGAGGCTCAGGGAGTCTATAATGCCATTCACAACCATGGACCTGAATGTATTCCTCCGCAGTACAACATACCGAGGCGTGCTGCCAGAATCCCGACCACCCCGGTCCCTGACCCCAGCTCTATGATGCGCTTTCCTCTCAACTCAACCGACTGCTGCTCGAAGTACCGACACAGCTGTAAGGCCTGTGTACACACAAATAAACACTGTTAGAGCTGCACAACACTCACACTGACTTAGCAGATATATTACACACACACACACACACACACACACACACACAACACATATATAAGGTTATATCATAATGTCAACATAAAGCAAGCAGTGTCTCTTACAGCCTCCCACACCGGGGCAGCCACACCGAGGTTGGCACCGAACAGCTGTCTTATCTTCAGCTCTTCACCGACTAAAGTGTACACGCTATCTTGAGAAAATGTTTCGGCAAACAGACAGTCGTCGACCGGGAACGGGTCGTCTTCATCCCCTGCACAACTCATGGTTGGTAAATTAAATCGGTTAACTCGACGTAAAGTTAGCTAACGTTACGATAACATGCGCCTTCCGGGTCAGGTGGTATTAGCATTGTCTAGCTACCTGGTAGCCTGTCTCAATTAGGGTATTTAACTGATATAAGTTGTATGAAGACTGTAGAAAAGTCGTCGCAAAAATAATAGAAAAGGAAATTAGTCAGCCATTAATTTATTAAGTTGTTAATGTTAACTTTAAGGACATCTATTAAATGTTAACACTGACAGTACGCTAGCTAACAGCTGAGTTAACTTTTTAATTTTAGTCTTCACTTTCAGAAAGAGAGAGATGAACTGCTCATACATTTATAAAAAAACGTTTTTACTTCTCCTTTAAATCAGACTGAGGGTTTTAGTTACAGCTAACTCAGTACTGTGAGTGTAGAGTTATACGGAGCTTTTATTTTGAAAAATAAAACCAACTGACACAGAGTTTCCGGTTTGGACCCTAAAATAACTCACAAGAGGAGCACTGTGCACCAGACACATGATAACAGTGCAGTCTGGGACATGTAACCTTTCATTAAGGCATGATTAGGGAGAGCAATATAATGATCTGATTATACTTTATACTTTACCCTTGTACATCCCATGTTGCTGATGTTATGTGGAGAAAAATCTACACTTATTAAACTATATTAATATTACTTGATTATTTCAGGGGCCTCCTGCCTTTGAATCAGTGACATTAAGAGTAAAAAAATGTTTTGCATCATCTCCGTCTTCTTCTCATAGCCAGCTAGACAACACTGTCTGCTCTCGCATTTGAGAAGCAGAAATTATAAAATGTTTGGCAATTTTGCTTAGAAAGCGATTTGCATGATGATTAATGAGTCATCAGAATAATTTATATAAATGATTTATATTTTATTTATTTATTTATAATTATCAATTGATTTATGCATCAGTGCTGCAGTTCAAAACACAAAACACAGTCATGTTCCAGGTTTATTTAAAAAAACAGTTGCTGTCTCCTCACCCGTTTTGCTTAGAAAACAAAACTGAAGTAGAGTACCACTAGGACATAACCATTTTTCACACACAACTTCACATCAATGACAAAGATGATTTTAACAGGTGTATAAAGTGTAGAGTCAGGTACAGATATGTCAAATAAAGCTCTTCATCATTTCAGCTTATCCGTCTTTATAGAACTCAAGAATATGATAGGAATTTCCAACACAGCTAACTAAAAATGAATGGGTCCAATCTGAAAAGAAAAATGTAATAATATATATATCTGCTTGTGTTGGACTGCGTCACAGTTATCTCAGCGGAAAGGACAATAACTGTTGGGTTTAGACAGATACACTTTACTCAATATACAGTAATTCTGCCCGAGGCTGAACACCTGATTATTTGATGTTATTAAAAAATAAATAATTCTTTTTCATCATACAGATGACAGTAGTATTACATCCATAACACAACCACCCTCTCCCTCAGGCCTCAATATGTGCAAACTGCAAGAGTTTAAAAAAAAGGTAGCACTTAATGCATGGACCATGAAAACAAAAACAAATTAAGTGTTTTAAAATGAGCACTTCATGAAAAGTGCAACAGGTGTGAGACGGGTATGATTTTAAAATGACAGGATGAACTGGGAGGAAGGTCGGGGCTTTCGACACCCTCCTCTGGCCAACAGTGGAGTAACAATGATCTCAGTATAGTTATTAAATTGGGAAGTAAAGTAATAATATTAAAATATAACAGGTGGTCCTTAAACCAAAGGAATATATTTGGTACTTAATGACTATTCTAATACAAAACATTTTCTTTCCAGGTAAAATACTGAGGCGGAACATAAATGCAATGTTTGGATGAAAATGAATTTGCACTATAGAACGACATCTACTGCAAATGTCTTTTTCACAAAACATTCGTTCATGTCACATCTTCCACACAGAAACAAACTGTTTGCAATGATAATGAACAGAAACGATGCACTGTCACACAACAGACGTCACAATTCGTGCTTCGAGTTCAAGCAGAGGACACTCTGCTTTAGCATTTAAACATTGGTAGTCCACTTTTATACACCACAGCGTGTTTTCTTTTAAGACACATGTCAACATAGCAGGGTTCGACAAACCTCTGTCACAGAGACTTGGCGATTTGGGTGCGAGTCACTTGATAAAAACGGCCACGGTTCAAACAGATTGTTGATTGTTTCTTCCATTAAAATCAACAACAAAACACCCCCACGTGGCCCAAAGTGCACCTGTGAAGAGACGTTCTTTTTCTTCATTTCCTGGTGGGTATGAAAGGCAGTCAGCTTTGTTTTGAGTAGAACCGAGACGGAGTCCAAGTCCACACAGATGCACAACAAACACCCACACAGAAAACAAAAGCCAGAGGAATGCATAATTAAAACTTTGTTCCAAAAAGAATAATAATTAGAACAATGACTATGACAAAGAGGATCAAAATGATCAGCATCTTTCGGTTTTTCTTCTGATACTGTTCCGCCTGCAAAGAAAGAAAAAAAGGGAAATACTGTATTTCAATTTCATGAATAAAAGCAAAACATTCAGTGTCTTAACATCATCTGACAAACTGAGTTTAAAAGGATTTGCTAGTTGTGAAGGTTTGTAATCAATATGGTAAATTACATCATAATTGTGCCTTTAGCCAGCAGAAAGTTGCCTTTTTGTTTTCCCTGGTGGTTGTTAAGATTCATTATTAGCTTCCAAGCTAAAATAGGAAATAAATCTTTAAGTAAGAGCAATCTGAACTGTATCACTGAGACAAAAGATGAGACCTAACCAAAAATGTGCATGTAGACCTGTTACCTTTTGTAACTGCTTCATTCCATCTTCTGTTTTAACACAAGCCTGCTCCACATTGAAGTCAATTCTGTCAAGAACGGTGCCCTTTAGGAGGAAGAAGAACGGGGAATTTGTCAGTAGAGGAAAAGTTGTAGATTATTTATTATATATTTAGTATATATAAACAAACATAATATTGTATTTTAGCAGTGTTATTATCAGTTAGTGCCCAACACCTTCTAACCTTGGGGTTGTTTTGACATAAGTAATTCTCATTCAAGCTTTGTTGATACAAAATCTGAAACGTCAGGACACTTTACATTTTGTAAGTCTTTAGGTCAACTCACTGACAACCGCACACTTGTACGTGGAGAACAAGAACGTCTGTCTTTGGTACCTCAGTGACTTGACTCATGCTACAATGAGGAGCTGTTTAACGTTGTGCGTGTCAGGACTGCTTCAAATACCTGTTCCACCACCATTCCAGCCAAGTCCCGGAAAATCTCATTCAGATCTGAGATGGACTGCACTATTTGTCGGATCTCCCGCTCTCGTTCTTCAACCATAACCGAGTTCTGCTCCACCAACATCAGTTGGTCGTCTGTGAACCCCTGAAACAAAATAAAATGAAAGAATAAAAGTAGGTGAATTTACAGTAATACCATTATTACAACAGCAACACATGTAGCCACAGCCTCAGACCAAATTTCATTTTATGTTAAAACTGAAAAGAAAAACAAGTTGTACTGCTGTAAAGATTCAAACCAATGTTGATGGTCTTAAACAATCTTAAATAATCTTAAGTTTAAAAAATCCTCCAAGGAGTCTCATGACTAAGTCTTTAACAGTTTTTTTTTACAGCATTTAAAATACATTGTAAAATGGCTTGATTATACTCGGTGACCTAATTTCTTCTTTTTTTCCAATTTCACTGGTTCTGTACTCATATAGTAAAAAGGATTTCTGTTATACAAGATGCCTGATCAAAACAAATAGTCGTGGTGGGTAGTAGTGTACCACTAGTGGTACACATACTATTGTTTGAGAGATCTGCCTCTAGTAGTATGCAGAGGAATCTCTGAAATGAATCTCTAAAGTTTATAAAATTAAATAAATTCAAATTCTTTATTTTGAATGAATACTGAAAATATCTGAGATATCTGAAATTTAATTTAAAGTAACTTCTGCATTTCCTCAAATATTTTGTTTCAATATGAGCCTGTAACACAGTCACATTCATGCACGTAGCACACGCATACATCCATGATTAGTTCTGAGAATTCCAGCTAGTAAGCAGAGGTAAAATTAATGGTTCAAAAACACTGAAACTGTGGCTCCAAATGGAAACTAATAGGAAGAGAAGTGTGGACCAAATTAGCTCTGGTTCTTGAACCGGTTCCGTTCAGGATTCAACCGGCCTCCTGTATGGTCTGTAGCTGGATAGCGACGGTCTACGCAACTGTATTTTAATGTTGTTTAAGTCTTAAAAAGCCAGTCAACCTTGTCATATACAGCTAAATCTTCATCCTCTTCCATCAGGGGTCCAGAGTCAAAAAAGTGCTTTGATCTCTCCTCACGATTCTTCATACCTGAAAATATAAACAAATGGCGAGAAGCTTAGATGGCATAAAAAAAAAACAGAACAACTTGAGAATAAAAAGAGCTATATAATATATAACCTTGATAAAGCAACAGTGAGGAATGAGGACTTAGGAAGACCAATCCCAGTTTTACTGCAGTTCTTACGTTTTAGGTAGCCGGACTGTGTGTGCCTGAAATTGGTGGACAGCTCCTGCAGGCTCTGTGCCAGGGACGAGACCACGTTTCTCAACAGCCTCTCCTCCTGCTCGGTGCAGTGGCCACAACGAGACTGCAAACCCGTCACAGCTCGCTGGCACCGATGAAACATCTGCAATCAACACAGAATCAGTGAGCGAGCAGAAATGAACCCTGTGTTTCATTTAAAACTCTTCAATATGAAATATTGTCAGGTGTGTCCACATCACACAACAAAATAGATAATCAATACAATATCATGCGTGCACAGACAAAACCACAACTCTGTGCTCAAGTAGAAACGTCAAAGGAAATTCAGGCAGTGTTTCCAGTTGGAACCAGATTTGTTCTGTGTGTCACGTACTGTCTTAGTTATTTTTTATAAAAAGTTAGGTTTTTCTTTTTATTTCTGTTACAAGAACTGGTCAATTACTGTACCTGTGTGATCTCCTGCGTAGTGATTTCTATTGCATGCTCCTCCTCACTACTGTCATCAAGTGTGGGACGATTCATGTGCTTGTCATGGAGTACGGCTAGTTCCTTCATCTTCTGCCGAACCCGTGTGATTTCATACTGGATCTGAAAGGAAACACTTGATTTAAATTTTTAATATTTGAACACATTAGGCGTATGTATTTGTATGGGTCAACCTTTTACAGATCCGTCTCAATTCAAAGTGTTTCTTTTACCTCATCAACCCCCTCTATCCATTTGGGGGGCAGTTTCTTGGTGACTCCGATGGCAGCTTCAGGATCCAGACTAATTCCTGACACCAGGGCCATTCGATCATCAGCCAACTAAAAAAAAAAAAAAAAAAAAAACAAAATGATTCAATTAAACGTTTTTATATAATAATTGAACATGATGATGGTGGTGTACCGTAGTATGTGTTGCTAAGTCATTCTACTAAGGGAAACAACAGTACCTCATCAAGCTCCTAATGTGATTGGTAGAAAGCAGAGTGGTCCCATCCAATAGAGATCAAGGAAAAGGAGAGAAGTAAAAGAAAGTGAGCCCCGGAAAAATAGCAGTTAATAACAGAAAGTGTTTTTGCATCCACTCCCACCAACAATTAATTACTCTGAAATTAAAATGTTAATTACTGTACAGTACAGGTACATTTGGTTTGACTGTTGAAATGTAATAATTTTCACTTCACTAACATTAAAGTAAAAATAGAGTGTGAATGCAAAAATAAATCACACTCGAACACAGAAACTAATTTCAAAATAATTTCACTTTAAACCAATCATTAAGAGTAAGAAACCGTGAGAATAAAGAGAGAGGTTAAGGTTGAAATAGAGATCACCTGAGGTGAAAACATTTTTAAGAGAATTTTTGTTTTTTTTAAAGTTTTTTTTTTGGGCTTTTATTGCCTTTATGATAGAGACAGCTGAAGATAGACAGGGAAGGGGGACAAAGAGAGGGGATGACACGCAGCAAGGGGCCGCAGATCAGATTCAGACCCTGGGCCACTGCAGCAAGGACTCGGTCGCCAGCTCTACCCACTGAGCTAACCGGGCGCCCATTTTTAAGACAATTTAAAATCAGTGGAAAGTAAAAGTTCTTCTAGCAATGTCAGTTGTTTTTAAACATGAGTGTATAGCAGCTTCAGAAAACTGAATGTGCATATTTTCTATATATAATATTTTGCCTTTTTAGTCAAATATATTTCAGTCTGTGGACATAAAGGGGTCATAACAGTACTACTGTAAAATGAAATGAAGGTAGCATACTGCTGGACAACAGTGTCCACTGTGTTAAATATATTTTTTGGTTTTCATTGTAACTTTGTTAGCATAACTGTGGTTGACTGCTCTAAAAATATTGTTATATATTAATGTACCAACATCTCCTCTGTGACACATTTAAATCAACACAGTTTTACAACATATATGGATGAAGCCTGATACAAGGACAACAGGACCAAACATACACTGAACAGACACAGTACAAGTGAGATATTATAGACTATAATCATAAATTTTAATTGAAACATTTACCATCTCCATTTGAGCTACATGACTATATAAGTAAGGCTAGTTAAAGAGTGTGGATCGATCTTGGTAGGAGGATATAAATGTCTTCACTGCTCTTTTGAGAATTAAATTTTTAAAATGGCTATTGAGAGCTAAGAACATACTGAGCAACATGGAAACAAAAACATTTTACTGCTCATAAAAATCAGTGGTTAAAAAATAAACTAATTAACAGGATCCCAACCATAAGCATGGATGGTCTAACAGTGGTGGTCCATAATAAATCTGTCAGCTGAGCTGCTCTAGGAAAAATGCGGCAGACTCACTTGAGCAAAAAACTGTTTTTGCTCTCATTGGGAGAAATGACAAGAAAGTGCAAAACCAGTTCATCTGTGAAACACAGCAGCTGCACAGGCTTCAATCACTTTTCACGAAACATTCTCAGCTCTGAAGTAGACGGCCACAGCATTGTGTCTGTCCAGGAGCAAGTTTGGCTGTATTGATTTGTCTATGTCATTGAAAAGATCAGTTTATCAGAGGAAAACATATGGAGGGTTAAAAGTCATTGTTCACTGCTCAGTAGCTAAAATTCAGCTGCATATTTTGGGAAATGCAGTACAGACATCCTCAACCGATGGGATATCCTCCTGGCTGTACAGGCTACTGTACAGCAAACAGTGTTCACAACTGAGTGTGAATGGTCACACACACACACCCTACAGCTGCTTGCTGCACTGTGTATCTAGCACCTGGTTTCCTCTAGTAGAGATGTAAGAGCAAACACAGGAGAACTGTTCATGCTCAAGCTTTCAGTGTGTGTTGACTACGTTTTACTTTATTACAGACTGTAATGGAAGTAGATAATGACACAGGAAACAGGGTGAAGCGTGTGAATAATTTGTAGAGAACAGTGTGACACTTTTGCACTGATCCCATCCGTTGGATCCATATCTGCCCTGACACTGACATCCAGACTGGGTATTGGCCAGATGTGGCTGATTACTGAAGTTTCTTCATCAGTGTCACGATAATGCCATTGTTTCTGCTAGATAGATACATTAATTCATTCATGAGGGCTGTCGGCTCAATCATCTGTGGTGCAGAACTTTATATCAGTGAGTTCGTGCAGTGAGGTGTCTGTTTCTGGGAGAAAGGCAGCTATGGTACAGTTGAGTGATCAGTATCAGGAAAGGAAAAGTCAGAACAGTGAATCCTGAATTTTTATTACAGAAGAAGTAGTGAGAGCTGTTTGTATTGTGGAAACTATAGGTTTCACATTTCTTAGTTTTCATAATAGCTCCACTAGAGATAAACCCAACAAGGATTATTATTATTTCTGAATGTCAGGCAGCAGTTTTCAGGATTCTCATACAACAATTATCCCTTAATGTGTATCATCAAACATTTTAATTAGTACAGGAGAACACCAGCTACATTGTAGGGGAACAATCACTTACAGGATACAGGCACAATTTGATCTAGACTAGATCAAATTACTATGCACCGGCCACACACTTTACACTTCCACTACATGGATACTACAAACATGCTCTAACTTAAACAAAAGCCCACTCAATGTACACTACTTTATTTTACAAACGTATCTTTTATCTTACAAATGAGGAAATGCAGTCTAATTATTTAGCAAATGTCATCCCCGTTGTTTACGTTCACTGTAGACATTATTAGTTAATATGAGCTGATGTAAACACTAATAAAAACATTCACCTCAGTGGGTCACATTAATCCATCAGTCCTGAGGGGAAACAGAAATACTAACCGGGGTAGAAATCTTCCTGAGTAATGATTAGCAGCTACTAACAAACACTTGTATCTAGCTACCGCAGATCAGAGACTGGCTATATGCAAACACACACAGTAAAATGTCAAAACGATGCAGACCACTCACCGCAGCATTGCTACGTGTACTCAGACGGGGGTCGTATGTACTCACTTGCTCAGCCAATATCTGCCGGTTTTGGATTGCATTGTTCCGCATTAACAAGAAGGCATCGGTCAGACGCCTAGTGGCCATGACTGCCTTGTTTGATATCTAAATTAACACTGGACAAAGTGCGGATCGGGCGATGATTTATTAAACTACGTTATGTCCACTGCCGCTGACCCGCTGCTAACGCACCGCTAGCTTTAGCTTTAGCTTCGCCTGCGATGGATGATGAGGAAAACTCGCGATACAGCGCCTACAGTGGACAGCAAACGACCTCAACGATATCTATCTGTCGAGCATCTCTCATGCTTAAATTAAAAATGAGAAACATGACCGAGAGTTTCTCCTCAAATTTAGAAATGTAACGTTAGATTAGTAACGTTATTCCGGTTTAGGGGCAGCTACGGAAGTCGGGAAACGTAAACACCTGCGTACAACGCTTCTTCTTCTACTACTCGTTTACTGCAGCTGTCAACTGTAACTGAAGCTCATTGTCGCCTCCCACTGCCTGGGGGAAGAAACAGCAATCAGAATCACAATCAGAATCAGAATCAGAAAAGCAATCAGAATCAGAAACAGAATCAGAATCACAATCAGAATCAGAAACAGAATCACAATCAGAATCAGAAACAGAATCAGAAACAGAATCACAATCAGAATCACAATCACAATCAGAAACAGAATCAGAATCAGAAACAGAATCACAATCACAATCACAATCACAATCAGAAACAGAATCAGAATCACAATCAGAAACAGCAATCAGAATCAGAAACAGAATCAGAATCACAATCATAATCAGAATCAGAAACAGAAACAGAATCACAATCAGAAACAGAATCAGAATTGGGTTTATTGCCAAGTAAGTGTTTACACGTACAAGGAATTTGCCTTGGTGCATAAAAATCACACAAAAATAAAGTACTTTTTAAAATATAAATAAATAAAGATAAGGATGAAGATAGAAAGATCCAAAACTGTACAGGAAAGATATTTACAATGTGCAGGATAGACAAACCAACGGGAGTGCATTGATGTAATGCATATATACAGGGTGGGTGTTAAGAGTCAATCTCCTCACACCTCATATTTTTGTATATAATCCTGAATCATGCATTAAGTGTGACACTGCTTTTGTTATCAGCTGGTGATTCTCGTTTTGGCCAAAGAAAAATTTAATAGAAAATTACAATACTTCTAGGTCTGACAATATCTTAAAAAAATGTTTTTATTTCTGTATTATATTTGCCACATTCCAGGAAAACATGCTTCCTTTATTTATATATAATTGATATATAAGTAGTCTCTCTACATACAGATACAGATGCATAAATTGACTCCAAATAGCCCACAATATGTTACAGTACAGCTAATATAGGGTACTGTGATTATCTGTTTAACAAAATATGACTTGTTTAAGCCTTTAACTTCAGTATTGACGTTGGAAACAGCTTGACAAGACAATTACAGTGCGAGGTCCCTTACTAGGTTTTTCTGTCTTAAACCGTTTTCGTCATGCAGCAAATGGAGTGTGCTCAGTTGTCATGGAGACAGATCTTTTGACCTGCGAGCTCAGCAGTTGTTGTGATTTCATCCACAGCAAGTGTGTAAAAGTTCAAATTGTTCCTCTGTGCTCACCTTAAATCTGAGTTTAAGACGTGTACGTACATACGAGCATGATTTAACAAGGAAATGTAACTTTTTTTGTGTAAAACCCAGTGACCATTGGTCAAAAGTCCTAATCAAACTTAAATCAAACTTAGATTTAAATGGGTCGCTGGTGCACTAGGGGCCTGTAATGTACGCAGGCAAAAGAAGACAATTGTCCATTCAAACTTTGTGTATTTCGTAAAGTTTTATCTCCAAAACAAGCAAGCAAACAAAAGAACAACTCCTGCTCTGGTAAAACACAACAAAAAACATCAGCCCACCCAGGTGCATGCTGGCCCTGTGCTTGCCTTCCTACATATAACCTCAGGTGTCCTGTGTTACCCAGAATGCAAAATGACTCTGCAAACAGTTAATAAGTGAGTCTTTTTTTGTTTTGTATATATTTTTTAAACTGATATATTAATCACTTTTCATATGAGATACGTATATGATGTAATACAACTGATTTCCTGATTCCCATGTCAAGGGGAAAAAAATCATACAATCATCACAATAATATATGTTAAACAGCATTTCAAGTGTGAGAAATTGACATATTGCACATGTGGTTTCTAGACATCACTTATATGTCTCATGTGAGAACACTAATTTCTCATTTTGTAAGCAACAGCGATAGAAAAACTATTCAAATGCACTTATATGACCATTTTCTTTGTGCACAATGTATTGTCATGCCATGACCATATTGCTTCAAATATGCTCTAATGTTCCTTTATGTTGATGTTTGTCCTCCCTTCCCTGCAGTCACAGGTTGGCCTCTATATATATTCTATTATTTGTTTGGTTGAACACAGGTATGCAGAGCGTTCAACACTTGGCTTTCTGCTTATTAAAACCTGTAATTACTTTGTAGGAGTCACCTCCAGCCTCACCAGAGCAACCTTTGACCTGCCAACTGGTCCTCCACTTCCAGTTTGTTTTGGTGTTATCTTCAGTGCATTTAGAGTGCATTAATCACTGCCTCAGCATACCTTATCTATTTTTAACTATGTTTTATGGAACCCAGCCTCCCTTATGAAACAAAATGAGCTCACAGTTTGATTTGATGTCCCTCTCTAAGCCTATTCAGGAAGCTACAACATGACCTGTCCTCAGATAACACCTTGAGAACTCATTTTACAATCTCTTGTAAAACTGCAAAATTAAATAAGTTGAAAACAAAAAAAGTTTATTTTGAACTTTAAGGCCCCGGAGGTCCCAGAGACAGTCCGTCAACATGAAGCAGTTTTCAGACCCTCAACCTCTGAACGTTTCATTCATTTACATCCGTTCCTTCACCGTGTTAACGCTGGAAACCGGATAGCTTCATTCTGATTTTAGGGCTTAAAGCCGCAGTGTTTAGGAAATGGGTTGACTTGTCGGGAGGGGGCAATAAATCAAACAAGTGCGCGTGCCTGTGGCGTGCGTGTGTGTGAGTGTGCGTACACGCGCGAGGCGGTGCCACTAACTGTAATTATGTGGCTAAGAGCTCCTCCTCCACCCATTCTTAATCCTCTATATCCGCTAATACCGAGGCAGACTTTTACCCACAAGCACCAGCTGCTGTCAACCAACATATCAAAGTTCCGCGTCGTGGAGCTCCGTGTCCGGGACAGCGTTTTATTTACCTCTGCGGAGTCTGAGAAGAGAGACAGGTGAGGAGAGAGAGAGAGAGAGACACACACACACACACACACACACACACACACACACACACATACACAGACAGGTAAAGAGCCTCAGGGGTTCAGTCGTCGTCCTGTGTGGATGTCTGAACACCTGTGCGGCTCTAACAGAGCAGAATAAATTAAGAAGTGGTGTCTGTCACTCAGTCAGGAACCCTGACTTCAGTTTATAATCCTGTCTGATGGATTCATCCTTTTAATAATCTGGTTTTAATTGATTATTTCTGCTTTGGTTTGGTTGTCCTGTGCGTTGCTGATCAATTTGTTGCTGATTTTTGTTTTTATTTTTTAGATAGGAGACTTATACAGAGAATAAAGCTGCACACATACATACATATTATTGGTGTTAAATTGGCTTTTTATTGTCTTCTGCAGAAAGTTAACTGTCCAAAACACTTAAAGTTAGCAAATTAATCCTATCAGATCTTGTTTCAAACCTTTAAGCCGTTTCCACATTAAACCAATATCTGCTTGATAAATATGTCCTAAACTCACCCAACTTGGTAAATTTGACCTAATTTTAACTGGTGATTGGGATTCCTCAGACTGAATATCATAAACCAGACAATATTGTTGAGTAAGAAAGCATTATGGAGGAAAGGAATGGAGGCAAACCAGTTAATGTGAGTCACAACCACAACTGTGGATGGCCTTAGACCTATTCAGGTAACCTCCTTGTTTCTGCAACCGCACAGTAGGTTCATCCCGGGGTTGTTCTTCATTGTTTTCCCTTTGCTCTTTCAGCTGATCGGCATGGCCTCGTCTGATGATACAGAAGGGTCTCTGACTCCTGTGGATTTTATCCAGCTGCAGCATTACATGGAATGTAAGTTTCCCCTTCCTACTTCACATTATTAATCATCAGTAATTATTAATATTACTGCATGTACAACATAAAGGCTGAAGAGATGGATTCATGTAGAACGGTCTGTCCTTTAAATCAATAGAGTCTGAATATTTATTTCAAGGTACAAGTGTCTTCATATGCACTTATGATTTTCATTGGTTGAATGATGTGAAGTACATAAACATACATAAATAAAGTTCTCTACTTAAATACAATTTTAAGGTATTTGTACTTTACTTAACATTTATCAACATTTATCTGACACCTACTACTATTTCTGAGTAATATTTTTAATACAAAACGTATAATCGGCTTGTAAAATGTGACACATTGTTACAGATTAAAGCACCCATCTGTATATAATGTAATTAAAATTAGTTCCAGCTAGATCAGCTGCAACAGTAGAATACTGCTTCCACATGAATGCATCACTAACAATAGTTATAATAAATAATGTACTGCAATATATAACAATCACAGGGGCTGTTTGTATGCATAACAGATAGAGATCTTTTACTTTTGATTCTTTAAGTATGTTTTACTATGCTTACTCTGTTCAGTGCTATTTTTACTGAATACTTCTTCCAGTACTGATGATTTGGAACAATAAAGATTGTGAAGTTGTGAGAAAGTGAACAGACAATGGTTGGATCACTGATTAAAGTTAGAGGAAAGAACAAAGACAAGTAGATACAGAAGTTCAAACAGCTAAATCAATCAGAATGCTCTCTATGTGACTATACTATATATATATAATATATAAACACTATATATTTCAGTTTATATGTTCAGCACAGGCTAAATATATAGAACTGAAATATCAGAGTGCATCCTAATTGATCTGAGTGTGCAAACTTTTCTTATACCTGATGGATCACTGACTAACGTCCTCCTTTGGGAGATCAATCACTTCTCACAAAATGTGAAAGTCACTAAGCATCAGACATCGACATCTTTAATGTAAATATTAAATCAGGAAAGAGGAAATTCCTCATAATAACCCCCCATCAAACCAACAAGGAAACACTCTGTAATGTTCCTCTGGAGGATGTTCAGCATCAACACAAAAACACAACAACTTCTAAATGTAAGTGCCTGCGTTTGCACCGGGGTTTGAGCTTATACAGAATTTGATAGACCTGTTGACAGGAAACTAAAAGTGGTACGGGGGCTAAAAATATTCTGATATTGTGCTGTTCACTCAGAGGCTTTGAACAAAATGAAATGGGTGTGTAGGCTTTTAGAGTCTCCGGTGGGGGGGTTGGGGGGGTATTTGCACTGTTGGATAATGGATGAATGCATAATTACACCTGTTCCTCTCTGGACCTGAGAAAAGCACCGTGTGTTGCCTCTGACAACAGGGGAGACGTCTTATGTACACACTGTACGCCTGATTCCACAGTTAGTGATGGTCTCACTGTTGTTTCCATGCAGTTAATGTAAAACTTCTCTGTTCTCAGTTTTTACTGTAGAACTTTCTCACCATTCATGTTCAGAACAGACAGATTCATATCTTTTTCTTGTGTATTCACTTTTTCTTCCTCTCCAATGTCCTCTTTGCAGACAGCAGTTTGCGTGTGAAAGATGTGATTAAGGAGTTTCACCCAGGGGGCCGGCTGGGCCAGCACAGCTTTGGAGAGGTAAGTCCGGACAATGACACAACATTTGATATTGGAAACTTTGTTCAGTTCTGTTCTTGTTCTGTGGGCTCAAATGGGAGTCATTATTTTGAAGTGAACTAATTCACACCTTTTTTCCCTGTATTTGATTCCAAATTATATCGTTTTTCCAGTTAACCTACTACAAAATAATAAGGCAATTATCCAGAAATAACAGTCCCGCCACAATTAAAGCATTATTGTTTTGACCCTGAGTCTCCTGACGTTTAATTTCTTTCCACAGCGCGTCGATGCCGTGGGCTTCTGTCTCTTTCTCAAGACCTACCTAGAAGTGGATGAGTTCCCCGAAGATTTCTGTCAACGGCTTTTTCGCTATTTTCAACACTTTGAGCAGAATGGATCCACAAAGAGCCCTCTGCCCAAAGGAGGTAAATTATTTTTGAAAGTCCGATCCTTTTTTGCATAACAACATGGAGCAGGTATTTAGAGGAAAAGCTCTGAGCCCTACAGTTATCTGTGTGTGGTTGGGAATGCCCCACAGAACATAATCATAGAAAGAAGGAATGCTACAAAGAGTATTTCCTGCTGGATACTTTGTCCAACGCCCACCTGTTTGTTTTTTTTATCTTGTGGTGCTGCGTCACAGGAATGCAACCGTGGGGGAAGATTTGGAGATTAGTGCACGTGTTCCAGTAACCAAACTCAGATAAAATATTTGCTTTCATTCTGCAGAACTAAATGTTTCTGTCCATATCTTTATCTTCAGGTGGGGTCTTTCTTCGTGATGTGTCCTGTTACTTCTCAGTGCTGGAGGAAGGACAGCCACGGGAGAAACTTGAATGTTGGTTTCATCTACATTTTGTGACATGTTTGTTACGGTGCATTTGATGTACACTGACCACTGATTGATTATTAATAGATTGATGTAGGGAAGCTCTGAGAAAGTCAATGATGATTGGATCACTGACTGACTTATTTTTTGTTTCTAGTTACTTTCAAACTTTACGATAAAGACGGCAACGGACTCCTGGACAGCTCTGTGAGTTTTCAGTAACATACAGGTTGTATACTGGTGCATGATGTACAGCGCACACCAAGATTATCACAGGTTACAGTATTTTGCTCATTGATTATCACGGATATAGTTACACTATGAATGTAAACCCTGCTGTCTCTCCATCAGGAGGTGGATCGTATAATCACACAGATGATGCGGGCTGCTGATTACCTCGGCTGGGATGTGACTGAAATCAGACCAGTATGAGTCTCTCCTTGATGTCTTTTTTTTTTTTTTTTTTTAAGCTTATTCAGTAGGATTTTCCTTTTATTCTATCATGAAATAATTTGCTCTTTTAAAAAAAAGTCTGCATGAGGGTTAGAGTAGGAGTTTGTTTGACATCAGAAAGAGAGAAGTTGTTTGGTACATGGCAGTTAGATGATAAATAATGAGCAGATGTTTCTGTAATTGGACAGGTGCTCAAAGACATGATGACAGCGATCGATGTGGATGACAGTGGGACTGTCACTCTGGAGGAATGGTTGAAAGGAGGCATGAACAACGTGCCTTTACTTGTTCTACTCGGACTGAAGGTGACAGAACAAGCATTACATACGACACTTACATTTCCTTTCAACATAAAACCAACTCTAAGCGGACACAGCACAGCTTCTAGTGCTCCGTTTTCAGTGGGATCAACTGTGTTTAAAAGGTGTTTAAACACCTTTTTGTCTTCCACTCACATACAGATGACAGAGAGGGATGGGCAGCATATTTGGAGGATGAAACACTTTAACAAGCCGACCTATTGTAGCGTGTGTCAGAGCATGCTGCTCGGCCTCGGGAAGCAGGGACTCTGCTGCACCTGTAAGAGCTCACAGCCGCCATCAGGGGGCAGACACGCACCTCATACACTAATGAAGTGGAGGAGTCTGTTCACGCCATTTTTAGTTCACTTTTTCTGTCTATTATTTATCCCTGCAGTTTTCTATGAATAGAAATACATAGATTTGGCTATAAAATTATATACATATTAGTGGTGAAAGCTTTGTCTTGAACTCATTCACCTCTGTAATATTTGTTTTTCTTCTTAAGGTTGCAAGTACACCGTCCATAGTCAGTGTGCCAACAAGAATCCTGAACCCTGTGCTCGCACCTTTGTCAAATCAAAAAAGGAGGTTGGTATAAGTACACAGAACAAGTAGCACAACAAATGCAATAAAACCATATATACAGTTACTGCTATACATATATACATGGCCTACATGTATACACCCAGAAAATTGCCTAAATCGTCAATCGCTGATCCGGGATGTTGACGGAGCAGCAGGACATTGTATGTGGGACTGACTTAAAATAAACTGCAGTGTGCATGTAAATGGTTATGAAGGAACATGTGGACTTCACTGATGTGCTTTAGTTTAAGACAACAATGAGCTCTGTGACTATAGTGATCAATTCATGTTGGGTTTGGTATTTTCATGAGATTTGGTGATAACAGGAACAATAAAGAATGTCAGCAGACGTATCTTTAAAGTTTTTGTCACATTTAAACCAAATCTGTGGAAAAAAAACTAGGAGGTGGAATCTTGAGTCATTTTGTTGTTGAAAAATGTCAAGGTCAAGGATGAAGTGAAGGCTGATATTTGTCATGAGTATTTCCACGCCAGGTCTCTTTTTACTGACCAAATGGCAGCAACAGTAAACACATTAACAACATGGAACATTACAGTGCAATAGTCAGTAATAAGTGAAACCCATCAGTGTTTTTTTAAGTGCGGATTACAGCCGGCACAGTCTGCTCTGTACATCTGTTCAATGTCCTGATTTTGCACAAGCGTAGACAATGATCTGTTCGCTGTCTTTTTTGAGCGCAGTGTCACAGCCACAACTCGCTGATTCACACACATCTTTACTTGATTCACAACAGTGAACTGGCCAAATTTCCTCAGCTGCTCTGGGAGGTTTGAAGTGCCAGTGTGCTGTAGGGATATTTGATCTGATGATGCATGTCTGCCTGTCAATAGTTATCAAAAAAGTCATAAATCTGGGAGGGTGTGGTGTGTGCTGATTCTTTTAAAGGCAACTATAGCAAACTTTTTCCTGAAGTAATTTAGATTTAGCTTGTCGTTTGGCACCACTGTAATGAACATGAGAATTGTTCCTGGAGCTGAAGTTGGATGACATCTTAAGACTGGTCTAGACATTATGAGAGTCGTGGACCTGCGATCACTTTAATCGACTATAAAAAAAACAACCTGTTCAGATCTTAATATAATTACACCTGTTCTTCAACCTGTCTGTTTCTGCTCCTCTTTGTCTCAGGTGGCGGCTCATGACTGGATCAGAGCTGACTGTAACTCCACAAAGTGTCAGGTCTGCCACAAGAAGATCAAAACTCTAGTGGGGAGGCGCTGTGTGTGGTGCCAGGAGATGGTGAGTGCTGTGTATGTTTGTGGGGACATTAATGAATGAATTTGAGATGGATCTTAGAGGATGTTCACTAAGTCTTGTGTCTCTTTCAGCGTCATGATGAGTGTCTTTTCTCTGGCTTATCGACCTGTGAATGTGGGCCACTGAGAGATCATATTCTGCCTCCATGGGCCATATATGCCGTCTCAAAGGTAAAAAAACCCCCCACCAAACCATAAATTTGTCCTCAGCCAATTTGAGATCCTAGGATTATTGTTAGTTAATTGTCTGTTTGTTGGTTAATTGTCTGTTGTTTCCTGCAGGAGGAGGACACCAGCTTGTTAAATGTCACTCCTGATGGCCACATCCTGCAGGTCTGCTGTTATCAAATCTTCCTACACACTTTTATTCCTTTTCCAACTGTACACCCATGTGTTTTCTCTGTGAGGTCTCTTTCAAGTTGTCTGCTCCAACTACCATCTGCATATCATTGCTTTTGGGAGAATGTCCAATTTTAGTCATCCGTCATGCTGTTTTTTTTTTTTTTTAAGATTCTTGTTTAAAAGGACTGTACCAGTGTGTTTTTAGTCTGTTCGGTTCACTTCAGTGTGTTGGATAAAGTTATGGACAAATACATCTGTCATGGTTAGGTCTGCTTCTGCAGGGACAAGCCCACTGATCCAGTATTTAAGTTTAAAGTACCAGACACTCACCTCCTGTAAGTTTGAAAAGTGGTTGTTGGTTTGTTACCTCCTTCATAAAGAGCAGCAGCTGCCAGGAGCCTAAAACTATGTTGGTTTTGATTTGTTCTACAGGTTTTCATGTCTGAGAATTAGTACCAAATTTACTCCTGCAGCACAATCTATTTCCTTTTAAAATTTGACATTCACTAAAACCTAAAAATATCAATAATATTATAATATCATAATGGTTAAATATTAAAGAACGTGAAGCTTTTTAGTGCAAGACAGGACACAAACCTGGGTCTGTGGTGTGGAAGTCGTGGTGCATGGTGGTGATGCACAAAGCAAGGCTATATCCTCACAGCATGAGTCCATATGTCCTAACATATCTGTGTGTTTTTCAGATGAGTTACATAATCCATCGGATCCTAATCTGTTCTGTATTTTCCTTCAGATTGTTCCAATTCCAGACACCCACCCTCTGCTGGTGTTTGTAAACCCCAAAAGTGGAGGAAAGCAGGGTGAACGGTAAGCAGCTCAAAGTCTTGATGTGTTTAATGTAATGATCAGTTATCAATACTCAACCTTCATGGAAAGTATTGCTGAATAACAATCAGTTCAAAGAGTTTTTGCACTCTTATAGATATGTAGATATTGTGCAGTACATGTTTTAGGATAATATTCTATCTGCAGTTTATAGTTATAATATATTATTGATAGTTTAACCTGATTCTCCTACTGTAAACTTTCTTTTACCCCTATTTATTCATTTCTAGAATATGAATAATGTCTCTCTCACTTCCTTCTCCCGGGACGTCTTGAACAGTCTGTGTTGTGTCTCCGTGTTTTCCACAGAGTGCTCAGGAAGTTTCAGCACCTGCTGAACCCACGTCAAGTGTACAACCTGTCCAACGGAGGTCCCGCTCCAGGGTACAGCACACTTTCCCCACTATGAGACTTACAGTTGGACTTTGTTTGAGTTGCTTCATGTTAATGTTTGTTTCTTTAGACTGCACTTCTTCCGCAATCTGCATAAGTACAGGATCTTGGTGTGCGGAGGAGACGGCACCGTTGGATGGATCCTAGATGCTATAGGTACTGTAGGTCCTTTTGGGTTTTAGACAGATAATTAGGGTCATTATCTGTAAGGCTGAAAAATTTGTACCCGTGATTTCAGACAAAGAAGACCTTCAGGTGCGTCCTCCAGTAGCTGTCTTGCCTCTGGGCACCGGTAATGACCTGGCTCGCTGTCTACGCTGGGGAGGAGGTAAAACCAGCAACACGTTAACTCTAGACCATCACTGAGGTATCAGCTTTGGCACATTGACATTTTTTGCTTCTTTTGTAATCCCACAAAAGGCTATGAGGGGACAGACTTGAGAGAGATCCTGAAGGAGATTGAAGCCGGCGAATTGGTTTCCATGGACCGCTGGAGCATCCGGGTGATACCTGACGACCCCCAGGAGGCGGGAGACCCTGTACCCTACGAGATCATCAATAACTACTTCTCTATTGGAGTGGTGAGTCACTACCTCAGCAGGGAGGAATAATAACATCACAAAAGATTATTTAGTGAGTTTTTTAACAAAACACAAACATTACTTTTATGATAATTTTCACACAGAAAGGTGAATACAGTGCCTAAAATATGAGATGATATGATTGCATTTGTGTCCGTGTGAGCAGGATGCGTCTATTGCTCATCGTTTCCACTCCATGAGAGAGAAACACCCCCAGAGGTTCAACAGTAGGTGAGTATTCACACCAACTGTATGAACAAAGAGTGTTTTCTATTGTAACAGAGATATTTTTTTAATCAGTAAAGTTCTTGCTTTTTTTAAGAATGAAGAACAAACTTTGGTATTTTGAATTTGCCACTTCTGAGACCATCTCTGCGTCGTGTAAGAAGCTGAAGGAGTGTCTCACGATTGAGGTAAGGATTTCTGGTACCAAAACAAAATTTTTTTATTTTATTTTGCCTTTAGTTCGGTTGCGTATACAGAAAACAACCTTTTGTTTTGCTTCTATCAGTGCTGTGGGAGATCTGTGGACCTAAGCAGCATGTCTCTTGAGGGCATAGCTGTCCTCAACATACCCAGCATGCATGGAGGCTCCAACCTCTGGGGCGAGTCCAAGAAGCCTGACAGTGTGCCAGAGATGGAGCCCAGTGAGGTCATCACTGACCCAGAATTGCTAAAAACAATTTCACAAGGTGCACGATTTTACATTTCTCTATTCTCCTAAATTAAACTCACTTTCAGTGTCCAAATATTGTCAATAAGTCCTCCCTACATTCTTGGATGTGAATGCCATCAACCTGTTTGTTTATAGACGGATTTAATCTTTTACAAACTCTTTGAACTTGATGTATTGTTGTCACTCCGCAGATATGAGCGATAAGCGTTTGGAGGTGGTCGGACTGGAAGGAGCCATAGAAATGGGACAGATTTACACCAGACTGAAGAGTGCCGGACACAGACTGGCACAGACTTCCCAAATTACCATCAGGTTGTGTACTTTTACCTACAGGTGGATGACAAGAATAACACCTGACAATATAAGACAGCTGCATGCAACAACAACAGTCTTGCTAAAATTAAACATAAGGTTGTATGCGGCTGTTGTTTTTGGATTGCATTACATTGTTATGTGTTCATGGCAGTTTATCCCCCTCTATGCAGTCTGGTGTAAACACACATTATTCACATTATAAATAGTACAATATATATATAGGACAATATAATCTCACTTTCTCTCCTTCCTGTGTACAGGACAATCAAAGCTCTGCCCATGCAAATCGATGGGGAGCCCTGGATGCAGCCTCCATGTACTGTAAGTGTTATTAACCCACAGCCAAGACCCAGACATATTAGATTAAACCCAATGTAACTTAATTAAATTCATTCATACGTTAGGTAGACAAAATGTCTCTCATAGTCACTGATTATGCAGAGGGCAGATATTGGAGCTGGGCCAGTGGGAGAATAAACACAAAGTGTTTAGGATAAAGGGAACAATCTAAATTTAACTGAAGCAGAAGCACTTTATTTGTTTTATCATACCATTTTGAAGGACTTATCAAAGTTTCTTGTGTAGTTTGAAAATTATACTGAACTGATATGATAAGTTTGAAGGAATTTGAACAAAAAATAATAAAATTGTCATTCACCAAAATATTGTCTTTTTTTTATATATTATAGATCCACATAATTCACAAGAACCAAGCCAACATGCTGATGGCTGCACCCACAAAACCATCCGGCTTTTTTCACCTCAAGTAGATTAATGGTTCCACTGAATCCTCAAGCCTGCTGAGGGTCGCCACGGACCGCCGGTATTATCGGGGAAATGATGCAGGATGAGTATTTAAAAGAGAACGTCCGTCACTGAGTGTGTAACTGTGTGTTTTTATTATTAAGTATTATTGTGTGTGTCTTTTGTGCTTAATCCCTGGTATAATTTTAAATTATATAAACACAGACACTGTAGGCAGAGACAACACTGTTTAAAACTGCAAAATATCACTATTCTAGTCAGATCGCTGCTATTGTGTGCCAACTTCAACAAGATACATCCATTTTTTTCCTTTTTGTAAATAAAAGAGCAGAACATGTATCTACAGTAGGAATATATCAGCTTATTTTATGTCGTGATAGCTTTTTCTTGTGGTTGGTCAAATTAAAGTCTTGTTGAGTTTCATTTGTACTTCCTAATGCAGCTGATGATGAACTGGCTTTGTTCAGCCTTCAGAAGCTCACAGCAGCTCACCTCAGCACTTTCCTACCTGTCTGTTCTCGTGTCTTTACTGTCTGTGTTCATCCGTCTGAAAGAAAATTTATTTATTTCAGTGTTTTTTACTGTTTCTTAAATAGGCTGAAGAAATAATGTGAGAAACATTTTATTGAATGTGACTGAATGTGTTTTTTTTGAAGATTTGCTCTACAGTTATAAATGAAAGTGCTGGGCGGAGGGGCTTTCCCCACATTTACCAAGTTTAGTATAAAAAACGACAACTTTGCTGACAGTTTATGTCTCTGCAAAAAGATTCTCCCATTGATTAGGCTTCTTAAAAACAAAATACACAGAAACCTAGAAAATGTAATGAAATATTACTGATTGTGTTAGTTTACCAAATCAATCTATTTTGGGAGAATGTTGGGGAAAATGCCAAGGTTATAAAAGTTTGTTTCAGTGATGTGCATTATGTGTCTTCGGCTTTCAGGAGTCTTGTGTTGCATTTTCAGTGTACTTATATACAATTATAACAGCTCGTATGTTCATTTACTATCTTGTCTTAATGTTGAATTGTGTAGTTGTCCTTTGCGTGTGTGTCTTGACAATATTGTATACTCATGATGATCACATTGACAATATTTACTGAACTGTCTACAGATTAATTACCTGGTAATCTGGCTAAATCTTAAATGGCAGCACACTTGAAAGTTTACATGATCAAATATATTACAGATTATATCTTAATAACACGATTTACACAGCTTACAACTAACTCATTTGTCTGTGAAAACATCTGCTGTATAACAAAGTGTACACCCATGCTTATCTGAAATAAAGGATGTTTATCAGCATTTAACAAGGCTTATATTTCAAAGTATTGACATATACATTTATTTTAAGTGTTGTGTGTATACTACACTTATATATACTATACACACTTCTCCTAAATCTAAGTTGCTTAAATCTCCTTAACACCAAAGCATGACAGCATACACTGAAGCAGGCTTTGCACCAGTGTGGGAGGGAGCAGGAGTGGCAACAGCAATGCAGCAGTGTGTGTGTGTGTGTGTGTGACTGTGTGCGTGTGCTCTCTTGGAAGGAGGTATCTGACATAAAGAGTGACTGGCACTGAGGGTTGGGGATGATGGTGGAAAAGAAATATTAAACAAATATATTTTCATATTCATAGACTGCAAATGAAAATCAAAATGCAAATGCAGTGGAATAATTTTATATTTAGATTTTAAATCTTGCTGGACTCCAGTAAGACTGGCCTCATTCTGGTGAATGACATTTGCCTTGTCTGGATCAGATGTTTTTAAACTTTGTTGGGATATTTATTTTTAGAGCTCTTCAGATCTTGTTTTACAAGTTAAATTCTCATTCTCAAGTCATTGAGTCCTTTTCATGTGAAAAACTCTGCTGGAGCTCAAATATGGTAACATACTGTATATAAATCTATTTTACATACATATTTACTTGTTTAAAGATATTTACATATATATATATATATATAGACACTAAGAGTACCAAAAGTAAAAGTCCTCATTATGCTTAATGGACCATAATTTTATTAGTGGATTATAATAATTGGTGCATTAATGTGTAAACATCATTTTAATGTTGCAGCCAAAGGTGGGGCTAGTTTTATTTACTCTATATACTGCTGCGTAGCTGCAGTACTACATCATGATTTATTAGTTTTTTGTATTAATAATCTGAATTTTAAAGGTATTTTGTAACTAAAGCTGTCAAATAAATGTAGTGGAGTAAAAAAGTAGCCATTGAAATGTAACGCAGTATAAGTCTTAAATAGAAATACTCCATAAATCCAAGTATCTCAGAATTGTACCTAAGTACAGTACTTGAGTAAATAGTTACTTTGCACCACTGCTAAACAAATAGCACTATAACCTCGCCAGCTGGTAATCTGATGGTGTGGTGAAAATGACTTCTTACTGTTTATTACTATAAAAATGTAAAAGTTACAAAAACATGGCAGATGTGCTTAATTGACACTGGAATGTTGTAATAGTATGTGTGTTCTCCTTTGGCTGTGTATTTATACGTGTGTGTGTGTGTAAGTGTACTAGGCTACATGCCAGTGTGTGTGTGTGTGTGTGTGTGTGTGTGTGTGTGTGTGTGTGTGTGTGTGTGTGTGACTGAGTGAAAGATATAAGACTACATGAATATACACATCCAGCCTGGTCTGTTATTTTATAATCATGCTGTACACAACATGGCGGCACGCTCTCACCCCTGTAATTACCTCCATTAACTGCAGGCCGGTGTAGGCAGTCACATTAGCTGCTGCTTCTTCCCTCTTCGGAGAGAATCTCAGCTGTTTCCTGCCCTGGATGATGCCTCTCACTTTCTTTAGTGAAAAACAGAAACCGGATCACATCCAGAGATCCCCGGAGAGGTTTCGAGTGTGTTGGGTTTTTTTGGTTGTTGTAGAGAAGTTATTACACGAGGGGTATTGGATGATGCTTAAACTGATGCTGACACCTGCAGCTGTGGCCTTTACATCCATAGTGCAAATTGCCTGATGATGACATTACGATGTGAAATGGTTCATGATTTCACACCTCTTGAATTCAATGTGTAAATTGTTTTAATTGTAATATCCTGTAGGTCCAAATAAAGGAGATTGAATCTATCTTCCAGTGCTCAGAGGACTAATTATGTTCAAAGAGAGACACAAGACAAACATAACCCTTTCATAACTTCATTTTCACAACCATTCAAAAAGTGATACCTTGTCTAATTCATTGTTAATTGCTTAAACTGGATCACATGCAATCATTTGGTATTACTTATGAATTTTAGAAGTCAAAAGATGAGTCAAAAGTCCAAAGGATCCACATCAATCACTTCATTATCTCCACAGAGCAATTGGTAGTGCGTCAGTAAAACAGAAACACAGAATAAAACACAAAGTAATTATTACCAAGTAATAATGAGTATATATACACAATGTAAAACAGTGATTAAAACAGCCATTAATGGACCTTGAGATAACTTATGAAAAATATAGTCACAATTATTATGTTGGTACAAAGTGTTCGATATCAAACAAATAATAAAACATTAAAATATTAATAAATGATCATATGTATAAAAGCAGAAAAACTACATAACACAACCATTGTTTTTATAATATTGAAGACATTGGGTAAATTATGAACAGGCTAAGGTATAAAATCCTTAATAAAATCACAAAGTGTTGCTGTGTTGTCATGGTAGTTTGGTTGAGATATATACTGTCAATGGCTGAGAGAAAGCAGAGAGTTTGAGCTTCCAGCTGTTCTATGAAAACAACAAAAAAAACCCATACAGGTGTTTCCTGGTATGTCACGTGATAACTCACCTTCCTGTTGTAAACGTTTATAATGTCTACATTTCCAGTCATAAAACGACTGCACCTCCAAACTACGGCTATTTTTAGTATTTTCCTCTAGTAATAGCCCCACGTGAGCGCCACTGTCGTTGGAGGTTTATATTTAGAACGCACGCCCCCCCAAGCCTCTTGCGTCAATGGAATCCCGTATCCCGTGCGTGCGTCACACGGAAGAACGTCTGTGTCGATTCGGACGCTGATTGGCCGGCAACCCGGAACGTTCCACCGCCCCGTTCACCATTTTTGGGCATTGACCCGCCTTTTTGTCGACGCAGCCAAAATAAAACAAGAGTGTATGGAGCCTCCTGCGTCGGTCTGACCCAGTGAGTGTGTGTGAATGGGTTTGAATGAGTGTGTGTGCTGACAGCAGCTGGCAGAGGTGACATTCATCAGTTTCATTCGTTTGGAATAAATGAAAAGCTGGATATTTACATGAACCAGGTGAGTCAAAGTGGACTGTTTGTTTGCATGTATTACTATTTATTTATTTATTTATTCAGGGGGGCACATTATATTAGATTGCTATGCTTGCCTTACTGCTTCATTATAACTACTGCAACTACCATAATAATTTAAGCCCATAGAACAAGACTGACTGGACTTCTGGGCTACAGCAGTTCAACATTATACTCTGATTCATTTAATGGTTTACTGGAAAATAATGTGTAAAGATGACATAAGTGCCCCAGCCTCCCTTCATGGGTAGCAGTCAGAACTACATACTCAGCTGCAAGTTTGTTAGGTGCACCTTGCTAAAACTAATGCATCCTAATACAACAGCCCTGCAACACATACCTACCCGAAGGTAGCAATGTTCAATGTTTTGTTGAAACTATTTTAAAAGGGTTTTGATCTGACTTCCCTCATTGATATAAATGGAGACGGCAAAATGTTATAAATTATTATAAACAAACATTGTAAATTATTATAAACAACAAAACAACACCATACCAGCAGAACAATCTACAGGCTAGCGGACATTAGTTGAAGCTCAATGTACCAAATAGACCTGACAGCTGAGTGTAAACAGCGCATCCTGTTTAATGATAAATAACATTTTGTCATATATTTTGTAATATTTTTTTGTTATTAGTTAGTAGTTAGTAGATATTTTCATGATAGTGATTGATTAAGTGACTCCTGTAGTAGTTCTACTAGTGCAACAGTACTTTCCTAAAGTTTCTATCAACTGTCTCGTCTATATTCTCAACCATGACTTTATCATGATTTTAGTTTAGTTTGTGTTTATGCATGGGTCTATTATTATTGCTATACACTACAAGAACATGTACAGAGTGGTAGGGTATATTTATAGGACATAAGATACATGTTGGACAGTTGAACATTGTGGTTTCCCCATATTTCGAGCGTAATTATAAGTTTAGCAGTTTAACAATTTGGTGTAACTTTAACAACTTTCAAAGAATGCTCAGGTGTTCTGGTGACGTGCGCTTCACTTTTGTATTGAAAAGCCCACAGGGTGAGGACATCCGCACTTGTGGATACATGCCCATTCCCCCAGCCAAGCAGGCACATTCACGCACACACGAACAGGCTTTGCCACCTTTCTCATTTCAGCTGGCATTCAGCCCACCCTGAAATACAATCTGCAACACTCCCTGGTTCAGTCGCTGCAAGAGGGTTGCCCTCAACTGAAAGAGGTTTTCAGAGCCTTAACAGCCAGTAACACAATATCTGACAATATTTGATTGCGTCACTGGACCACCATCCGCATTTTCTAAAGGGGAATGATTGGCCTGGAGCTATGTTGTTCAAGCTGTTGGCTACTGTTTGGATGGTTACAGAGGGAGGATTAATAAATGCTGACCTAAATGTTTTAAGCAATATCTAATTTACTTGGATGAACTTCATTGCATGCATTAACTTACCACATACTTATGTTTAAATAAACAGCCCTAATCAGCCCTAGTTATCCCTAGTGATTTAACATGCTTTTATTTTGAAAAAATAAGGATACACTGTATTTGAAAGGTTTACAATTCGAATATACATTACATTTACATACATAGATTTGCTTATATTTACTGACATATATTTAATTTAAACAAATGTCTTAAATGGACAAACATTGGGGTTTATTTTCATCCGTAGTAATTGTTGCTGTTTTCTGTCCTAGAGATGCCCTGTGTACAAACCCAGTATGCATCCCTGCCCCATGACACCTACTTCAGCTCTGAGTTCTTGAATCCTGACCTCAGTGCTAAACTGATGATGGACATCAGTGGCCAAAAGGACCAGCTGTCTACATCTTCGTTGCCCAGCATCAACACCTTGGTGGGAAATGGCTACATGGGGGAGTTTGATGCTTATTCCTGCAAGATTACCACCTCTCCCCCCGCCTCTACAGTTTCATTCAGCCATGCCGCGGTAGCTGAAAGTCCCTGCCCTCAGATGCAGAGCCAAGCCTTCAAGCTGGATGATCTCCAGGTGTATGGCTGTTACCCAGGGTCCTTTGCGCTCAGTTGCCTTGATGAAACACTGTCATCATGTGGCTCTGACTACTATGGAAGCCCAGTTTATGCCGCTGCTTCCCCTCCAACACCGGGCTTTCAAACCCAGTCGGCACCTGTCTGGGATTCCCCTTTCAGCCCCTTCCCCTCGGCCCCCCCGTCCTCTGTGGCTGACAAGGGCCCCATGGCCCAGCAGCTCTCCTTTTTCAGCTTCAGCCCCACACCAGAGCAGCACTCTCCCCTGGGGCAACATCAGGATGTCCAGCCAGGCCAGGATGACCCTTTCTTCCTGTCTCCTCAGCAGCATGTATCTCCACTTCATTGCCCCCCCATGTCTCTGGAGCAAGGACCCCTGGAAAACCCCAGGATAGGGGAGGGGGCCATGACATCTCCTAAAACCCACAACCCAGGATCCAGTGAGGGCCGCTGTGCAGTTTGTGGTGACAATGCATCCTGTCAGCACTATGGAGTCCGCACCTGTGAGGGCTGCAAAGGGTTCTTCAAGGTAATTTGAAAAGAAATTTGCAGGTTTATTCTACTGATAAATTGGTTGTGGTGACATATCGGCTGATAAAACCTTATCCTATATAGATAGCCATATCAATGTATATATCGGCTGGTAAGTATAGAGAAATTGCAGCAAAGATATGTTTGATGTAGTTTAGAAACCATTCAAAAGGGCACTGACAAGTTTATGTTTAACTGTACAATGTATCGTTGAGGACATATCTTGTAAAATTTAAGGGATCCTTATTAAAAGTGTTATATTATGTGTTTGTTTAAAAAAGTTTCAGCCTCAAAAATCCAAAAGAAGAGTATATTATTCTGATTAAATAAGACATTCATATTGAGCTTTTACCATTAATGCACCAAGGGTTATTGGCTGATACCAGTACTGATATGTATTTTTGTTAATAGAAATTCAGGTGTAAAACAAGTGAAGCTTTTTGAACATGCAAATCGAGTGGATTAAAAAAAAAGAAATCATAATTCTGTTGCTTATCTAACATAAGATAGTGTGCAGATTTATTGGCACATTTCTGTCATTTACATTGTTATACATGTGCAGCATTGTAAACCTATAGTAATGTAATTTTCTTTCCCTGTTTGACAGCGAACTGTACAGAAGAATGCAAAGTACGTCTGCCTTGCCAATAAAGACTGTCCAGTGGACAAGAGGAGGAGAAACCGCTGCCAGTTCTGCCGTTTCCAGAAATGTCTCGCAGTGGGAATGGTCAAAGAAGGTAATGCAATGTCAGACTCTCTTAAAGCTTTCAGTGACTAATGTATGATGACCAGAAACCGGGGTTTGTAATGACAGTCTTGTGAAACCAAAGCTAGGAATGACAGACATATGTAACCAGAGCCTTATAGTGCCAACTGCAGAAAAAGAGAAACTGAAACTGATACAGCAGTTGTGTTTTAAATTGCGGGGTGCAGCAATGGCCATGTGAGTCACAAATGTCTCTAAGTGTTCCTCTCTCCTCTTCTCTGTCTCCCTCTTTTAGTCGTACGCACAGACAGCCTCAAGGGTCGCCGGGGTCGTCTGCCCTCCAAACCCAAGACTCTGGCCGAGGCTTCATCCACGACCCCCAGTGTCAACGTCATCGCTTCTCTTGTGAGGGCTCATTTAGACTCAAACCCGACCATTGGAAAGCTGGACTACTCTAAGGTAACTCTCAAGACAGTGCAGCATATCCAGAGCTCCTTTGAACCGATCAGATCAGTTACAGTTACCTCAGTATAGGATGTAGAATGAAAGCATTGATAGTATTTGCAGTTATTTTCAGTAGCACTGACCCATCCCACCTCTTCCTCCTCAGTACCAGGAGACAGTGGACAACCTGAAAGAAAAGGAGGATGCCGGAGATATCCAGCAGTTTTATGACCTGCTGACCGGCTCTTTGGATGTAATAAGAAACTGGGCTGAAACCATCCCTGGATTCACAGATTTCTGCGCAGAGGACCAGGAGCTGCTCCTTGAATGTGCCTTTGTTGAGCTCTTCATTCTGCGACTTGCATACAGGTTGGCTTCTTTTATGGTTAAAACAAAATGACTCTTTAAATAATATACTGTATTAATGTGCACCTTTCGATATGCTGATTGTACTCTTGGTTTGAAACTGTGCAGGTCAAATCCAGAGAATAACAAGCTGATCTTCTGTAACGGTGTGGTCCTCCACCGACTGCAGTGCGTTCGAAGTTTTGGTGACTGGATTGACTCCATCATGGATTTCTCCCAGAGCCTGCATCGCATGAATTTAGACATCTCCTTGTTTGCCTGCCTGGCCACACTAGTAATCATCACTGGTGAGAACTTCTGTTTGCTTTTCGTCACAGTGAATTTCACTTCATTTGAATTTAATGGTTATATTCAGGACCGTGTTTCTCATGAGAATGTCTTTTGCATCTAGATCGCCATGGTCTCAAAGAGCCCAAGCGGGTTGAGGACTTTCAGAATCATCTCATCACTTGTTTAAGGGAACACGTGAGCGGGAACGGATCAGAACCGAGCCGGGCCCAACCCAACTATCTTTCTCGTCTTCTGGGCAAACTCCCCGAACTGAGGACTCTTTGCACACAGGGCCTACAGCGCATCTTCTACCTGAAACTGGAGGACCTGGTCCCTCCTCCACCAATAGTGGAGAAAATCTTTATGGATACTCTGCCGTTCTGAAAAAACATGAATACAATTGTGTTATTTGTAAAAAAAAAAAAAAACGATAGACACAAAACACCTAATGTTAGGTTTTATCTTTGGACTCACACTGACTTGTGTGCTGACAAATGACTGACATTGTTCAAGAGACCATTATTTTTCTAACTTCAAGTTTTAAAATTGAATATGGTACCTGTGTGAGATTTATTTCAGTTCAGCTGAAATGGTATTAACATTTAAGGACACAGTTTATATATATTTTTGCGTGCATTTCTAAAATGACTTTATTGCTGTGCTAGATGTGTGAATGTTGTCCTCGTATGCAGCTAGTAAGACGTGGATATTTGGGTAGATGCAATTCAATGTTACATATTCAGTTTTTCCTAAAAACAAAAGAAACACACTAATCTCTTAAAAAGCACATTTTTAAAGTTGCTTTTTGATCCCACTAAGAAGCTGAGGCAGTAGATTATTAAGCAGAAAGGCTGGCAGAATCCCACGTGGAGTCCTATTTTTAAAAAGGGAAATATTTTTTTGTATCACAAAAGATAGTTTTAGTCCTAATCGTGCTCCTGTGGAAGGTCTCGGACCAAAGTTTACTCTCATTTTGATACTACCAGATACAAACCTTATTGCCTTAAACTAAACAAAATGTTCTGCCATAACTCTTGTGCTACCATTTTGCAACACCTTGTGAAGGCTGATGCTGGCAGGGTTCCTCTTCAACCGCTTGTCCCTGTAACAACATGTTTCTTGGGTTTTTAAGAACAAAAATGGACTTGCTGAATGAAAATGCAAAGTGCCTTTTACAAAGCTGACACTAAGTGAATTTTCATTCCAAATATCACATGCATTGAGTCCCAATTAATACCAAAACTGAGCTAATCCCTTACAGAATTCATTTCGTACTCGTGGTTGTTGAATACGATTTCAGATCTGTGCCAGCTTTTGTTATGAAGTGCCTGAAGGATGCGAGTGTCAGTACAGTTTTACAAAGAGCATATATATACTTGACTGCACAATTCACATTGCTAAACAGGAAGCACATCAAGTGATGACAGGTGGTTCAGGATCTTCAAGAACTATATCCTGTTCACATGTTCCTGAAGCAGTGGAATTCATAACTACAGTAGAGCCGTCCCTCTTGAGATTAGAAGACTACAATTAGCTGCAGTACACTCTTTCTACAATTTGTTTTCCCCCAAAAACGCTTGAAAATCCACATGCATAAGCAGGCATTTCATGTTTGTTATCGATGTGTTGAACCTCGACTCTGTACGTAAACTCTTCCACTGTCTTCCACATTCTTCTGAACTGTGTCGTTTTTTTTTTTTATATATATGTTGGGTTTATTTTTTATTTTCATCTCAAAATGAACTTAAGAAATATCTTAAGGCATCACAGTGATATGTGATGAGAAGATGAGCAGCTAAGAGCACTTCAGACAGTGTTCAAACAGTATGAAATAGATATTTCTTTCTGTATGTGTGTTGTTTGGGACATGTGTGGACTTTGAAAATACTGCCAGGGTTTTCGTAAAATGGTGCGGGAGTATTAAAAGAGAATGTTTGATATTAAATCTTTTTGAAAACACACAACTGCCTGTCGTTGTTTAAATGTTAGGAAGTGGAGTGATAGTTCCTGTAGATCATGTGACATTTCTATACTTTCTCTACATATATCTTTAGTTTCCTTTAGTTTCCATTGAGGAAGATTCCAGTTTCTCTAAATGTTTGAGTTTCATTTCATAACTTGAATCCTGGTCTGAAATTCAAAGGGTGTATATTTTATATTTTGCCTTTGGAAGCAATGGCTTACAGAAATGGTAAAAGGTTATATAAAGGATAGGAATCCCACGAAAAGACCAAAATCAACAATATGTTAGTTGGTCTCTCAACACTTTCTGATTTCTCTATACTCCATTTGTTCCTAGTGAAGATGGAAATCTTTAAAAACAGGTCACTAATACATACTAAATATACTAAATAATTTCCTTAAACAGCTGGGAAGTGTAGTTTTTTGCAAATGTTAGTCAAACATGACACATTTGTTGGCCACTATTGACAACAGTGTACGCACAGTATGTTAGAAAGAAAGGGAAATGTCACCCAGTGCAACAGTGTGGCTTATTAATGTTGTAGGAACATTCAAGGTTTTCAGATTAATCTTAATGACTTTAGTGATCCCTGACTTTTCCTTTAGCGCCACCATGAGGTTGACATTTGTGGTTTTAACTGAAATGTCTCAACATCTGTCGGATGGATAACCATAATATTTGGTACAAAGATTCATGCCCCACCCTCAGGATGAATAGTAATAACTTTGGTAATCCCCTGACTTTTCAATTAGCACCATCACCAGTTAAAAAAAAGATTTATTACCTGTTTGTCCATTACTTATTTATGACGAAATACCTCAAAAAACTAAAGACATTCCCATCAGACACAGCTGCACTTTGTGGTTAGTGTTAGTTAGCAAATGTTAGCATGCTAACTCACTAAACTACGATGTTGAACATATACCTGCTAAACATCAGCATATTAACATTGTCACTGTGAACATGTTAGCATGCGGACATAGAATGAGCTATAACAGTCATATGGCTACGTGGTCAAAAACTCGTTATTTAGATCAACTGATTGTTCTTTTTGTGGGATTTATTGACCGGACCTATCCTTTAAGATGAGTCTAGAAAACGTTTCCCGGTTCAGTGCAAGCTTAGGTTTTATTTAACACAGTACTCACTGTGCTGCAATTTGTTACATATTAATGATGTGATGAAAAGTGACCAAAAGTAGTCCTTCATCTCCTTTTCACTGAGTCTGTGTTGTTTGTCACACATGGTGTTAATGTTGGCAACATCGCCGACCAAAGGGAAGACGACACCGTGCCACTCTCAACCACAGCAGACTGCAGCACCGACTGCATTCAGCCGCTCGACACTCGATCCTACTGTACACCACGTTCCGGTCATCTGGATTTTGGTGTTGGCAGACAGAGTGGAAAAAAAGGAACAAGGGGAGAAACGAGGAGGAGGCAATATGAAAGCTAGCATGCATTGAGGTGTTCATTATGTTACAAAATGGCAAGCGTGCTGCCTAAGTCAGATGTAATGGGAACAGCAGACGAGTACAGAAGAATTTAGATGAATGCAGCTGTTGTTTTGGTTCTAACTAAAAGCATTTCTTATCAGAACCAATGGTCACGTATCCATGACAGGTCAGACACCTTAGCCCACGTTACATTGCCCAAACCCAAACTCAAAATACGCTCCCCTGTCAATATATTTCATGTTTGATGTTTGACCTCGGGCTGCTTCTTGACACCACCTTTTTCCAAAAGTGGAAATGCACCATCTGGAGCATCCATTGGCCCCCTAACATTTGACCTGTGCCCTGACATGCAACACTCTTCATCCAGGAACAAACTGTACCCTTACACCCTGCACACACGATTCATGTTCTGACCAGTAATATGTGGCTCACTTGTCATCGTGATTTGTTGCACAAACATGCCGAGCTCCATTTTACACTTTGCTTCTCCAACTTCTCGTACTCTACTGGAGAACATGTAGCACAGTGAAATGTTTGCTGTGTAGTTATAGTACATTGAACTGTACAGGATTGTGCAGCATAAACAGTTTTCGTGACAATTGTATCTTTATATAATTAGCAATAAACATAAAGTTAGCTTAGACTGGTGGGAATATCATTCGTTTTTCAAAAATTTTTTTTTTTACCTGATGATGGAAAGATGAAGAGTCGAAGGATCATCAAGGTTATTACAATTCATCCTGAGAGGGATATCCAGACATTTCACTCAGAGCCAGAAATGTACACCTCATGGTGGTGCTGGAGAAAAAGTAAGGGGATTCCCAAAGTTAGCAGATTCATCTTCTGGAAACCACAAATGTTTGTACACAATTTGGTCCCAATCCATTATGTTGAAATATTTTACAGGATAAGTGAAAACTCTGAACTATTGATGGCGCGATGAGAAAAGTCAGGGGGGACTTCATATTCTGTGGACAACAAATTATACTGTATAATAATATAATACAAAGAGGGGATATTTCTCTGCAAAATGTTTACTTTTACCTTGGATATTTTCAGTATATTTTGCTGTTAATGCTTTCCAGTATATTTGCTGGATGTTAGAACTTTACTTGTTCTACACTCTTTACAAGTCCTGAATGAAACAGTGAAAAATGAATGAAGCACATTTGGGGAACCAAAACTATTACTTTAATTCTTTTTCCTCAGAATAATTTCAAAGTATTCAGCAATTAAGCCATGTCCAACATAGAAACATATTGGTCTGTCCCCAAGGTGTTCCTGTCTATGTGTGTGTGTGTGTGTGTGTGCATGTGTGTGAGCAGCTGATTGCTGGAGAGGATATTGTTCCAGCGGGAGGAAAGCTAATAGGTTTGTTTGTGAGGATGCTGCACCTGTCGTTTATTGATGGATTGAGCTGTAAATAACGTTGTGAAGCTGTTTAGTGCTCGGTGGGGGCTTCTGTGTTTCTTTCTCCTCTCTTATGTCTCTTCAGTACCTTTTCATGCACACACACCTACACACAGGTGCATAAGTCCTTCTGCCGATATTCATCTTATTTATTTTCCACAGCCTCTCAGCACAGTGCAGAATCCCTCACTGTGCATCAGAAAAAGACAAAAATTAAGGTGTCTAAGAGAAGTTGGCATGATCTTTTCATTGCAGTGAGGACCACAGAGTCTTCCATGTTCATCCAAACACAGACTCATTTGTACACGTACTGTGTATTTGTGCAAGTATGTGTGTGGGTGTGTTGTTGAGTGTGGAAAACCCTCTGTGAGTGTATTTATAGAAGGCCATTGTTGAGTCCATAGAAACCACTGTAATTGGATCTGGACTCTCTCACTAAGAGAGTCCGGTGATAAATGAGTTGGCAGACGTCATCGCTCATGCCATCCTTGTGATAACTGTATGCCGCAGATCACTGTCTTAAACTCTTAGTCCCCGCAGGATTAAATTCATAAGTGGACGGTGAGCCGGCTGAATTATCGTTTCTGAAATATATGAAAGGAAAGGATGGTGGAAACCTGTTTGCTCTGTGGACATTTAATGTCTTCGTTCTGTCCTTGGGTATTATTGAGAGGCCACTCAGACAGTGATGCACTGGAAGATGGAAAGATGGATGTTGCTCTAAAGCTAATGCTCCAAAGATTTTAATCATACTGTTTAGAAAATGTAATGAAAAATTGGAAAAAAAGACTTAAGATTACACCATTGAACTTTAAAGTTTCTCCTCTTGTTCTAAAATAGTTTCAATTGGGGTGCCCGGTTAGCTCAGTGGGTAGAGCTGGCGACCCATGTACCGTGGGTTAGACCATGGCCGAGTCCTCGCTGCAGTGTTCGAATCTGACCTGTGGCACTTTGCTGCATGTCATACCCTCCCACTCCCCCTTTCCTGTCTATCTTCAGCTGTCTCTACCATAAAGGCAATAAAAGCCCCGAAAAAATACCTAAAAAAAATAAATAAATAGTTTCAATTACCTGAAAAATCAAAAGAAACTGTTAATTTTGTTGTTTTGTAGACAATTTGTAAAGAAATAGTTTAAATCTATTTGATGCTGTTTGCAGACTCGAGTCTCAATTTCATTTCAAGGGAAATCCATTGAAAACAAACACATTGTTCCTGTTTATTACAATGACGAATGTCACTTCTGAAAACCTGTTTGATATAAAATGTTTAAAAAACGATGTTTGGAGCAAAACAGGAAAGAAAAAAAGACTTAACTGTTATATTTTTATATTATACTACAAACCATAAACTTTAAACTCTAGCTTTAAAAACTTGATTAATAACATCTCTCTGTCTGTGTGTTTGAGTGTAATATATATGTGTGTGTGTGTGTGTGTGTGTGTGTGTGTGTGTGTGTGTGTGTGTGTGTCAGCGTGTGCCTCACTATGTTGGAAACTTCTCTCTGCTCAGCCGGAGAATTTGAGAATGTTACAATTATAAAACAAGATTGACAGGATGGATAGTGTTGCACTGGCAGATGACAGTTCCTGGGTGCGTGCCCGGGAGTTATTCACAGCAAAGCCCTGCAACACACACACACACACACACACACACACACACACACACACACACACACACACACACACACACACACACACACACACACACACACATACGCTTCAGAGAGCCCCAACACATAGATCAAGTGCATAGGGAATGGTGGTAGAGGAGGGGGGACTGGTGGAAAGGGTGTGGTGTGTGTGTGTGTGTGTGTGTGTGTGTGTGTGTGTGTGTGTGTGTGTGTGTGTGTGTGTGTGTGTGGAGGGAGGGGTTCAAGGTCAGAGAAAACACATGGTGCAAACCAGCAAACACAGTAGTACAGAGATGTGTGGTACGGTGTAAGGTACAACGCAGATATAAATAACTGCATCAATTAACAATTCACTGTCTGATTATTAAAGATGCAGATGAAGCCTCTTTCACTTTAATGGGTATTTCAAATCAATAAACGTACAACCATGAGAAGAAGTAATGTTTCTTGAACAGCTTTGGTCACATTAAGAGCTGTGTTAGTGATCACACATGTCCTTGGAAACATGAGGAGCTGTTAAAAATAGGAATTAACGTACAGGCTTTCACACAGTGTAAAGATGGAGTGTGAGTGTTATCTTTACCTTTGTTGAATGTTATGTACAATACTGTACATACTCATTAGGCCTGAAAATATCTATTAGTGTGTTTTCTTTGACATTGTCACAGAGTCATTTGACTCTTTTTTTATATTGCCTTGACTGGCAGCTTAAAGCACCAGACAAGAATGAATGATTGAATAAATGAATGAATAAATAAATGTACAGTTATGAAAACACTGCGTGTGACTGACATGTACTCTAAATATGAAGCTACAGCCTGCAGCTACTTAGCTTAGCATAAAGACTGGAAACAGGGGGAAACAGCTAACTTGGCTCTTGCCAATCCACAGCAACTCTATATTTTACTATTTTATATTTTGCTTGTTAAATGTGTACACAAATAGCAAACTGTTCCTTTAATTTGCCAATTAGGTCACTTAAATCAACTTTAGTTGACACATTACAAGACTGGATAACACTTTATTATCCAACCCATCAATCAACCAATCTGACCCGGTGGCTCACATATGTAGATCATATAGAAGCATCAGTATTAAATTCAGCCTGTTTCATGACCAGTTAAAAACTCTACAAACTCTAAAACTATGGGGAACAAGGGATAAATAAATGTTACTGTATTTTACAGTACTACTACTACTGTAACTTTTCTTACATCGTGAGTACCAGTAAGAACTTTAAATATCCCCTCGAGACGTGTATTAAGACACACTTGTATAAGTTTCATACTGGATCAGGTTTACTTCCAAACTATTTAATTTCACATATCTCGGCTCGTAGGCCCCGCCCCTTAAAATCAGATTTTCAATGAACACAGATAAACTTTCCACGTTCAGCAGATGAATATGAAAACAAACTCTGGACATACATCATTCTGCACAGTGCAGCTCAAACATCACACTGTGGAGTGGAGAGGGTCTTTATGGGTACTTTTATTCACACAGTAATACCACTAACATAAAGTGTCACCAGATATTGCAAATGTCTGCAACTGAAGTCAATGCAGATAATATGTTCAACAACACAACAAGATGATAATAAGAGAGGGAAATACTACATATTAACAGCTGTTGTTTCAGCCAAAAATAAAGCAACGACACAAATCCTCTGTGAGTAGAAGCATCTTGACAAAGACGTGACTCTCTCAGAGAGAGATGAAGGCTGTCCATCCCTCACACAAGAGTTACATAACTAGTCTGAAGTAGAGGGAACTGGCACCCGTCTAAGATCACAAGGTGCTGGCTGTGAACTCAGCTGTCAGGGGTTGACATTGAGGGCAAAAACTGCTGCTCCTCCTAAGTGGATGGATGGCACCCACAGGACTCTGCTGCCTTAATGTTGGTCTATTTTTAAACCAATATCAGTCACAGTCAACACATGACTGAACACCCAAAATGCCATGCACACATGCACACATGCACGCACACACACTGAATGCTCCCAGAGACCCAACATGACTAAACATTTTCATGGACAACTCTCTTCACAGTGGCTCCAGATCAACACACCTGTCCCCTCGCTGGTTTAATAGTGTAACAACTGGGATCAAATGCTGATGACTTTACAGATTTTACTAGTTGGACCAGTTTGTCCCTGTGGGTGGTCGGTTCACCACTTTGGTCCAAACTGAAACAACCGTTGGACAGATTCTGGCATGAAAACTGGCACAAACATTCATGGTCCCCTCAAGATCAATTACAATAACTTTGGTGATCCTTTAACTTTTGAGGTCAACCACCATGAGGCCAATATTGTCCAATACTCTGGTTCATAACCAAACACAAGCACAACCTATGACTTATTTAGTGTTAATTAACAAATGTTTGCATGCTAACATATTAAACTAATATGCTGAAAAAAGTAAACAGTCTGCTAAACATCAGCATGTTAACATTTAGCTTAAGGTAGCCTTACAGAACCACTACCATGGCCGTAGAGTCTCAGGGTTGTAACTGAGACATTTATAGAAAATTTAAGCAGCATTTTAATGTTGTAATTGAACATGGTGGGGCTGTACTACTACTATTGTAACTACTTTATGTATTGTTGGGTAGCTTGGTGGTTAAAATGTTATTCTCCATAGTTTTTATACAACAGATCATGTGTGGATGGATGTATGGGGTCGCTGGTATTGAACCATTGAAGAATTATCACTCAGCAGTTCCTCTCATCTCTATGGACCGTTTTAACATCTTTCAGCTCATTGTTTTGTATCTTAAATGAATGGCGCGAAGCCTGCGCGCTAGTTCAGGCAGTCAACTCAAGCTGCATTGCTATACACACACACGACATGCCTCACTCCATAATCAATAACCAAGCACACCCTTCCAATCTGGCGTCCTATGAAATGATGATACGTCAATGTCACATGAAGTCCTCAGAATTCAAGATCTGTATGCCAGCTGGAGATACGTAATGTGTGAAACCTCCGGATTATTGCATAACTGTGTGCTTATATTGTGGCTGTGCAGTCAACCAGGCTTTGAGTAGTCCTCTACTGTGTTACAGACCAACTCCTGTATGTTGCCTAACAAGATGAACCAGAACAGGAAAGTTAGTCAATAATGCTTTTATCTTGCGTCCATGGTAAAATATTAAAAGGTGCCCCAAAGATCAAATAAAACAGATCAGACAGGTGTATAAAATCACTTATGATAATCATTAATGATGAAGTCATAATAGCTGTGATTTCTTGCCTGGTTTCTTTGTTACATAATGACTTTGTGTAAAATGCCTTAACGAAGTTCTCTCTTTAATTTAAAATATTATTTTAGACCATTTTACTGCTCATTGCAGTGGCCACTGGTTAAAGTCACAAGACCTCAATAAAATCCAGGCTGTACCAAACACTATGGACACTGAGGTCTTGTCCTTTGTTAGTTTATGTTCTACAATTTAGACCTACACATATATTTTATTGGCAGATTACAGTATTATTAGACTAAACATATAAAATTAAGTACAATTTGTTCAAACAAATAGACGAACAAGCCTCCCTGAACAACTTTTAGGATTCTGGGCCTCCACAAAAGGATGCGCCTTTTATTTTGAAGGCAGCCTTGTTTAACAGGAAGTTTTATTTTGGCAGGTGTACCTGCGTTTGACGCAGGTGAGTATTGGTCGGAGCAGTGACGTCATATTGAAAGTCAGTCAGATGTGATTCTGCCGGGAACGAATCGATCATTGTAAGTGTGAGTAAACTTTATTTTTCTGTGTGATTCACAGTGAGAAACTGTCCTCGTGTGGATGAAGTCTCAGAGAGGAAAAAACTAAATGAATTTCGCTTTTTCTGTTCCGCATTTTTTCAGCGAAACTGTGGAAAGAAGTTCAAGCCTGACTCTTAATTTCCACATTACACAGCAAATTACACAACTGTGATTAATGTGGGGTCAGATAGACGAGAGAAAGTTTGGAAGTAAAAGGATTGTTACGATCAATAACACTGGATCAATATGGTGACCTGGAATATAACAGGCTGTTCTAGTGTATGTGACTTTTAGCCTATTTATATGACAACTGTAACCAGTTTCTAGTTTCACTGTAGATTGTATTTACAGATCCTATAATGAGCTAATGATATAAGGCATTGGTATCTTTAAACTCTGCTTCACGCTAACAAACTACAATAAAATGCTGCTTAAGCATCAGTAATAATCAATTAAATAATAGGCCTATAAAATATAATAATGCGGTCTCTCCCCTTCACAATGAGTACTTGCCCCCTAATACATATTTTACTTAAATGTTGAATGTAGGACTTTTACATTATGTTTACATTAAATACTTAAAGTGAAAGATCTCAGTACTTTCACTATTGATGAGGTATTATGCATTTAATATACAATTATATGTTTTATAACATCTGTTTTATACCTTTAAAATAAAGGTAGCAGGGTTGATGTGTTACTGAACCACAGACTAATACACAGGTTATATGGAGAGCTGTTGCTGTTGTTGAATATCGCTGATACAGTTCATGCCGACAGAAAACAGGAAACACCTTCTTCAAAATCACTGACAGTCAAATGATTTTAAAATCTTTACAATCAGCAGAGTAGAAGGCGTTTACATTAAAAATAGAGCCTGACTCTTTTTCTCCTTTGGCTCTATGCTGAGAAACACTCTGCAGACTTTCATATAACAGTGTAGCTGAGTGATGGGAAGGTTCCTTTTTGTACTGAAGGTTTCACTTCCCTGTTTTTTAAAAAGGTACTTCCTTTAGTTTAACGTTTTCCAACTCAACTACATGTGTTGTTACATGAGTAGAACATAATTTCCATTAGGCGGAAACAGACTCGCCATACAGTCAGTGTGATTGGTAAGACCTCGTCTGAAGAATGGATTTCACCGTCACAAATGTGTCGTTGTGGTTCTCAGTAAATGGGATTTGAGTCTGATTCCTTCACAATAACAGGAAGCTTGTTCGAGACGGAGGCGGCTCGACAGGAGAAAAACCCTGCACCGGCTGTAAGAAATGACGAGGAGTCCTGAATTATTGGAGCAGAGACACATGAGCTTATAAAGGGTAAGCACATCAGTACTGGTGCAGACACTGTAGCCTGCTGTATTCTTGTTACCTACATGTCTACATGTCTACATATTACTGCACATATTCTCTATTATAAGTAAAGTTATTATGATGTTTTGGCATTTAGGGACAATCCTGACACTGAGGATATCTGTATGTATGCATTTTGTGATTTTGTGGGCTCTACAATAAAAGAACATGCACATGGTGGATAGTTTATAAGCTGATTCTTGTACTGACCCAGTATGTTTGAAATGAACTACTTATATAAGTGTACTGTACAGCTCAGTGTAATTTCTTCGTTTACTAGCTACAGATCTGTGAGCTAGTGAGATGGAGGAAGCGTACAGTGAACTGTACCAGCAGTTTCTCCAGCTGAGGTCACTTTGCCTGAGACAGGCAGCTCTGTTACATCAACTCACAACAGCTCTGCAAAAACAACAAGGTGCACATAAAACCTTTTGTAACTCCGATACTCATAAACGTGTCCGTCACGATTCACTTGACACATCTTCAACTCTCTGTCTGCAGGCAATGCGGCTCCTAATGGAGAGTTGAGTGAGATGATGTCCATCCCTGTCCAGTTTACACAAGAAATCCCTACATATCTCCATGAAAAGCCTCAACCACTAACAGCCACTGCACATGCCCCCGCAGCACAGCGTGGAGTCGATCGCCCCACTAGAAGACTAGAGACTTTCTCTGATCTCCTTGCTGACGATATGTCCAAGCTCTGTGTGGATGTGCCTCGTCAGAGAAATGAAGATGGGGAATTGGAGCAAAAGGTTGCACCCCTGTTAAGCATGGACTCCTCAAAGTGGCGAGGAGCCTCTTCCAGTGTCTCAAAAAATGTGGGAGCAGATCATCTTAATGGAGACAGGGTGATGCACACAGTGAGGGTAGGTGTCTTTACTGGACATAAATCACACATGTGGGCATCTGTCCTTTTGATTTTACCATATTCTCTCTCAAAATCTTTTGTCCTCTCTGCTTGTGTCAGATGACTGCGACGGACCATCCCTCCATGGTCTGTGACTTCTTGTGTCAGTCTGACCGGATGCTGATGTCAGACGTGGCGCTGCAGTCTCACATTTGTGAGTTTTGCCAGGCGGTCTTCCCCGGAGACACGACCACCAGAGGAGAGTTCCTACGTCACCTTTACACCCACGTCACCTAGACTAAAGTGAACCATCTTTTTATCCCGACATATGAGTTAAGTGTTCATATGATGTGCTGTGATGGATAACTCAGTTACCCTGATGTCTGGGAACAGCATTGAAGTTGACATGTTGTTCATATGCTGTTTGTCTTTGGATAAACTGTGCAGATCTGGAGGCTGGCAGCATTTTCTGTCTCTGAGATGTAAAATGAAAAGCGGAAATAGACTTCCTATGCTTCAACTGTGTGAGAAAACATTAAGATACTGTGTTTTTAAAGGCTCTGTTCGCATACCTCTACAGTACTAGTATGTAGCCCTGGTTTTATTTGAGATTTATGTCCTAATATAATGGCAATCAGTTTTTATTGGGACTATTTCTTCGATAGACTATTTTTTGTTTAATTTGTGTGTTTAATTCATTTATGACATGTGTTTCACAGAGAGAAAGCCTAGCATTAAGTACTCACTGCTCTCTCTGTAGATTCAGCTTGCAACCATTACATATGTCCTGAAATATATTTATAATTCATCCTACTTCTTCTACTTCGGTGACTATGGTGCCCAGACAACAGAGACGCTGCTCTACAGTCTGAGATAAACAGAGATTACATGTGTTTGAAGGACACCCACATCCTGATGCTTGCATGGAACAATGTATAGAAGTAGCCTATCCTCAGGAGAATAAAACATTGAAATGAAGTGTGATGTTCAAGCAAAATTGGCCTTCTATTCTCTCTTCTGAGTTTTATTGTTGTTTCTGGGCCAGAAGGACAGGAAAGTAATTTTGTTCTGTTATTGGACTCATTGTGTGCTGTTTATTAGTTATTAGCAAATGTAGTGTCATCTTTGTTACATCGTCATGAAAGGGTTGAAATGCGTTCATTAGTACTGTCCAGTAAATAGTGCACCTTTATGTAACGGTGTCTTTGTTTGCTTTGGTTTTAGATGCAAATCTTAATGTCCGTATGTTATATAGAAAATCTTCACTAGCGACTGAATATATATATATATATATATATATATATATATATATATATATATAAAATATTCTTATTATGGCAGTGTGGCTCTTGGCTGATCTTTGCATTTCACTGTTCACTTATCAAGTCTGTTTTAATTATGACCCCATTTAAATAATCAGTTACAAGTTGGATTAAAAAAACATAATAATTATTATTATTATTATTTAAAACCTTTTCTTACAACACCTTTGCACTTTGCACACTCTTTATCCTTATGAACACTGCCCACATTTGCATGTAGTGCTCATGTCATGCTCATCAAAGATTTGAATGCAGATAATTAGACCTCCTAATTTAATTAATGGTTATCCTGCTGGTTTTTGTTTAAAATGTTTGCAGTCAAGCATTAAACTGATCAGCTGTCTGCTGCTGAGCTCTGTGTTACAGAGGAAGAACATTGGCTAAGAATAGACTCAAAGATTTAACTCCCTAATTTGTGGTGCTGACAGCTGATTGATGATGGCTCCCTTCATCTGTTGCCACACTGAATGTCGCTCACATAATCACAGTAAAGAAAACCAACTTGGATATAATTGCTCTGGCATGATCAAGAAGGTAATAGCATCTTTTTGATAATGGTATAAGCACAGCAGTGTTTTGAGCTAAATGCTAATGTCAGCATGCTAACATGCTCACAGTTCTTATGTTAGCATGATGGTTAGCAGGTATAATATTTTGCATCTTTGTGTTAGCATGTTAGCATGGAGATCAATGTTGTTACATGTTTATCAAATGTCATCCACCCTGTAGTTAATGAGACCCAAAAATGTCAACCTCATGGTGGCGCTAGAGGACAGTGCAGAGGACCACCAAAGTCAGCAGGATACAACCTCTGGGAACCACAAATGTTGTGTAGTAATTGTTGAGATATTTCAGTCTGGACGAAAGTGGTAGACTGACTGAGTGATCAACAGACAGACTGACATTGTCATCCCTCATAATAGCTATGCATAATTTTAATGTAACCTTTATGATTTTGTGTTACACAACTTAATCGGTTGAGGCTTAGAAATTCTACAAATGAATTCCTTGAGGTTCTCTGTGGTCTGGATCTGTTTGTCCTGATCTTCTCTGGTGTCTGTCTGAAAATCAAGCGAGAGAGGTGTGTGTGTGTGTGTGTGTGTGTGTGTGTGTGTGTGTGTGTGTGTGTGGATGAGTGCTGATGAAATCGCTGGTACAGGTGAGTCATGCCAGCACTGAGGCTCGGCGCAGAGCGTCAGTGCAACAAACAAGACGACAGCAGAGGTGTTGCTGGCTGTGTGACGCAACTGCTGCAGCCTCTTCCACACATCAGAACTGCCAAGAAAAAAAAAAAGATTCTTTGTGGGAAAACAATGCAACACGCCATGGTTTTAAGCAATAAAATAACATTTATTGAGATGTAACAAAATAAATAATCTGTTTGCAACATAATAAACTGAGGAAGTTACTAATGCTCAAGAGACAGGCAGGTGTAACTGATGCACAGCAAGCTACCTCACCGACATACTCTGTGGTTAAGTATACAAAAATCAAAAAAGTTTTAATCATTATCGACATGAGCCTCGTCATTACATGAATTCTGAACACACTTTACAACTCGGCCGAACAGGCTGACATTGCTCGTAAGAGCTGCTGTATCAAGAGTCAAGCACCATGATATTTCTTTCTTGAAACATCTGCATGTCTTTTTTTTTCTTTTTCTAAAACTTAAGTAGGTAAGTAAAAAAAGATTAATCACCCTAATTTACTATAAGCCTCAAAGGACAAAAGAACTGTTTTTCAAAAGGGAAACTAACATAAGGTTCACCTAGTTAATATCTAAGACTACAGAAATCATCCCAAAAACACACTGCCATGTTGTAATTTTCCGCTACACCTAAAAAAATCTACACAAACCACCACATTTTCTGAAAATGCTTGTGTGGCAAATGTCTTTTTTTAAATTCTCTAAATATTGCAATGCTGTTTTGAATGCAGAAAGGCTGTACAATGGCACCCATTGGGAACAAGAGATAAAGTAAAGACGAGGGGAAAAGCAGCTGACGACAGCAAGCATCCTCTCTGCTGAAGGGCCCTTGAGCAAGACACTGTAGCTGAGCCTGAAACCTGATTTCACTGTAGAGAGAGGCAACTGAAACTTAAAGACTGGAAATCAATAAAGCTGCGTTCTTATTTTCATGCCGCTGGGTTTAGAATAGGTGTGTATCTTCACATGATTAAAGATAATGAAAAGCCTGAAGAATTATCTCTTGCAAACACCGTATCAGCCGCTTGTGCAAAATATCATTACCGAAGGATGTGAGTGAGTGGATGATGAAGAACCATGGCTTTATGTCTAATAAACCTCAGCATGCCTGTTCAGACCTCATGGGCGATTAGATAATGCAGCAAAGGACACAAGGCTTGTGAATCTGACGGCGGTGTTTGCTTATTATCTAGATCAACTTATGTCACAAACCCTCTTTTATTTACTAACTTTATTCATCCTTGAATCCTAAAGAATATCTAACACGGTGACTTCAAAACCCAGAACATCCATTTGTTTCCTGAGGGTGAGGAGCTGCTTAGAACTTAATCAGACTGTTTTTATGTTGTAACTTGCTGGAAATGCAAATAAAAGTCTCCCAACTAAACCACATTGTCCCATTACATAACTACAGCATGTTACTGGAGTAAGTTAAGAGAGTCAATTTCCAAAGTTGCAGTGCCCCCTGCTGTGTCGAGCCCATTTCATCTGAAACAGGTGACACTTCAAACATACTTCTCACAACAAACGGACTAATTTGCCAAAATATCAGCCTTTTCCTGACAAAATCCATTAATTTTTCCATCCTCAGCAGGACGTGTAGTCCATGTATTTAAAAAATAAAGTGTCTCCCCTACATACTTACTGAATATAAAGTCAAAACAGAACATTTTGAACTTCAGTGTTCAGTCACTGCAGGTTTATGATATCGGTCGCTGGTAATTTCTGACATTTACTGTATTGATTTTGATCAGAGTCTCCTCCTCATCAGATGTCAGTGATGCGGGTAAACGGGGAAAAGCCTGCTCAGCAACAGCCTGTGTGGCTGAGTGGAGTTCAGTGGCAGGCCTGAGAACAAGTTTCCTGACAAATAGCTGAGTGTTTTCATTTCCCGCGGTGATTAGAGTCGTCTTTGGTGATGCAAGGGCTACTGCTCCTGCACGGTGTTATCGAGCTCCGCCTCTCCACTTTACTGTCAAGGTCTGTGGAGAAAGGTAAAGTTGAAGATCAGACCTGATAGGTAGATTAACTTAGGAGCCAGTTAAAGAACAAATACTAGTTAAAACAACAAGGAAACATATTTAAAGAGCACTGAGGGAGTTTTAAGCCATAAATGGATCTTCTTAGATTTCTGTAACACCATAAAATGCTTTATGTGTTTTAAGACCTCTGAATAATAGTTTGGGGAATTCAGCAAGAAACTCTCCCACATGCAGTGAAGTCATCATGGTTCATATGACCAACCCGAGCTGTTGAATCACAAAACTTCTCCAGTATTATAAGTTGAACCCGTTGTTGGGGCTGGTGATAAGATCGTGATGGAGTCAACAAATGTGAACAAGATGTGTTGAGTAAAATCAAACAAAAGTTGATGTTCATTGTTTATTTGTATTACATTATAAACAATTACCTCTGATGTGCATTCACTGGCTTCCAAGAGAGGTTGTAAATGTAAAAATCACTAAAAAGTGTTTATAAAAGTGTATTTATTTGCTCATTAAGAAACCCTCAGTGTCCATGTTATTGTAACAGTGCACAGTAATATAATAACTTGTGAAGAAGAATTAAATTTGCGATGACACAAAAAATTTAATAGCACATTTTCAGTAACATACACGGAAACTTACAGGTGGTTAGATTTATCAGATTGAGGATTGTGATTCCATGATTCAAATGTTAAAAGGATGTATGAAAAAACTGATATCCTGACTATACGAACCGCCAGCGGAAGATAAGTTATGGCAGAAAACAGTGACGTTGAAAGGAAGTGAGAGAAAGTTCTGATTAATGAGAGATGCAGACGGAGGAAACTTGGATGAGTGAGAAAGAGAAAAGAGACAAAGTGAGGGAGATCGACGTCAGAGATGAAACATATGTCATTTTTTTTTGTTGTTTCCGCAGTCCTTTTGGTAGAGGGAGAAGATGTATAAAAAAGACTGTGCCATTTCCCTGCCCACAGGTTTTATTTTTGTACACTGTCGCTTGGTGAGTCAATGCAACGCCCCTCCAATTACCTCCCACTCCTTCGCCCCCACGCCCCATCCATCCCGCCCTTCAGCCCACGCACCTAACACACTCTGACGTCAGTCGCTGCTGAGGAGGGGGGGTGGGGGGTCCGATTCTGCCACCCACAGAGTACTTCCTATCCCCCCCTCCCTCCCTCCCTCCCTCCCTCCCCGCCCCCTCATGTCTTTGCTGGCTTCCTTCTCCTCGCTTCATCTCTTCGGCTGCCCAGAACGACTAACTTGCCCAGATCATTGCTTTTTTTTTTTTTTCCTTTCTTGTGAGAAGCTGTGATGCATCAGAAAAATGCTACAGTAACAGGGTATTAAGGAAGTGCTATAACAGTGTAACACCCTCCTCCCTCCTCTCTACCCTCCTTCTCTCACTCTTTTCCTCTCTATATATCGCTCTCCACCTCCTTCTGTTTCCCCTTCTAACTTCTATCCTCTCTAATTTACAGTCTGGTGAAGTTCAGCTGTGCATGGTGGGAGGCGTCACCTAGTGTGACTCAGTGGAGTTCAAGCTCTAGAGCTATAAAATATTCATTGTTAGGAGAGGTTAGTGAGTTTCTGTCTGTTATTTTCAATTCAACCCCAACCTCAACTCATTCTCTTCTGATTCCACCTCAAAACCTTTAAAGAAACAGTTTGATATTTTGGG